CTGTACTGGTTGAGTACAATTTCTTAGAGCATTCATTTCTTTTAAAGCTACTAGTCTCTTCTTATCTCTGACTTAGCTTGGCTCTCAGAGATTTCAAGTTCCACTCCGCTTCTTGATGCTTGCATCGTAGATATACTCTAATTACTAGAGATGTCAGGTCCCACTCATAAAATGTAAATCTGTGCATATAGTCTCGAAAAGCTAAGGCCTCTGAACTGTCTAAACTTTAAATACCGGTATTAGTTATAGACTCGGTGAAAATTTCATGCCTCATTGTTACTTGCAAACATGATTTGAGGGGAGGCCAAATTCATTTATGGTGTTCAAGAAATGATTGTTCTTGAGAGACGAGAAAACGAGCCCAATCATTACTGTGACGCCGGAATTCATCGAAGACAGTAAAAAGAGATTCACCTCAAAGCATTTTGATCTAGATTTCGCTTTTTATATTCCTCTACTTAAGTCATTCTTATCCTCGAGAAGTTCATCTCCTTGTATAAACACAACAGCAGATTCGTCCGTTCGTTGACATAATCGTCTTCTTTTAACTTTTCGCAGGGCAAATCTGTCGCAGTCGATCCCAATCTAGAGAATAACCTTTTGAGCGCGTCTTAAATTGAGAATTCGCAGTTATGAGACCGACTAAACCCCGAGTAGCTCATCTCACTTCGAAAGTGCACAGACGTAATCGATGACGAATAAGAAGATGATAAATGAGCTGTATATGATCATGAACCATGCTTGCTTCTCCTAGAAGATGTGCATAGTTTATCAAAATGTCGGTATCCATTACGTGGCGATAATTCATTCTTTGATACACAGGTGTATGCTCACTTTGTTCTCAAAAGGGCCAAAACTAGGGATGAGCAACTTGGACTGCCCAAACCAGGACCGGACCGAACCGACGGGTTTGGTCCGGTTCTCGGGACTATCGGTCCAATTCCCGGATCCTAAAAGCAGAACCGGTTTCCGGGCGGTCCGGTTCCCGGTTCCAAGGGGGAACCAGACCGGATTGGACTGACTATTTAATATATTTTTTTGTTATTTTTTTCTTTAAAAAAATTAATAAAATGTTAACTAAACTCTAAGTGAACTTCATTATCATAAATTCATTGATAAAAATTAGTAAAATGTGAATTAAACCCTAAGTGAACTTCATTAACAAAAATTAGTAAAATGTGAACCAAACCTTAAGTGTTTAACCAAAAAAAAAAAAAAATTAAACTCTAAGTGACCGGTTCCATTAGACCGGACCGGAACCGGACCGGACCGGGAACCGATCACCCCTAGCCAAAACAAAATGTATATACACGGGTGTATATGCTTACCCAACTAGATAACTAGTGTATGATTAGAAAGCATGATTTTGTCGTTGTTTTGTGGAGTAATTTGGAGTAGATTTTCAATCACCGCGAATATATATCACTTAAGGAAAATCCGAAATGACCAAGTCGAACTTGAGAAGGTGAAACCGTGAAATCAAGCCATTTAAAAAAATTTAATGAATGGGAGAGAAAATGACGGGATAAATCATCTATTATATTCTCTTCTTTTTTACCAACTGCAAGTAATAAGGGTCTAATTTCCTTAATTACCCAACTTCCATGTAGCCTCCTTCGATTTTCTTTTTTACTCATTGTTGAAGTCAATTAAACCACTCTCTGTCTCTCTCTCTCGTTTCAGCAAAGTGCTTGCCAACTCAAAAGATCAAAATTTCGCCCCGATCAAATCGTAAACCCAAATTGACTTTTATAAAATTCTATTCATCCATGACGCCCCAAAGTTTCTTTACAACGTGATTTCATAGCTCGACAACCTCTACAATTAACCAATAAACTCAGAATTCAACACCGTCCAGAAATTACAACTCTAGTGAGAAGTTATCTACAATTAAAAGGAATCGAGACTTGGAATTCTTACCGAGCTCTTCGAAAGGATGTGAATGCTACGTGTCGAGGTATCGAATGGCTTGATGAACCGAAACCCTTCCTCGCTCTCTCCTGGTTTCTTTCTTTTCTCTCTTCCTTCTCTCTTCCTCCCCACTACTTCTCCTCTTCTTATATTTGACACCAAGCCGCAGCAATAGTTGAAAAATTTTGCTGACGAAAGTAGGCTGAGGTGTAGCTTCATGGGATTAAAATAGGGTACCAAGAATTGGACAGATTTCATTTTTTTTTTTTGGGGGGCACATTTGTTAGGGAATACAAATGAGGAGTGACTTTGATTCAATGGAGAACAAGTAAAAAAAACATGAGGGTATAATTTTTTACAAAATGAAAGGACCCAATTCCTCCATTTTTTACAACCCCAAGTTCCTTAATCACCCAACTCGCACGCCTCACACGTGTGCATTTCTACGTGAAAGCCAAAAGGGTGAGTGAAAAGTAAACAAGCAACTCCTACTTCGGGCGTACCTCGAGAATGGTTTCTTTTTTACTGCTCGAAAGAATTTGTGTTGCTATTTATGATTTATCATAAAATCTCACCATGAAATTTCATATAACCTCCTTGAATCAACCACGATGTGAAAGGACAGACGGATAAAAATGAATATTATTTTTTCTTTATGAATGAATGAATAATAATACAACGCGTGATCCCGATTAGAGGTAAGCAGTCTTGGGTTCCGTACAGGTTCCACCTGGAACCTACACGAAAAATATGAATCATTAACAAAGTAAAAGTCTTCGTCATAAAATGGAAGTTCAGACTAGTGATTTTAGATTTTACACTCATCATCGAATGCCATGAAATACCGCAAGATCGCACGAAAATATAAACCAAGAAAAACACAAAAACTTGTTCGAGATTCCACCTATTTAGAAATTCGAACCTACCCATCGAAATAGATTTTCTAATTTTTTGAACCTCAAACCTACGTACCCTGCAAACCCTAGATACTGGAACGGGCACACCGATTCGATTCTCAGGTTTCAGGTGCCCACCTCTAGTCATGGTAGAAGCAAAGATCTCAGGTGGTGTCCTCAATTCCATTTGAAATTATCAGAGTAAAGTATAAGTAGAAGGTAAGTGATCCCTCAACATCATAATCATCATTACAGAATAATAACATTACTTATCATGGTGGGGGCCGAGATTGTTGAGTCAATCTTTAGTTTCTTTAAATGACTGCGTGAGTCCATTAAGGTGTTTTCGTCTTGTTGGTCTTGTAATATCGCTTCCAGTCCATTTCATTCGCCTGTACATGAGCCCCATGGAAGCGGTCAAGCACGTGGAATTCCCAACAATTGGACAGAAAAGAAATTGTAATGGCTCGGATACAAACAATTGCTTCCACAAAGTCATGATCGCGACGCGCTTGCAAACGAAGGCGATTCGTCGCAGCTAATTGAGACGTTTTGTTTATGACATGGGATATCTATAATAATATGTTCACTCGCATCATAAGTAACATCGGCAAGTATTGACACAAAACGTGATGAACGACACAACCCTTAGAAAACAATATGAGACTGGGTACTTAAACGTAACCAATAACTTGCATACGTATTAATGTCCATTTTTTGAGATGATTCGTCAAATGAGTTATAGATGGCTGACGAGCCACCAAATGAGTTTGCTTGGCAAACCGTACGTTTCGTTCAGGGTGTGAGGCCATTATGATAACTCCTATAGGGGATAATTACACTAGCCACCTCCTCTCACCGTTTGATCTGTAAACAAAAACATGTATGTTTCAAAGCTTGCTATATTCACTTGTTTATCTCACTTTATCATAATTATGATTCCACAAGTAGGAGACAAGTTATTTTGGTTGGAAGCATCCTATATTAGTTCTGGAATAGTTAGATTAAGCTTCATTTGTTTCATGAAAAATGAACGCTATTGAAAAATATTTTCAAACGGACTTATTTTGAAGAAACGATCTCATTTTTATATATTTAATGGTATTTTTCAAATCATATGAAAGTTACTTTTCGACATTTATTACCGATAATTCTATATCACACATAGAAAGTGTCAAATACAACCCCACATATTTACATTCTCTTTAGTGACAAAGGTAATTCCCACCTAAAATTAATACACTGAATCGCTTTTGTTCTCACTCCACCCAGCACTGAAGCCCAAGGTTTGAACCCTTTTCATCTCACGAAGAAGGGGAATACCGATGCGACAATCTCCCTTTTGACATATACAATATAAGCTACGGTCCAAAGGATCGCCACAAGCAAAACCACTTTTAGCGATGATATAGAGGGACCAACGAGAGAAGCGTCCTTGAAGTATCCAACTAGCATCATTCATGAAAAATCAAGTTTGGATTTTAGTTTCATAAATTTAACATCTGTTATCTTGAATGGTTTAGAAGGTAATACCAATGCAACACCCCCAAAGCTCATCACTTAATCGATCTGACCTCCATACACATTAACAGAAGAGATCGAATGCAAAAGTTCGTCATTCAAAGAGAACAATCAGAGAAAGTTTCCAGAATAGCCTTCCAAGCATATGGCTCATTTTCAACAGACCTAATCTTTCATTTTTCTGTTGGCCAAGACAAAATCGATATTCCTACAGAACAACCAATCTTCGACAATGCATTAAAAACAAATGCCCAACCTTGAAACTTGATTGACTCTGGCGACAGGTCACAAGACGTAAGACTCCACAAATTGCGGCTAGATTCATAGAGCTATCCAAATAACATTAGCTGGTCAGATTGGGTCATGAAATCTGGCGTACCTTATAAGATGCAACAAAGTGCCAACACTTTGACATAAGTAGTCAAGCAAATTTTAGGTGGAGATGCTTTGACTGTTGAAATATGAATAATCCATAGGAAATGATCCTGACACACCAGCTAATCTTCACATGTATGGAGGAAGATTCTAAAAGCAAATATGCGCAATAAAAATCTCCTTTATGTAAGGAAGACTGCTAGTGGTGTTTTCAAATCGTACATGGGGAGACAATCGGAAAGCCCTTTCAAATTAAAGGCATGGAATTCAATGATCTCACGATCGTAGTTAATTAAGTTACCATGGATAAATTTCCTTTATCTTTCATTGATAGAATAGAATAACCAAATATACGTCCAAGAGAAAAACCTTCTCCTTCCGTGCTCACTATTCTAACTCGCCTTAACAATGCCAATAACAATGTAAAAATGACGAGCAAAACCACATTATAAAGAGCCCAAATAAGAAAATAACCAGAAGTTTCACGTAAAGAAACCCTACATGATATCTATATGACTCATCCCGCTGCTTACACCGCGATCTGCTGTATTCTCCTCCTCTGTGGGCTGACAAAGGCAACTCCTATCTCCATGGATGGTTTAGCAACATGAGTCCCTCGAACTCCGTTGTCCCATTTCGACTAATGTAGTTTGTCACGATATATTTTCTCCTCTACACCCAAACATTAATATTGGAAACCTTGAAGTGCAGAAGTCTCGTGCCAAGTGCGATTGCCTTCTGTTTTCCTCTCCAGATAGTGCAACCTAATCATTCAAGGCAGAAACATATTCAATGACAGCTAGCATAATGGAACATACATTCAAACTAACCTCCATACCAGTCAATTTTCAGCATTTCCAACCTAAACCAACTACATCCAATTTCATTGAACACAACTGTCTCCTTCTAATAATCAACTAAACAAAGTTCACTGAACCTGACGAAATCAAGAACATGCAAGTATAAAAGTAGCGAGTACTCTGTGAGAAACTATATTATGAAGGATCTCCAATACATTATCACAAGGAAGCAAATTCGACAGTGATTGACAGTGGCAATTTTAACACTCATTGATTTAGCAGACAGAAAATGCACTCAAATTGGCAACAACCGTTTGCTCCTCAGGTGTACATGGTGAAGCCACCTTGTCTCCTTGAGAAAAATATCAGTCGCCTGACCTATTAGCTAGGATACTAAAAGAAATTAAAATCTCCAAAATAGAGCAAGAACACAGCTCAGGAACCAAATGATCAGACATAGCTGGTTTGGGTATTCTGATGGCACAACTCTGAGAATCACTAATTTAGCAAAAAAAAACTCTGAGAATCACTATAATGATATTTCTGAAAAGCATCCTTCAAAGAACACATTCGCTATGTAAAAATTGAAACAAAAAAAAAGTCAAGATAAAAAGAGCCTCCCAAATGCACTTAAATCAAACCATCTTTATGCAAGCTAAAGCCACTACTTACCACAGTTATCAGTAATTCAGTCCTCATCATCGGAGTTGTCAAATGTGATTTTCTTAGCTTTCGGAGCATCTGCAGTAATTTCTCTGAAGTGAGCTCCATAAAGCTTTGATTCCTGCCAAGTGAGAAAAGAACATGAAAACAAAGATAGCAATACAGTTTCTATGGTAACACGTGAATAGCACGACCTTGAAAGAACTTTGAGTTAACAGCTTATTTTTTGTTACATATGTGGTAAAACCACATAAATTACTGCATTTGGAAGACAAATTAATCAAAATAGTACGCATCTTCAATCAGATTAAGAAATAGTAAAACTACATCAATGAGATAATTGCATTTGTATGATGTAGGACATTCATTCAGTAGAATGTAAATTTTCAATCAGACCATGAAATGCAGAATTACTCAAAATATATATATAGTTATCAAGTTATCAAGTGAACAGAAAATTAAAATTTGTAATTACAATTGATGGACTTTCTTTCACTACTACTGTATAAAATTTATCTAAGTTATCAATAGGTAACTTAATGATGAATTCTCTTTCTAGTAGATTCGTATAATCAATCTGATTGGTTAATTTTAACGGAGAAAGGTAGTGGAATGGAGCATTCTGATAGTGTGCCATGCGGCTCAAGAAACAAAGCTTCATTCTGATCACTTTACTAATTTTGCAATAGATTCTACTAATTGCTACACAGCTATTCACAGACTCTGCAGCAAGATGACCTCAATAATGTTTGGCCTAATATGCTCCACCAAATTAAGAATGCTGGCAAGAAAGGAAGCATCATACAAAATTGCTCGAACAAAATGCAGCGTTTCTGCAAGGAAAAAAGATGCGTGAAAACACACATACCTTCTTCTTCACGTGAGTACCGAACTTCAGAAGAGAAGCAGGCACAACTTGCCCAGCTTCTCTGAGAACATTGACCAGCTCCCCAGCAAGCCCCTGTCAGCAACCACAGGTCAATCATCATCACTGCTAATTCCTAAGGCAAGAAATAATCCTAGAGACTTTCATAGGTAACCTTGTTCTCTTTCGTGAAGAATGTGTGTGCTACACCCTTATTTCCAGCACGTCCAGTCCTTCCAATTCTATGGACGTAATCCTCTGTTGTTAGAGGAAAACTATAGTTAATCACGACCTCAACATCCGGAATGTCCAATCCACGAGCAGCAACATCAGTGGCAATCTGCAGACATATCGGGCAACTCAAGCTTTAAGGAATTGACCACCACGCAGCAAAAAGAAATCATGATGCCTGACTGCTGTTAAGGAATTGCACTAGTACTCCATTGACCTGACTACTGTTTAATTGTTTGAAAAAAGTTACATAAGCGACAAAAACTAAAACATTGGTTGATAAAACATACCATCAAAGGACAGGTTCCCTTCTTAAACAATTGTAGTGCCATTGTGCGCTGATGTTGTTTTTTATCGCCATGGATAGATACAGCATTCCAGCCTCTATAAAAAGAAATTGGAGAATGAGACAACAAATGTACGATGAAGGGTTAGAGATGCATTAGTTCATTCACTTAGCCCATTTCATGACCTGACTTGACAGGAAAATACCTTGCTTGAAGCATCTGTTCTACACGAGAAGCTTCATTCTTGTACAAGACAAAGACCAATACCCTGTTACTGATAAATGGAAAAATCGACGATATCAGATGGTGCAAGATGTCATTGCTACTGCAAAACTATAAAGATAAACTATTGCGCATGGTTTCTGTTAGCTTTGCACAAAACTTAAGGGGTAATAGTTAAAAGAGGCCCAACCTATTTAAGCTATAACATACAGCAGGATCAGATTCAGAATAAAAGACCACAAAACAAGATTCATAAAAGCAATAGTATGTATAAAAAATAGATAGTACCTTTTGGAACTGTGATACTTTTGTAAAAGGGTAACCAAGCGTTCATCACGTGAACGATCATCTAGTACCTGCAAAGGCAATCGAGCGAAACCAACATATGACAAATGATGTCAAGAAAAAAATAACCAAAGCCAAAATTTTGAATCCATACCTCAACTATCTGCATAACATCATGATTGGCAGCTAAATCCTCTGAACCTATAACAACCTGAAAGAGAGCTAATCATTCTTGCCAGTTTACTCGTATAGATTAATAAAAAATATTGCTTAATCATGAGGATGCACACCTTAATTGGGTTAGGATCCATAAACTCCTGTGCTAATTGATGAACAGGAAGAGGCCATGTAGCACTGAACATTACTGTTTGGCGAACTGCAAAGACGAATTTGCACACAAAATTAGAAGGGAACAAAATCGCCCACCTAGTTCACATGTAAGTTCTACGTACAGATACAAAGTCATAAGTCGCAAAATTAATCAAATTTACAGTAAACAAGATGTTGTAGAATTCGAATTAAAGACTGCCAGATTAATTATACTTGTGCACAAACCCGGATGGTCAATAACAATGAAAAAGGTTTAAGATGACAAAACTACAGCAAAAATTATAGTAGCGGAAGTCAACTGGTAAAAGTAAGAAATAAGTAAAGACACATTTTGCAACATACCAGAACATGTGCTGCTCAATATAGAACGAACTTCTGGTTCAAAACCCATGTCAAGCATTCTATCTGCTTCATCAAGGACCTGAAGACAAAAAGGAAAAAGAATTAATAGACACCGACTTTGTTAGAAATTCCTACGCCACATATATATTCCAATCAGTTGAAAACTCATTATAAAACACAAAGCTTGTCAAAGAGCAATATGACAGGCACCTGAATGACACATTGACAATCAAAACTCCTCAATACCAAGCTTTATGACCGTGATAACATTAAATAACATGACACAGAGAAACACCATAGGGAAAGTCTACTTACCACAAAAGCTACTTCATTTAAGCTGCAAACACCCTCTTCAATCAGATCCTTCAAACGACCAGGAGTTCCAATGACAATATCCTGCGTACAGATTAATAGGAGTACTCCATGAGTTAAATTATATTAACTTTCTAGATGATATACAGGCACAAACAATGAACAATTTCCATTTTTGCAAGTACACCATCAGAAAGAAACAATGGCAACTCTTTCATGGCAACAACCCCAAAGAATACATGCAAATCTAACGTTAATCATAAAGGGCAGTTAAGACCATTATGGATTTCTACGCAGGACAGTACAAATTGTGAATCCTTTTTCGCTTAAAATTCGTAATATATCTCAAATTGTTGTCAAGCATTTGACGAACATTCAAAGGTTAGAGTACATGAACTTTAATCACCAAGAACATATTTGAAATATGACAACTACTCAGATTAGCATCAGCAAAAATACGGCATGTGAATATTCATAAAACAATGACAGATGTAGAAAAGATTAATATGCACATCCTAATAAAGTAAGGTGACTTACAACACCAGACTTCATAGAAGCTCTTTGAGGTTCCTTGGGGGTCCCTCCATACACACATACTGATTTCACACCACTAGCTTTTCCAGCACCAACCAGAACATCTGAAATCTGGGACCAAATCAAGAAGGCTATAGCTTGTTATCTGTTTAAACACTTTATACTAATTACAAGAACCAGAATATGTGTACAGCGCAGCAAAATTAGAATAAAAGGCAATGAATTAAGTGAGAAAATTAAGTACTGGCATAGGCACCTACTTTATTTCTCGGCACCTGGATCTGCACCTACTTTACTACACCTTAATTGCATAACAACAACAAAGTCAATTACCTTGGCTTAAACTGCGTGCCTTGTATATGCTAATGCTACATATTCTTGTTTTCACTTATCTTTTCTGAATTCCTACTATAATAGTATCGAACAAATAGCTCCACTTCTGAACACATCTTCTTCTGGAAGTGAAAATTCCCCTGTAAATTTGTCATGTGACTACACGCCATTTCGACCTAACAGAAGCCATGATATCCACCCATTTTCGCGATTACAGATTCACAATAAAATAAAATTTTAGTGTTGTAACCGCATCTCAGACTATCCAACCATTTTCAGAACAACCTTCACGCGCGACTGCCAAGAGTTTCGCTGCAGAAATTCACGTAACTAATCTACAAAACACCGGCATCCATTCCTGCATCTTTACTTTATGTTTGTTGATCAAATTCGGACGCACACCAACTCTCGAAACATGCTCTCGATAACTCACTCACAAAAGAATGGCAAGCATGCAAACAATACATACTTCCGTCCTAACAAAACAAGAAATGCATCAATCGTAAAAACGTACTTGTTGAGCCAATTCCCTCGTCGGTGACAGCACAAGGCAAAGCGGACGCCTCCCCTTCGACATCATACCCTTCCTCTTGCCCAAAACATGCACAACGGCTGGCACTCCAAAGGCCAGAGTCTTACCTAAACCACAGAAATCAGTAAAATCCTCACCACACGACGAGCGCGAAACCACTCAAATAGAAGAGCTGAACTAAAACCTCAAAACACCACCTGAACCGGTCGCCGCGATCCCAATAAAGTCGCGTCCGTCTAGCAAGAACGGCCACGCCCGGGACTGAATCGGAGACGGCTTCGCAAAGCCCTTGCAGCATTCGAGCACCTGTTCCGGCAGCTTGGCGTCCGCGAACGACTCCACCGGAGAGTACTTCGGATCCTTCACATTCCTCCCGCTCACCACCACATTGCCGCTCCTAACCTCCTCGTCTTTCCCATCCGCAACAGAATAATCAGCCACTCCGGTCCCGCCATTTTCGATCGCCTCGCCCGCGGCTTCCCTCTCGCGCCTCTTCTTCTTCTTCTTCTTCTTAGCAATGACGTCAGCCTCAGCTCCGTCTTCACCGTGCTCCTTCCTCTTCTGGCTCGACCGATTCAGCTCCTCCGCGGATTGGAGGTCTGAGTCTCCGTTTCTGTCCTTCTTCTTCTTCTTGTCCTTCTTCTTCTTCTCCTGCTCTGGCTTGAGGTCGCGAACGTTCGCCTCCTCGAGGACACTCGATTCGCTCTCCGTCGACGACTCCATCAGCTTTCTGCCCATGGCTGTCGCCGGAGCTTTTGCCGAGCAGGAGGAGACGGTGGAGTCTTTCTTTTTGGGGTGGGCGAGGAGCGAAATCGGTGCCAGTTCAGGAGAGGGGCAAGCGGTGGGGTTTTATTCTAGGGTTTTGACTTTTTTTTTTTTTTGACTGACTCGCCGGTTTCGGTTTCTCTTTTTCTTTTTCTTTTTTTCCTTCCACTGTTTTTTGTTTTTTTTGTTTTTGCTAGAATAGCTCCTTTGATTTTTATTTTTTTTGCTAGAATAGCTCCTTTGATTATAGCATGGAAAAAAAAATGAAAATTAGAAACTTTATAAGCAACTAGTTTAGTGCCGGAGGAAATGCCAGTCAAATCCATTATTATATCTATAAATATCGAAAATACATTTTTGTCAATGTGCCTCTTTCACTATAGGTGAAGTTGGATTATTCATTTTGGGCACAAAAAAAAAATAACAAAGTTGGTTTTATTTGTGTTTGCAAGTTATATTCATGTCGTGTCGATATAAAAGTATACTAAATATGTAGACTCGAATGCAATACGATTAGTTAATTGTATCCACCACCTGATCGGCACGAACACGACTCGAAAATTAAGGGATTCACACGGTAGGACTGTGTTATATGATTCAACAACGAGTTGACGAGTCAACACGACTGCATGTCATGCTAAACACACGAAATCAACTCATCGACATGAAATCAACCGACCAACACGAACCCGACATGAAATATCCTCAATATTTTCTAATTTTTATTTACGAATTGTTATAGTTTGTAAAAAAATCACGTTCACAACGAATGAAATATCATCATTTCAAATCTTAATAGTGAGTAGCATGAAAAGAATAATCTTTTAGCTCATTATGTCTAAAGGGGTCACACGTCAACATTTATCCGATGATTTAAACGGAGTAAATAGGTCAAAAAAATTTCAAGGGGATATATGTCATGATATTTTAATCGTGTCTTGAAAATGAAGCAAACACAATTAGTCTCGGGTCCCGTTTGGTTCAGCTTTGAGAATGAGCTTTCGGCCTCGAAAGCCCCTTTCCAAAATGCTGAAACGTTTGGTTCAGCATTCGGCCTAGCATTTGGAATGCTGAACCCAAATTTTTTGTCCCCAAACTACCCTCACTTATTTTGGCTTGTTCCGGTTTTGCCCATTTTGGTACTGTTCATCTTCTTCGCGCCCGGCGAGGGCGGTCGATACCGGATCGTGCCGGCGAGAGGCTGGTGAGGTCGCACGACCCAGGCGACGGCCGCCTAAGGTCGTGCGACCGCCCAGGCGCCGGCTGCCTGGGTCGTGCGACCCTCGTTGAGGGTCGCCAAGCCTCATGCGACCACCGCCAGCGGCAGATCTAGCTCGCTCGTGGTCACTCGACCTCGGGGACGGCCGCCGGCGCCAGATCTAGCTCGTCGGCTCCGGTGAAGGGTAGGATAGGTTTTTTTTTTTTAATAAAAAAGATAATTCCCAAAGCCCTTTTGCAAAAAAAAAATTTACCAAATACTACTTGGACAAAAGTAGCTTTACAAATGATTTTTTACCAAACGCTACTTGCATTTCCCCAAGGGACTTTAACCTAAAGGTATTTGCATTTCCCCAAATAGCATTTTCAAAGTTGAATCAAACGGGCCCTCAATCCGAACTCACCAGTTCCGTGTCGTATATCAGTCGTGCTATCGTGTCGCGTCAGAAACCGTCGCCCTTACGTCGAAGCAGGTACAAACAGTTAATGCAAAATGAGTGTTTCAATGACAAAGCAACTAAAGAATAAGAAAAAGAAAATGACAATTTTCACCGGATCGTATAATTAAACCAAAACAAGACTACGCCATGCAAAAAGAAATCTTAAGTTGAAAATAAGGGATAAGATCTCTTATTAAAGTCGAAAGTTTTCTGCAAGACTGTAGTGATGAGATTCTTTGGAGAGAGAGAGAGCCTGAGATGAGTTTCTGCTTGATCAAATAATAAGAAGAAGAGATCATCAGCAAAACGAGACGAGATTGACCCCCAACCGACCCTCGGCCGGTGCCCACGCTACCCACCACCGCTTTCGAATAGCGCCACACACCAGCACGAGCAAACTCCAAAGGGGGAGATGATGTGATCAGGCGCGGCGCAATCCCACAGCTACCCCACCTGCTCCGACCAATGAGGTTCGAGCACACCAACAAGCGCTCACGCGAGGCTCCTCCGCGCTCACGCGTTTCCGAAATTCAAATTTTTGAACGAATAATCATTGCCCACGTGGGGTGCGGTGGGGTGGGGGTGGGGGGACCTCGCTCCCTCCCCCGAAACAGTGGCAAAAACGGGTAAATACGAGGTACCTTCAGGGGCAAAGGGAAGACCCGATTTCATTTTTTGGGTGGATGTCCCGCGTAGCAGCCAAGCCAAAGCCAAAAGCCAAAAGCCAAAAGCCTAGAAGAAGAAGAGGAGAAAACACTCCTTTGCTGCTTTAACAGCGCACACGGATCCCACGCATCACGGTGTTGCTCTCTTTCGGTTCAAAATCCCTCTCTCTCTCTCTCTCTCTCTCTCTTCTCTCTTCTCTGGCTCTAGGGGAGGGGACGACGAGCTTTCCGCTGCCACCATGAATCGCCGCCACGATCCCAACCCTTTCGACGAGGAAGAAGAGGTCAATCCCTTCTCGGTGAGTCCCTCTCTGTCTGTCCCCCCCCTCTCCCTCGCGCAGATCTGCGCTTCGGTCGCTGCTTTTTTTCTTCTCGCGCGCTTGCGCTTACATCGAGCTCCGCTCGCTCTGTGTGGTCGGATTCCGTAACATGCGAGAATGGTTTCGATGCCGGAGCCGAATTCCGTGGTTCCGCGAGGGGGCGCGTGTCGGTGGTTGTGCCGTGTTTGGTTTTTTTAGATCTGGTTCTGCTGTGGCTGTGGTGCGCGGTCGTGGTCCGATTTTGCGGTGATGCTTTGATTCGAGGTCGGCATTGTCGTCTCTCGCTGTGTGGGGGTGTAGATTCGATTCGTTAGCTGCGGCTGAATTGAATTATCCGAACTAGTGGCTCACTCCAGAGTGTGTTGCAGGTATACTCCTCGAGGTGTTTAGCCTTACTTTAGCACCCAGCTTTGCTAGAGATCCGGTTGTTGAAGCTAGTTTCCACGGGAATATAGGGTACATCTATTACTGCCAAAGTCAAAAGTTTCCACAACTCTTAGTGTCAGTAAAAGAGTATGGGTCGTGATTGAAGTGTCTTGTCACCGGCAAATTTAGAAATGATGGTGCATTTTACAGGTGAAATAATGTAGGAATAGAAGAGTACAAGATCAAGTTATCAAAAGATTGGACTTTGCCTCTAATTATTTTGGTTCGAGGTTATGGGGTCATGCAACTGAACCGAAGAATAGAGATGGCTGGAAGACATGGCTCTCGAATGTCTAATGTGAACGTAACCGATATTTGTTTATTCGAGAAAAACGAACAAGTTCAATTTAGTATTGTTTTATCCTGTCTCTTATCTTTTTGAAATGATTTGAACATGCTGAATCCCTGTAATGAAAAACAAAAAAAACAAAAAAAAACTGGACAAAAAATCCTTATGTGCCCCCGGTTGATGATCCAAAGGCTGACAAGTAGTTTTCCCCATGGGTTCGCACAAGAAGGCCAGGCACAACACAGCCTAGACATTGCCCATTAGGGCTTCAGCAATGGGCAGTGCTTGGGAGTGACAGTGTGATGTCATCGCGTTCATGTCGGTTATTTGTGAAATTTTGTGTCGGTAAAATATTTGTAATAGTTCGATTTTGATAAAAGACAGGTCAAAATATATCAGGTCATTGTGGTTTTGAGTTAATCGTGATGGTACTATGTTGTCTCTGACTGTCAAATTATTTTTTCATTATTGAACAATTGCCCCCTTAGCATTCCAGGGCCACCCTTTCCGTGTTTGGCCTGGCTGGACTGGACCAGCTCTTGTGTTGTACTGTAATAGTTGGCAGAAAGACTTTAGTGGGTGGCATACTTGCCCAGCACAACCCACTATACATAAAATGAGATTGAATGTGGGGCTCTAATTTGGTTGTCCTTCATTCATGTGCATGATTCTAGTTGGAGCAAGGGTCTTCATCTTACAGATCTTCTAGGTCAATTAATTCGGATCATTGCCAATACTGAGACATTGCACTTGAAAGTTGTTCTGTGCATTGGATAAATGAGAACCGTTGCTATTGTCTATCGGTAGCCCAATCACCTAAATTGGCATTACCTCTTGAATTTGGCTCATAAATCCTGGGCTTGCATATTGAGTGTAGCTGCATAAACCGTATTATTCGGTCGTTTCAGTATGTTTATGTCGCCCTATTTATCCATTTGACGCTTATCTTGGAATTTTACAGAAGGGTAATGCTCCAGCATCAAAGTCCCGTCTTCCTCCACTTGCATCCGAACCCCTTGGCTTTGGTCAGAAACATGATGCAACAGTGGATATACCTCTGGATACAATGAATGTAGAGCACTTCCTCTTTATGTTTTTTCTGTCTCTATGTTTTGTTCTTTTGGTGATACTTCCCGGAAGCTCGAAGTTACGATTCCTGGTTACATTTACAGGATTCCAAGGAAAAAGTGAAAGAATTAGCTTCCTGGGAAGCAGATCTGAAAAGAAGAGAGAGGGTTAGTGATTCATTCCACCATTTTTTCCTTTAGCCAAATAAATCGAATATAACATTTGCAATTATGCATTTAACATTAATTCTTATCTTCTACAGGAAATAAAGCGAAGAGAAGATGCTGTTGCTAAAGGTATCCTTGTTACAATTGCAATTCCGTCAGACTCAAATAATTTTGATTCATGAGCCTTTTCCATTATAATAGTCAGTGATGTCATGTGGGTTACTCACTTGTCACAATGTATCAGCTGGTGTCCCATTGGATGATAAGAACTGGCCCCCCTTCTTTCCAATTATACATCATGATATAGCAAATGAGATACCAGTCCATGCGCAGCGGCTTCAATATCTGGCTTTTGCAAGTTGGTTAGGTATGCCTACTTGAGGCAACTCTTCTGATTTTAATTGTCGCTACTTTAAGCAAAAGCTGTTATATTGTAAGAAAATCCTTTGGAATGGACATTTCCTACAACACTAAAGGCATCTTTGAACTATTTTTAACATGCCTTGCAGGTATTGTTCTTTGCCTTGCTTTCAATGTCATTGCAGTGACCGTGTGTTGGGTTAGGGGCGGGGGTAAGCTTTTTTCATTTGACTTTTCTTATTGATGTTCTTTATATGAAGTTTTTTGGTATAGATTTAGGGATGAGGTCTGATTTGATTTTTCTCACGAGTTCTGCAGGTGTCAAAATATTTTTCCTTGCAATTATCTATGCATTGATGGGATGCCCACTGTCCTATGTATTGTGGTACAGGCCCCTATACCGTGCAATGAGGTCAGACTTGGTTAGACACATGGGTTTTGTGGAGTTTCCATTACATATTAGTTGTATCATTTCATTTAAGCATTTAAAATGTTTGTATCTACAGGACTGACAGTGCATTGAACTTTAGTTGGTTCTTCCTTTTCTATTTGGTGAGCCTTCTTCTTTGTTATTTCAACTTGTGAAGGATTTGGGGTTTGAAAATTGAAAATCTAAGGTTGATAGCACCGCCTTTGTGTTAGGTTGCTTATGGTTTTAATGTCTATGGTTTTGTCCATACAGCTACATGTTGGCTTTTGCGTATTTGCTGCTATTGCTCCACCAATCGTCTTTCATGGGAAATCACTCACGTAAGCTCTTATATACTTCACTTTATTATCCTGAAAATTTATTTGCTGGTTGTTGGAACTTCTCAGTAAGTGTTACGAGTGGGAATAGATGGATTAAAACCATGTTTGCTTGCCTTGTTTAAGCTACAATTCCTTCAAAATTATCATTAGCTGACCCCAAGTACCCAGCTCTTTGCTAACAAAAGATCTCTCTCTTTTCAGGGGTATTCTCGCTGCAATTGATGTGTTTTCTGACCATGTGTTGGTTGGGGTATGTTTTCATGCACTCCAACTTTTTTGTGCCTTCTAATGATTGCTGCAAAAATTGATTTATTTTGTGCATGTCCACTTACTGTGACAAAGGATGCATGGTGCCTAGATTTATATGTTTTAGGTTCATAATCTCCTAGCTTTTGGAGACACAAAATTTATTCGATTCAGCAGCTGTTTGGGTTAGTGCCGGACTTCGTACCAATTGCGTATGCTGCTTTCCTACATAGTGAACAATAGGATACTACACGCTTGAGTCAAGAGACCAGTTAGTGTTGTGACAGAGAGCTGGATGAACCACATTGTTATTTGGCTTTTGGCTTTCAGAATTCCTCAGGAGTCGAGGAAAAAAATTTCATGGAATTCTTCATCATAGTAAATAAGTTGGTGATTTCTGGATGTGTGGAGGAGTGTCGATATGGCATGTATTCCCATTTATGTAGTCCTCTGGTGAATAACATAGTTTATGCTCTCATCAACCAAACTTAGAATGCATGTTGCTCTCGGGATGTACCATCTCTTTGACGTGTGCCTCTAAGACCCTTGAAGGAAGGAATATCGTCAATCATGTCTATACCTATTTGAGCAATAATCCCTGCATTTTAGGATCTTTTTATTGAAATTGCTTTTGGGCTCTGTTTCTTTCCTTTGTTATTCCTGTTAACTTTTCGGCAAAGCTGACTGTTACTTTGGTGCAGATTTTCTACTTGGTTGGGTTCGCTTTATTTTGCTTGGAGTCACTGCTGAGCTTGTGGGTTCTTCAGGTGAGAATTTTGCGTAGTGTCTTGTTTTCCAGCATCTGCAAAGATGAGAAAAGGCATCATCTAGGGTTTCTTTCAGTTGCTTATTGAAGAACATCTTGAGTTGAGCAACAGTCGAACTGAAATATCTTTCATGTTCTCTTTGCTGTCCAGAGTTTTTTTTTTACTTAACCTTGAATTAACACTCTATAGAATCCTCTCCATCATCCTAGCCCAAGTTTGGGCATCGATATCTTTGTCAGTTCTTATCTACTTGGCACTGAATGGTACAGCTTCCTAGCGGTCTTAATTAAGTGAACTAGAAAGCAATTTGTCATGCATTTCTTTTATTGAAAGGGTTAATGAGTAACATCCAGAAGTCTTGTGCTGAAATCATGTAACATGTTGTAGCCAGCTGCATAGAACATACAGTATGAGTTCTAGCTGATTTTAAGTCAACACGCAGTATGAAAAATATTTTCGTCACAGCACTTCGGACTGAGCTAATGTCATCTACACACCTTAACGGATGGAAAGTTTTGTTTAGAGCTTGGACAGGGAGAAATACAATAGCAATCATGATGAAAAATGTATTTACACAGGTAAAGGAGAAAGGGAAATCAACAAAATTTACCTGATGTTTACCTAGAAACTCCGTGTTTTAGTTCAAGATATTGAATTGGAGAGGCTGGAGTACTCAAGATAACAGTACATATGATTTGCCTTACTAGTTTTTGCATTTGGCATACACTGAGACTCTTTCCTTCGTAAACAAGTTTCTTGTCATCCTGCTTATTACTTTGTTTACTGTTGTCTGCAGAAAACCTACATGTATTTCAGGGGACACAAGTGATTTTCGATCCTGGCATCACTGGCTTGGGTTAGTCAGCCATTGGATGTTCGAGCTGCTTTATTATGATGAGATATGCTCTTTCTTTTGTAATTATTATATTCATTTACACAGTCATGAGTACACTCTGGTAATGTACCTTCCCCATTTTGGGGAGATTCGAATTTGCCGTGCCTTTTTCCTTGGTGATGTAGTTTTTAGTATCCTTGGCTCATCATGCCTGCTTCTTGATAGTATATTAAGGATTTTAATACTTCATATGTCCCCCAACTATGCGATCCCTCTAGCTGTGGCTAGGGAAATGGAATATCTACATTGGGGATGCAACATTCAAACCACACTTTAACATCAAGCCTCACAAGTCACAACAGTTCTAAACTAGAATTTCACTCTAGAAGTTTCTGACTTCGGGCTTGCAAAACTATATCCAAATGATCATAGCATATTATGGTTGATTGTTGCAAGAGGAATCTAGGGATATATGGCACCTAAGCTAATTTTTGCTGCAAAATTTAAGGTATTAATTCAGGCTATAATCTTCCATTCATATAATGTGATATGCGGCACAAGCGGATTGCGTGCATGGTGCTTCTCCAGTTCAGGTGGGAACTATTCTCCACTGTGAAAAGTTTGGAATGGGCCTCGGCCCGTCCTAAATAATAAGTGAAAGCCAACTTAGACATCCTTCGGAAGCAGGCCACGCAGCAATCACCAGACCAGAGTTCGCTGCAAAAGATCATCACTGTGCTTGCACTGGATGGTGCAGCGCGGGTTCACCACAAACAATTCCAAACCTTGATGTACGAATAGGATGATGTACTTAGGGCCCGTTTGGTTCGGCTTTTAGAATGCTCATTTGGGGAATGCAAATACTTTTAGGTGAAAGGCACTTGAAAAAATGCAAATGGTGTTTGGTAAAAAATTATTTAAAAACTACTTGGAGAAATGCAATTGTGTTTGGTTATTTCTTTTTACAAATGGGCTTTGGGAGCTTTTTTTTTTTTTTTTTAAATTTTTAAAAGTACCCTTCGCTGGCTCCGGCGAAGAGCTACGGCTGCAGGCGAGCCAGATTTGGCGCCGTCACCGGAGGAGGCCTGTGGTCGTGCGACCTTAGGCGGCTGTCGCACAGGGTCGCGCGACCCCATGGCCGTCGCCACAGGGTTGCACGACCCGGGCGGCACGGCACGGGTGGCGCGACCCGGCGAGCGGCGGCACAGGTGGCGCAACCCAGAGCGGCGAGGTCGCAGCGACCCCAGGCGACGGCGCACGGCGGTGGCGCGACCCCGAGCGATGGCGCTGGGCGGTCGCGCGACCCTAGGCGGCCGTCGCTGAGAGTCGCGCAAACCGGCGGCGACGGCCTTGGTCGAGCAACCCCAAGCGGCCGTCGCTCGACCCGGGGCCGTCGCCGCCCGGGGTCGCGCGACCTCGAGCGACGGCCCACTGGGGTCGAGCGCGGCAGTCCAGTCTGCGTCGCTTTGGGTCGCGCTACCCCGGGCGGCGACGGCCTGGGCGGTTGCCCTACCCCAGGCGGCCGTCGCCGGGGTCGCGCGACCTCGCTGGCCGCCCTAGCCAGCCACGCTTTGCTGAAGAAGAAATTTTTTTTTTTTTTTGGGGAACAGTTAGCATTCCAAATGAGCATTTGGAACTCCAATGCTGAACCGTTTGGTTCAGCATTTTGGGAATGCTCATTTAAGGCCAAATGAGCATTTTCAATGCTGATCCAAACGGGGCCTTATTAAGAAAAGTTGCCCGAGTAGATTGAGGGAAACAACAGCAAGGGATGGACGAAGCTTCTGATGCTGAAGGGAAATGTCTAGAGGGGTGACTACGCTTTTTTGCTAGAAAGTATGTATGACTACATTTGACCAATTTCTTTGCTGCAAAACCTTAATTTTAACCAAGTCGAGATCAAATTTAAATTGTTTTGCAAACGAAACAAGAAATAGCTGATTATACAATATCACAACATGAATTTACTCTATCACATAGAAGACGAGAGCAATCCGGTCGACTTTGCAAGATGTCTGATCACACGCATCTTGCCAAAATCAAACCGTGTAATTTGCTTAGGGGAGGAAACTCTGGCGATGTAGTCGTGGATATTGGTAAGCCGGATTGTTCTTGTCATTGACAAAATTACTCGATAGTTCAAAACTACTCCAATGGAAAATTACATCGTATAAAAAGAATACACGTGTCAAATTTTGTTGGAGTCATCTTGTAGTCCTGTCTGCAATGTTGTATGGGAAAATGACATAAACGGTTCCTGAACTTTGGCCCAATGTGCAATGTGATCTCTAAACTTTTAATTTGTCCAATGTGGTCTTTGAATTTTAACCCAATGTGCAATGTCGTCCCTAAACTTTCTATACATGTTCAATTTAGTCCTTAAACTATATGAAAATATTCAGTATTGTCCTTCCATTAATTTAAGTTCAGGGACAACATTAAACATTTTTATGTAGTTTAAGGACTAGATTGAGCATAAACAAAAAATCCAGGGACCATATTGAACAAATCAAAAGTTTCGGGATGACATTGCACGTTGTAATATAGTTTAAGGATCACATTGAACAAATTAAAAGTTCAGAGACCACATTGCACATTAGACCAAAGTTCATGGGCCATTTATGTCATTAATCCATGTTGTATTCATCTTTATAACAACAGGACGAGAGGAAAAGCTTAAAGGACCTCCAAATGAGGCTGAAAACATCGTTACATGTAAAGCAATTCATCAGCATTTATATCGAATTCGATTCAAGGTATATTTGGAGAGCACAAGGAAGATGGCAAGCTTCCCGGATGACATAACGGTAGACATCTTATTGCGGCTTCCGGTGAAATCGCTAGCTCGGTTCTGGTGCGTGTGCAAATCTTGGAAATCCCTACTCGCCAGTGCCTATTTCGTCAAAGCTCATCTCGATCGATCATCGAAATTTCGTACCGTCGGTCTTCTCAAGTACGATGACAACAATTCCACCAGAATCGGGGGCTACCGCTCGCATCGGCGTGAGCTATCTCATCTTGATCCTTCGTTCGGTCATCCCGACAGATATGATGCCGTTGGTTCATGTAATGGGGTCCTTTGTTTAACCATTTATTACAAAGACAACCCCGATCTTTCAGACATATTTATATGGAACCCATCAATCCATGAGTGCATGGTCGTTCCTCAACTGCACTGTCATGTATCAGGATTGATTGCTTTTGGATTCTATCCTCTCAGTGGCCATCTTGATGATTTCAAAGTGGTCAGCATAAGTTTCTACTTTGGAGCCCACCCAGACTGCCATTCTTCTGAAGCGCAGATTTATAGCTTGAGGAGCAATTCCTGGAAGAAAATCGGCAATAGCTTCCCTTCCTGGCTTGACAAGAACTTAGGCCATCAAGTTGTCTTTCAAAATTTCATCTGTTGGTGCCCTTATGCTTGCGTCGACGGCCAAATCGTTACGCCGTTGGTCTTATTGGATACCGTCGAGGACGCGTCTGCCAGAGTCAATGCCTTCCGAGGAGAAATTCATCACTTCTTTCGATGGATGCTTGTCTCTGATCGTGCAGAACCCGTCGTCTCAGTGTTACGAAGTGTGGACCATGAAAGAGTTCGGCGTCACCGAGTCCTGGACCAAGCTGTACACGACCACCGTGTTTACGAACGGATTTTTGCAGTGTTGGCCGCTTGGAGCCGCGAGCTTCGGAGAAGTTCTCTTCGTCAAGTGCTTTTATTTTGGTTTGCGTTTCTGTCTTCCTAGTCACGTGGTTTCATACGACGCAAGGAGAAGCGAATTCGAAGAATTTAAAGTTGAAGTGGACTCGGATTGTAGCAGCCAGTTGGTCCCTTATGTAGAAAGTTTGGTTTCTGTTGTAACTAGAGATTAGGGTCGGAGTTTGGGAGTTCATAAATGTGGTTTCAGGACACGACCAGTTCTAGATCCACCCGGGAAGCAAACCGGTGGATCCAAGATCAGGTGGGCCAAATCCCGATTCCACAAACTAAGAATTAGCCCTTCTTATAAGGTTCTTGGTTCCAGGGTGGAAAGCGATCCACCCTGGAACCGATTATCCCTAGTTTCAATAGAGACTACTTCCATCTTTGACGAAGTATCTTATGTATCGAAATATGTTACGCATTTCTTGTAACGTTTTATAAGTTGGACACTTTTTCTCTTGAAAATTAAATCTTTCTTTTTCTTTTTTTATTTAAGTCTTGAAATTGGGTGGCAGGGATTTTCTTAACATCCACGTCCGATTAAATGAGAGCATCATTGCCCACCAATCTTTTCTTTTTTTTGGGTCAAAATTGCCCACCAACCTGGCCCGCAGTATATTTGCTAAGTATTTCTTCTCGGAAAAATTACCAAAAAAGTCCAAAACCTTTTGCAGTTGTGCCAATTCAGTCCTAAATAACTTTTTTTTGGCCAATTCAGTCCTAAACCTTTTGCAATTCAGCCAATTCGATCCTTTTGGCCGGCGGAGGGCGACATGGACGCCCGGCCGATACGTGACGCGTGAACAGCATTGTTAGGCAGTGAACGCCGTGGCGTGAACGCCGGCCGGTGACGTGGCAATATTTTAATATTTTTTTCGAATTTTTTTTTCCTTTCTCTTTTTTTTTTCTTTTCCTTCTTCCCCCTGGCCAGTCCGGCTAGGGGGAAGCTCGCCGGCGAGGTCCACTGGGGAGGCTCGCCATCGCCGGGCAAGGCGAGGCGACCTCGCCCAGCCTCGCCACGGCTATGCGACGGCCAGGGCCGGCGAGGGCGGAGCTCGCCATGGCTGGGCTAGCTCGGCGTCGCCCAGCTCGCCCAGCGGTGGCAAGGGCAGAGCTCGCACAGCCATGGCGAGGCTCGACCTCACCAGATCTGGGTGAGGTCGAGCTCGCCCGGCCATGGCGAGCGGCCGGCGAGGGCGACCTCGCCCGGATCGGCGAGGGCCGGCGAGGCGGAGCTCGCCATGGTTGGGCGAGCTCGCCTCGCCGCCGCGGCGGGCCGGCGACGCCGAGCTCGCCCGACCATGGCGAGCTCCGCCCTCCGCCGCCCTCGCAGATCGCACGGCCGTGGCGAGGCGGCGAGGTCGCCTCGCCTTGCCCGGCGACGGCGAGCCTCCCCAGTGGACCTCGCCGGCGAGCTTCCCCCTGGCCGGACTGGCCAGGGGGAAGAAGGAAAAGAGAAAGGAAAAAAAAAGAGAAAGGAAAAAAAAAATCGAAAAAAATATTAAAATATTGCCACGTCACCGGCCGGCGTCCACGTCAGCGCCGGCCGGCGTCCACGTCAGCTCCAAACTACAAAAGGACTGAATTGGCTGAATTGCAAAAGGTTTAGGATTGAATTGGCAAAAAAAAAAAGGTTTAGGATTGAATTAGCACAACTACGAAAGGTTTAGGACTTTTTTGGTAATTTTCCCATTTCATCCCGTATCCAATGGTCAAAATCACCCGTCGTTTGACCATTCATGACAACATTAGGCAGCAATCCACCGATTTTTTGGGCACGGTGCATGCGTACATCATATTTCGATGTGCATACTCGCCGAAAACTCGACAAACGTATTCCGTATATTAATAATTTAGACACAAAATAGCATGATGAAAGTACTATTAAAGTTAAAACGTGTGAAACTCGTTCTATAGAGATAATAAATTAGTTTACTTTAAGTATGACAAGGTCAAATCGTTCCGAAAGACGGTACTCGGAAATTGCGTTACATCGAATATCGAAGATTGTTTTGTGTAAGAAGTGGGAAAAGTGACGACTGGTCAAACTTGGCCCAAGAAAACCAGCAGCAAATGCCTACGAACGGTTTGTAAATTCAGACAAAGAACATGGAAATCAAAGAGGGGTCCAGGAAGGGAAGCTGGATCGAGCACAGAAGTGGGGTTGAACCGGTTGATGAGATGGCTGATGTGGACCCCGGCTTTCTTTCTTTCTTTCTTTCTTTCTTTCTTTTCTTTTCTTTAGAGATAAGAAGAAATATTAAATTAGTAAGAGCATTTCAACCCGCATTTTGCTACTTTCTTCGTCGAACAACAATTGTCAAACCTCGACCAAAAAAAAAAAAAAAAAAAAACAATTGTCAAACCGTGGGCTTCGCCCATCTTTTATTTGCGTTGCATAACTTAATTAATAAAATTAAGGGATTTGCTGGCATAATAGTTTTCGGGCCGTTGTAAAAATACCAGCATATCGTGAGCCACAAATTCCTAAAGAAGTGGGGCCCACAATAATTTATTATTATTATTATTATTTTGTGACGAAAACAGACCGTCAATCTCACTGGAGATTAAGGATTGTCACATAATCATTTCTCTAAAATTAAGATAAGCAGTGTAGCTTAAGATATATGCTTTCTTTTGAGCACCACAACCTTCTCTTACATTTTTGGGACTCCACGGTGAGAGTTTGTATTTCTCTTAGGAACAAAATTTCCGATATAAAGCTCAAACAATTTTCTTTTTAGTTAAGCAAAGTATTAGAAAAATCTCAAAACTTGACTAATCCATGAGGCCCAACCTCCACCCACATTCGACCCAAAAAAATTAAAAAACCTCCACCCATAGGGTGGAGGGCATGACCCTAATGTTGATATAAGTGGTTGACACTATGATTTAAACATAGGATTTGCTAGATTCAAATCAAGCGTTTAACCGCTTAGCCAATCCCTTAAGGGTTAGCTTAAAGAATTTTTCTTGTTTCATTTCATAAATAGTGCAAAATGGACACCGAAAATATCAGTAAAGACGACATGTCCCGATGACTTAATCGTGGGTATGCACGTACATTATATGTGTCTTTCAATTTATTTTAAATAGGATTTTGTCAACATGGTACACTTGCTTTCTCCAATAAATTCCCCTATAGATCTACTAAAAGTTACTATTAAATGTTCCAATGATTAAGGGGGGGACAGTCCCCTATTATTTAGAACTCGTAAATGCATGCATGCTCCATACAGCTCCATGAACCCATTGGCTTCGAATAACCTGTTGTCCGTGAATCGAACTCAAGCAAACCAAATCGTAAGAAAATGCTCACTTTTTTGGAACATCTGTGAAGCAAAGTTGTCTCTCCCTTTCCTTTCCTCTTAAAATGTGAATAGTGCACACACACACTCGCCCAAGCAGCAATAGCAAAGTCAATCTTTTAAGTAGAACAGTGAACATTGAGATGCCATTGCATGGACAAAACATGCATATGCTGTGACGTGTCAGAACGTCACATACTAAGGCGGTCTTTAGTCTTTTCACTTATAGCACAAACGGAAGATAATGCACAATCAAATTAAGCATTTCTCGTTCAATGGACACATCCACAACAAAATACCACATCTTCATTTCCGACTTTTTATTTGTATACAATGGTGATGATATCATCAAACACGATAGCAAAAACTACATCAGGGAGGTCAAAATGGTGTCCTATGCCCCTAATGCCATCCAAGCGAAACTAAGGTTTCCACTATCCCCAATCACCCATCCTCACGGTCATAGCCAAAGAGTAATGACCACGTCACCAAAATAGTCCCACTATATGCAGCAACATCCACAACTCCACTCCGCTACTTGCCGTCCCCACCTTCATCACTATTGTAACTATCAGGATAAGAGATCGGTGGCATGTCCAAAGATCTGTAAAAATGAATATCAACGGGAGTGAGTTAACGCTCAACAAGAGATAAGACCAGTTTATAAACCGACCAATCTTACTAACTTTCGATTCTTAGGACACACCTACATGATATGCATTTTAGATAAACAAGTATGATTAATAACACATTTGAAAACCATAAGTATCCAGCAATTTGAATAGGATCATTTAGGACGGTATCTAATCCAGCATGCAAACCTACTACAATGTACATGACTCACTCTTTCTATCACTGATTCTAGAGTGTAAAGACCAAAAATCAATGTTAACAGACAGTCATACAAAGCATACGAAGACACGTGGTTTATCTTTTCACTTGGGCTTTAAAACTCAACTCCAAGACACATGCCTGGTGCGTTCACCGGTCACGCAAGGAGGAATATCTCTCGTCTAGCAGGGTCTGGTGCGCTCTTTGGTCTGCCGCAATGTACGCCGATATTCTCATCAGCCCGCAGAGGCTTCATAGTCCACTAACCACAGCATCCCTAAGACACATGCCTACTGCGCTCACTGGACAAGCAAGGAGGAACACTTCCCGACTAGCAAAGTCTAGTGCGCGCTCCGGTCTGCTACAGTATACACCGATATTCTCATCGGCCCGCGCAGGCTTCGTGATCCACTGACCATAACATCCCCAAGACACATGCCATGTGCGCTCGCCGGACAAGCAAGGAGGAACACCTCTTGACTAGCAGGGTTCAGTGCGCGCTTCGGTCTACTGCAGTATACGCCGATATTCTCATCGGCCCGCATAGGCTTCGTGATCCACTAACCATGGCATCCCGATCACACTCTCGGGGCATCTAGGGCAGAATACTCCTAGGCATCCGGTTCCCAAAACCAGGCATCCCGCTTTCCCTTTAACTCCTCGGGGCATCCACGGTTCATCGACCGTAGGCATCACATTCACATTGCCCAAATATCTCATACATAACTAGTACATGACACAACATGCAAATGTGATAACTCGTGAGTGCATAACAACAAGTCATAACCGTAGCATCACCTTCTCTTATACACAGTAGCTTTCACAACACAATTCAGCTTCTGCCACCAAATGTATAGCCTCATTTCCCCCATCATGTGACCTTCAATCAATGTCTAACATATCTCATTTGAAAGCTCAGAATGTGCACATTAAATCACTAGAAGACATCAAGTCCAAATTTCCAAGGTTTCACATGGAAAATGGTGCATCTTTGAAATTGAGTAAATCTGCACAGTTTTGCACCATAACCGAAATTCCTTCAAAATAAATAGTAGATGGACTCCGAAAATTCTAAAATTTGGATATGTTATGAAAGACACCTGGATAAACATTTTTCATGAAGAAACCAAAGTCCAAATATTTTTTAAGTATCTCATTTACTAACTCAAAGACAGACTAAAAATTTCTCACTGGAACAGAACCTTTGTTCCAAAAAATCAGTTCTTTACCATACCCAAAACATCTCCAAAAATTCTAAAATTTTTATATGTTGTATAGGAAGAAATCCTCAAGAACTTTTGTGAAGGAAGTTTGTTCAAAATCAGCCCAGAAAAGTTTGTAGAAAATCAAGAAAGTGTAAACATCACATAAATACCCATTATTGATAATTTTACATGGTCCGAAAATTAAGCTTTCTTACTACTCATATCAAGTCCAAAAATTTTGAAATTAAAATATGTTAAACATCAAGATATTGGGAACAACTTTTAAGGGGAAATTTCTGGAAATTCGGTCCAAAAAATTCTCCACAAAAATAACAAAACGAAGAGGTACAGAGGACCCGAATCTGGGTTTTCCAAAACAAGAGCAAGAATTGAGTCTGAATGGGAAAACTACCAAATTTGATTCAACAAAACTCATATCCAGCAACTTGAATAGACATGCAACACCCATTTGGAACTCAAGAACACACATGCACTTCATTTTCAGGTCTGATCATATTCATTCATGCACAATAAACATCAAGAACCATACATGCAAGCCACCAAATTGAATCTACAACTCAATTCTAGCAAAAGCAGCTAGAAAATCAAGGTTGTAGGAAAGATTGGAAGGCTTAGAAATGAGTATCATCTCCTTGTCTATTGACGTTCGGAATTTCCGCGAATTCTCGTCGGTCGACCGGCGTTTGTGTGGGTGGTGCAGCGAACGACCGTGCGGTGTGACGTGGTGGCCGGGCGAGCGGGATGAGCGGTTGGGGCCGTGAAGAACTGAGTGAAGATGAGCGATTGAGCGAGGGGCTGTCCGAGTGAGATAAATGAAAGGAAAAGAGAAGGGGAAGAGGGGAACGAGAGGGAAAAGAGGGATGTGGCCTGCTGTTTGTGGTTTTTGGGGAGCTAGTGGAGGACGTGGGGGGAAGGAGATGCAGCGGCTGGGCAGGTGGCGGCCAAGGGGAAGGAACTGGGCAGGTGGCAAGAGAAAGAAGGAAGTAGGGGCAGGTGGCTTGAGGGGCAGGGTGGTGTTGCATGGGGAGGCTGATTGCGTGAGCAGGAGGAGGGATAGTGACGTTGGGGGTGATATGGTGGTGGGCTGCTGGCGTGAGAAGGGGAAGGAAAGAGAGCATGTGGGACGGGGGTAAGGGCAGCACAAGGTGGCATGCGTGGGAAACAAGGGGAAGTGAAGGGAGGGGTAACGAGACGGTGAGGTGGTGGTATCCAAAATTTCTGAAGTTGGCACTTCTAAACTTCCATGGATGAACGTTCTCATCACATCATTCATTTGCTCACTTTGTTCGTTACACGAATCGATGAAGTTTCGGGATGCCACATATGCATATTCTCAAATGAAGTACTTATTCATCGTGTAATCCGTTAAGATCCGTTAAAGTGATGCTAGGTTTATTAAAATTGATATACTAAGTGATGTGACATATCGCAAATACTTATTAATAACAAGTGGGTTGTGTTCGAAAGATAATGAAAGCATGTCCATCGTGCCATTTATTACGCATAAATTAACGTGTATATATCTAATCTTACGCATTTACAAATCAACTCAAAATCTGAAAATTCGTGTTATGATGCTTTTCTCTAATAATGCATCTCCATTCCACTTCCACCCCTCATCTCCAATTGTCCCACCCCCTCGATGCCACGTGGCGTCCCGAATATCCCAAACCGAAACGAATAGCCGCCATGGATTCTCCAATCCATGCCCTGTGCTCAATCGCAGAAAGAGAAACATTGCCATCACCTCATCGACACACCCATCCCTTCTCCCAAACAGAGAAAAGGTGAAAAATAGAAGAAGGAAAGAAGAAGAAGAAGAAGAAACGAGATTAGTACTGCCTTGCGTTTCACTAATCATTTTATGACGGTTTTCCCCATTGTCCATGGATTTCTTAGGACATCCATGCCCTCCTCCCGTTACCACCTCAAAATCACCTCCCAATTTGTCCAAAACTAGGGGTCGTCACAGAATCCCATAAGCTAAAAGACATATCACACTTCATCATCAACACAAAAAAAAAAAAAAGACCCTTTGTTTTGTTTTTTATGTATTACCTCTCGAAATCTGCCTACGTTTTCCCATCAACCTTAACCACCTCCGGTTTCAGTTTCTTGGATCACAGAAAGCAGCAGAAAGAAGCAAAACCCATCTCATGCACTGTCCGAGAAAACAAGCTGATTCCCTCCATTTGCCTCAACACACATTATAAATCTTCGGTCCCTCTCTCTTGCCCTTCTCTCTCTCCATCCCGGTCATATTCATCACTGCCAAAATTTCCTTAGAGAAGGGCAAAGAGAAACATCATCGTGTCATATTCAAGATATGGCAGTGTGCACATTCCACACAACCCAGTCACTCAACCCCGCATGCTCATCAATCGCAACACCATCAAAAGCCACCCAATTCGGAAGCTTAGGCTTCCACCAGAAGCAGGTCCTTTTCTGCACTCATGGCAATAGACCCATGATGGCCAAGAGAAGAGGGGAAATCTTCCAGAGCCACCCGTCATCACCCTGTGTGGTCATTCGCTCGGCAGCCGGTGGCAGCGGCGGCAACACACTGGTGATCGGCCTGGCTGCCGACTCGGGGTGCGGGAAGAGCACCTTCATGAGGAGGCTCACAAGCGTTTTCGGAGGGGCGGCCGAGCCACCGAAGGGCGGGAACCCGGACTCCAACACCCTCATTAGTGACACAACAACCGTGATATGCCTGGATGACTACCACGCCCTGGACAGGACAGGGAGGAAGGAAAATGGTGTCACTGCACTCCACCCACGCGCCAACGACTTTGACCTGATGTACGAGCAGGTCAAGGCGCTTAAGGAAGGAAAGGCAGTCGAGAAGCCAATCTACAACCACGTCACCGGCCTCCTCGACCCACCGGAGCTCATCGTGCCGCCCAAGATCCTCGTCATGGAGGGCTTGCACCCAATGTATGTTACTTGTCTCTCTCTACATTATGTCGTTGAGAAAGAAGATTTCTTCAAATTGGGGTTACATGTGGACAAGTTCTTAGGGAGTAACCAATTCAGAATAAGATTTTATGAGTAGATAAAGAGTTTTTCAGGACAGACCGACGAAAATATTAGGTAGGCTGATGGTACAATCGATGTCGTAGATGAAATCAATCTTCATTTGGGTCCATCTGTATGGGATTGATAGTTAAGCTATGTCCTCCTCTTTGGAGATCAAGGATATGGTATGCCTCCCAATCTTCGGTTTTTACTGATTACATTTTAGCAATAGATTTTAGGAGCTGATATTTAAGCTGCATTTTGTGGTTGAGGAATTGTCATTCTTCTTTAATAGCTGGGCCCTACACGGGCCCATGTCTTTCCATGAAAGTACTGGGAATTGACAATCTTTGATCTGGAAGCATAAAAGAACTTTCTTCATGGGCTTGGCATATTGAACAGCTTAGCTTGACCACTCGTTGAGTCTAGACCCCTTAATTTGATCTTTGTGAAAAAATTGGGGATTTTGCAGGTTTGACCAACGTGTAAGGAACTTGCTGGACTTCAGTATTTACTTGGACATCAGCAATGAGGTGAAGTTTGCTTGGAAGATTCAGGTAACACGAATCTGCTAATCTCTGAATTGTGCCTCTCACGATAAACAGCCTGAGAATGAGAATGCTCGACTCATATTCTGATAAAAACTTGACAAAAATTGCAGAGAGACATGGCTGAGAGAGGACACAGTCTTGAAAGCATCAAAGCTAGCATTGAGGCCAGAAAGCCGGACTTTGATGCTTATATAGGTAAAAGATAAAACCCATTTTTTCGATGATTAAATTTCCTCGAAAAATAATTACTTTGAACTTTTGTTTTCATGCTAGTGCTGATACTATGCCATATTTGCATACTATGAATAAATTCATACGGGACATCAATATTAGTGTCCATAATCCGTGTAGATATCATGCTTGTCTTTTTCCATTAAAGGGGAAAGGCAAAGTTATTATAAACTCTTCAGCATTCTTTGCATTTTTTTAATTTCTCTTTTTCGAAACTTGCAGATCCACAAAAGCAATATGCAGATGCAGTGATTGAAGTGTTGCCAACCCAACTCATTCCTGATGACAACGGAGGGAAGGTGTTGAGAGTGAGACTGATAATGAAGGAAGGAGTGAAGTACTTCAAACCGGTTTACCTCTTTGATGAGGGCTCAACAATCTCATGGGTCCCTTGTGGAAGGAAACTCACCTGCTCTTACCCGGGCATCAAGTTCTTCTACGGCCCTGACACTTACTTTGGCCATGAGGTAATCATTTGCTTCCACATGTTTCTTCATGTTTTTTCCAAAACTAAGAATCCATCGACTAGGTTTCGTAATATCACTGCTTACCAATTGTCGCACGGTAGACTCAGCCAATAAGAGTAAAGAAAACGTATCGAGGCCGTGCATTCTGTATGTTGTCCATTATGAGATCGTCATTTTCTAAGTTTTTCTCATTCATAGAATGAATGAATCGTATCTAGCGATGGTTCCATTCTCCCTCCCTAGAAATGTCTGCCTGTCTGCGTCTGCGTCTGTGTCTGTCTCTCTCTCTCTCGAGAATATATATGTTTAGTACAAAGAATATACAGAGAAAAAGAAGCAGGGTGAACAAGACCATTTCATTTTGTTTTACCTCTAAATCAGTCACCATCAATTTGGAAACTTCCGTTAGATTTGTCCTTTTATTAGCATCACTGCCAGCTCTATAAATTTTCATTGTAGACTCTTTTCTTTTTTATCCATCTGTTTTGACTCATCGTCAAAACCTTTTTTTTTTTCTCTCTAATTGCAGGTGTCTGTGTTGGAGATGGATGGGCAATTTGACAGACTAGATGAGTTGATATATGTGGAGAGCCATCTCAGCAACATCTCCACCAAGTTCTATGGAGAGACCACCCAGCAAATGCTCAAGCACTCTGATTTCCCTGGGAGCAACAATGGCACAGGCCTCTTCCAAACCATCATTGGCTTGAAGATCAGAGACCTCTTTGAACAAATAGCTGCCACCAAAACTGGTGCTCCATTGGAAGCAGCAAAAGCTTGAAACTTTCTACAAGGCAGGAAAACAATATCGCCCACATTGATCTTAGTTCCTCAACCCCTATTTTCTCCTTTACTATTTTTTCTCTTCTTATTTTTTTCTTTACCTCATCACCCAATTTTTTTTCCTTCATGCTACGACCCGAGTAGAGGAGAGCACTCGGGGTGTACTTACTTCTCCCCCATGTAATTTCAATCCAATTTGTAACATAGAGGAATAATAGCAGAAGATCATATATTATTAGGAAAGCAATTAGTAGATAGACGGTGCATTATATGCGACAAACTTGCGTTATCTATGACCGTCCAGAGAAGGAAAAAAAATCTATCACACTGTTCGAAACAGAGGAATTGTGACAGACCTTGTCAAGTCATCATTCTTAACTTAACTTTGACCTTAATACAAACGGTAATAACTGTTCGTCACTCGTATACAGATTGTCACCAGAACTAGCATAACAAAGTGCATAATTTTGCCATGTCCATAATGTAAGAGAAAGTCAGCCGGAGATGTAGAGAAGATATGGCAGGTCCTAGACCATTATGAAATTCTAACACAAATAAGAAATCATCTAGAGAGAATATTGGCAAATCATGTCTATAAATTGACTAATGGCCATTAACTCCAGACAGCAAATGAAAACTGCCTGTACTTCTATCATCCAAATCAGTTAAATATGCCAAGGGGCAACAACAAAATCAAGCAGGTGAGGAAAAATAATGAGGCATGCACTACGGTTAAAAGGAAAACACAAAGCATCTAAAATGAGACAGCTCGCTTCCTGTATGCTCGACAAAAATTTTTATGGATCACTATTTTCAAAGATGATGATGCCACATGTTGTCTGTTACAAAAAAATACAAGCACAGAGATATAACTCTCTCAAGTTTACTATATAATTGCCATTAAGCAGGGACACTACATACAAAAAACCTTCAGAAAGATCAATGGAAAACTAGTAGAAAAAGTATAATAACCTTTCTACATAGTGAACGGACACTCAATAGCTAATATTAAAGCCACCTATTCCATGAAAATGAAACGATATGTAATTTGTGTAACACAGAATTCTCTACTCATCTTTTGCCGCTATCATAATAGAACCGCGATTTATTAGAGGACTGATCAAAATTGAAATGAATTACATACTCTTATTTTGCTCAGCTATCATCTCAGGAATCAGAGCCAGAAAAATCCGGCCCTCACATTCTAGAAGTCAACGACTTCTTGAGTTCCCTCCGAAGAATCTTTCCAGCAGCTGATTTCGGAATTGAACTGGTAAAAACTACCTTCCTCACTTTCTTGTAGGGAGCAACCTAGAAGCACAAAGAAGCGTATGTTGAAAAGCTTAGTTCATTTGATCATCAAGAAAGACGAAAAAAGCCTGTCATGTGTGTTTAACACATTAAAACCATTTCATACTGCTATTATCTTTTCTAAGTGACATAACTTGGGAAATGTTTAATTTGTGATGTGTGCATGCGAGATGACATCTAATTAACTTGATGAAAAACCTGTGCAGCTAAGTAGTCCATGGCAGCTTCCTCAGAAATATTGCTTCCGATTCTCCTGACAATGAATGCCACCGGTATCTCACCCGATTCTTCATCAAGGGCACTGTATGGTACAAAGAAAATAAGTAACAGCACATCACTAGATCAACAACACAAGAAAAATAAGACATTTAAAGAAATTCGACTAAAACAGCATATGATTAAACTTTGCTCCAGTTATAGACATATTTCATAGCAAAGATGGATTGGTTCTTTGATCTTTTTTAACTATATTAATTCCCAGAAACAAAATATTTAGACAATTCAGCTGCGAGATAACTGAGATGCTTCTGAGTATGCATTTTCTCACTCTCAAAATCTATACCACAGGAAAGGAACTGACTCCGCCCTCAATTTTCTTGTCCAAATTAGCAAGGCTAAATTTTTATTTTTATTTTTTTTGTGGGGGAGGGGGCCGCATTGAAGTCTCGCTTACCCTGTTACTGCAACATCAACAATGTCAGGATGGGTAATTAATGCAGCCTCCAGATCAGCAGGAGCAATCTGTTGGCAACACAAGATGTCACATGAAGTTAGCTAGTATTATAAGAAAAAATAAGTTTGTCAAAGAGCATGTAATTGCTTATTGCAATTGATAATCTCTTAAGAATTCATGTTCTGTAATAATCTCCTTTTGATATATTGAGATGAAGAAAAGATATAAACTGTAGCACCATTTTCAAATTTCAGCATAATGCAGAGATATGACCTATCTCAAAGAAGCCACTGGGAAAAGCAATATTTCAGCAAATTTGTGACAACCATTAACATTAACTGTCAAGCTCTTACCTGAAAGCCCTTGTACTTTATAATCTCTTTCACTCGATCGAGTATATGTAAAAATCCATCCTGATCAAAATGAACAATATCTCCGGTATGTAGCCAACCATCCTCATCGATCGTCAAGCTAGTTGCATCAACATTATTCAAGTACCCTGAAAAATTGTAGGCAGCTTTGAATATCTTACTTTAAAAGGAAATAGGAAGTGATACATGCACATACACCCTGCATACCCTTTGCTTTGCAGGAAAATTAGGTGAAAATACTTCTTTAACTGAAACGCCAACAAATCTAGCACAATTATGGAATCCCCAAAAGCCAGAAAGAAGTAAAGAAAACACTAGAAGGATATTCTAAGCACGGAGGTCATACGCAACCTATGACACAGATTTATGCACCTAATAAACAGACAGTACTGCAGTTGGAAAGTAATTCGAGCACATTAGTGTGCACGTGGTTCTTTTCCAGAAGTTAAAACAAATCTAGCAAAAAGAATTTCTTACTACCTGCTTGAAAGTCCAATGAGAAATTCAAAAACGAAAAAAGAGAGATAATTTTACCTTTCATGATTGCAGGTCCTCGTAACAAAAGCTCGCCACTACAGCCTGGAGGCAAGAAGGATCCAGTCTTGGGGTCCAACACCTTGGCTTGCATATTTGGAGCCAAAAGTCCAATGGAAGAATATCTTCGACACTTCTCCGTGTTGAAGCCTCGGGTTCCAACTGCAGTTGACTCGGTCATGCCATAACCCTGCCAACCAGCATAATCAATGGCTGGACATTCCTAAACTGCAGAAATCCTTGCAATCCCCCGACATACAATTAACGTCGTTCCTCAAGTGATGCCATGAAAAGTTCAAATTCAATCAACTCAGAATTAATTTTTTCCATCTTAAAAGTGATTGGAAAAGGGGTAAAAGAAGTCAAGACTTCCAACATATGTCAGTGTTTCAACTGCTGTCTAATGTCTGCAGATCAAATGAATGCTAAGAAAACCCAAAAAAAGAAAAAAAAAATTCCTAAACTTTAGTTTATTGCTCGCAGAGCAGAAACAGGGAAATTAGCATGTCCTGGGAATGAAAAGAAACTAGTAGACTTGACTGAGCAAGGCACAGATGTAGAACCAAGAAAACAATAAGAGTAATGCAAGTTTCATCATCCCTACCTGAATGAAGTCAACATGAGGAAAAGTCTGAACAAAGTCCTCAATGCTCTTCCTGCTGAGAGCAGCAGCCCCGCAAGAGACCTGCTTCAAGCTCCTCAAGCCACTTCCACGGGCACACTTCACAGTCCTGGTCAGAGCAGTCAATATTGGCGGAACCACAGGGAAATGGGTGACTCCATACGTATCAATGGCCTTGACCACCTCGTTGGGATCGAACCTCCTCATCACAACCACAGTAGACCCCAACGATAACAGTCCCAAGACAAAGAGCGACATGCCATATATGTGGAACATCGGCAGGACAGCCAAATACACGTTCTCGGAACTCGGGTACTCGTACTGAGAGGCTTCGAACCTCACGAAGAGCTCGCACATGGCGATGAAATTCCCATGTGTGAGCACGACCCCTTTGCTCACGCCCGTAGTGCCGGATGAGTACACTATCGCCGCCGTATCTTGCTGCTTCACGACGGGCCGCTTGAAAGATTCAAATTTTCTCGACAAAAGCATGCGAAAATCCGCAAACTCGCAATCTCTAGAACCAGAAGATACATCCCCTGGCACAGCAATGGCTGGAACACCCAATGCCTTCAACATCTCGCACTTGTCGGACGAAGCGAAAGCGAGACGCGCGTTGCAGTCCGAAATCTGTCGCTTGGTCTCGGACACGCTGCTCAGCGGGTTCGCGGTGGTGACGACCCCGCCAGAGAACAGGACGCCCAAGAAGACGACGGGGTGGTAGACGGAGTTGGGCAATTGGAGCAGGACGACGTCTCCCCGCGAGACGCCCATGCTGCGAATCCCCGAAGCCATGCACCGGACGAGAGCGCGGAGCTCCGAGAAGGACAAGGACGACCCGGACGGAGAATCGACGAGGGCGGTGGAGCCGCCGTCGTGGGCGCGAGAGAAGAGGTAGGAAACGACGTCGCCCACTGGGTCGGAAGGAAGATCGACGGGGGGGTGCTTGCTGCAGTAGATGCCGGTGGCCGGCGAGAACCAGCGAGGAGGGCGCGTCGCTCGTGGGCTGGTCTGCATGCTGGCGGTTACAGAGAAAGTGCGAGGGATGTGTTTGTTTGTTTGCTTGCGCCTGTGCGTGCACTGACAAAGACAGAGGAGAAGGAGAAGGGGAAGAAGAAGAAGAACAGAGAAGCAGGGGAGACGAGGAGGAGGAGGAGGCTGCGGTGCAAGGTTTGTCGTGCAGGAAATGCGAGCCAGCCATTGGAGGCGGCTAAGATTTGTTTGTTAGGCTTCTTTTGCTGAGTCGCTTGGTTACCTGCCGTAAAAAAAGGAACCGCAACATTAATCCGAATCTACAATTATACCTATATAGTATATACACGATTTATGGGGATTCGAAAAACTGAATATTTTTTCCTTTTTTTTTTGGGCGATTTTACTGAACTGATAGATACTTTCTCGATTGAAATTGCCAGGCTATGCCGCGACACTTTTTTTTTTTTTTTAAAGAGGTAATGACACAAATAGTTCGTGAACTTTGGTTCAATATGCAATTTGGTCCCTGAACTTTTAATTTATTCAATGTAGTCCATGAATTTTAGCCTAATGTTCAATTTGATCCCTGAACTTTTAATCTGTTTAATGTGGTCCCTGGACTTTTAGTACGTGTTCAATTTAGTCCCTAAACTATATGAAAACGTTCAATGTAGTCCCTAAACGTGAATTAATAGAAGGACTACATTGAATATTTTCATATAGTTCAGGGATTAGATTGAACATGTACTAAAAGTCCAGGGACCACATAGAATAAATTAAAAGTTCAAGGATCAAATTGAATATTAGGCTAAAGTTCAGGGATTACATTGAACAAATTAAAAGTTCCGAGATTAAATTGCATATTGAACAAGAGTTCATGGACTGTTTGTGTCATTTTTCCTTTTTTAAGCAACGGAGTGTATTTAGGCTTCGCCTACTAATCCCCTGAAATCTATAAATACCCCGCAAGCCTGTGACCCATGTAAGTCCCGGCTTTGACCATGCAGGTGACTACGGAAATTGGTATCATGCGACGGGTAGAAGGGAACGAACTCAAGAAAAGACGACACTCGCTCGAGCCCATCGCTTATCCAACCATGCCAGGCCCTTAGGGTTGCGATACCTTGTATTAAAATGACAACGGAACTTACCTTGTTATAACTGCGTTACGACCAAAGAATTCGTCCTCGTGGATCCTAGAAGGCCATGACACTTCTAGGCAAGCCTGAAGGATTGATTTGTTTTTTTGTTTTAGTTTGTGAAACCTTATTGAAAGATCGTTTGCTATGGGAGAAATTACAAGACGCCCTTATAATTATTTGCCAGTGAGGTCAATGAAGTAAGAGTCTTAAGCTATTCTAGAAAAAAAAAAAAAAAAGGCACGTACTAGCAATGCAATTAAGGTATTATCTGATATGATGTAGTTTGTAGTATAAAATTCAACTTAGTTTATTCACACATGTAATATAAACCCAACTTAAATGCTTAATTAGGCTAGCAAGCCGCTTAAATATAGCATTAGGTTTGAGCTCGACTTGATTTAAATACATGGAGTGCACAAATTGACTCAACTATACTCCAATTAGGTTTCAATTGTGAGCCTCTGAGTCATTAATTCCAGTCGTGTATGATCAATCTCGAAGTTAAATTTATTCATTTGAAAAGTGTAAGCATTGCCTAAGTGTAGGGACCACGCACTGATATGTAAACGGCTAAACGCTCAATCTTGACAAGGAGGTGAGCTAGCTCAATTAGTCCCCAAGTGGGATTGAAATAGTTGACAGATGAAGGATTAAATTATTTATTAGTATCCCGAAACTTAATGTCAAAAATTACTCGACAAACTTCATGTTTGTTCATGGCCAAACACAGAGAAAAATTATTTTGAGCATCCACAAATATAAGAGTTTGAGTTGTGACTTGAGCTTGACAATGTGTGGTTGGTAAACAAGGATCGGCTACGGAATGTATCGTCAAATATTCAATATGATTCTACAATATCTAATTTCCTTCAAGTAACGGATTCTAGCTAATTGAAAGGATCTAATCAATCTAGAGATCATTTGATTCCATTAGTAACGAGGATTTGCCCTATATTTTGAATTCAATATCTTTTTGGATCATATTGAAATAGGATTTTGGGGATAAGGAATAAACAAACCATGACTAAATATTCACATATGTAATGAAAAATGTAATAGATTTTTTAGTGGGGTTGATCCAGGATAGATAGGCATCGCTTTGGACTCGCCAACAGTGTTCCACGAACGACTGTACAAAATGAAGACAGATCGATTACGACCCAAGACTGATTTATGGTCTATGGCGACTGCCGATGATGAAGGATCGATGGGGAAGGGTTTCAATGGGTGGCCACAGAGGCCGGGCTGTGGAACGACCAAGAACCACTCGGGACATAATGAGGGCAACCGAGGACATACCACCGATGCTTAATCTAGACGGACAAGCTACCACTTCGGACTGATCGACCACAAACCAATATTTGATCACAATAGCACGGACCGATCAACAAACGACTTGCATCCGACAGTGCCGGTATATGCTAATTTGGCAACAGTGCTAGTGTATTCGTGATTGTAAGCAACTAAAAAAATGAGTAAATCTATGAGCTTATGAAGTCTACTTACCAAATGAAGTTTTCTTTTCTTTAAAATTCGCCAGATTCGCAGATTACCGATCCATTGACGTGGATGCCAGGTTGATTCGTTCGTTCACATTCATTTACTCTCAATCCCATCTCCTCTACGGAACAGAGTGCTTTGCTTTTGATACGCACACCTCGTCATTTCGAGTGAGCAAAACGTGGTTAAGAAAGGCATGAGGAGGACTTGGTTATTTATTACGTCAACCACTGGGAAGGAAACCCATAAACAGAAGGCACAAAAAAGTACCTAAAGAGGAATTGAGCTAAAGAAAGCAAGCAAACATCCTAATTTTGTCAAAAGCCATTCTTCCTGTTAAAAATACACTACATATATGCACGCAAAAAGAAAAGATGGTGGTCCTGAAACTTCTTCTCCACTGTTAATCTGAGCTGATGCAACAAACGCTAAATTAGTAAACTCCATTATGTACAACAATGAATGAGTTGGTGACTTCATATCCTCGATATATTGGACTTTATAACGAATTGGGCTCTCGTCATGCAGGAATTCCACCCTCCAAATGAGTAAATTAGATTGATCTTATGTCTTACAATACTGAATTAATGACTTTATTATGAATTGGCTCCCATCGTGCAAGGACCCCACGCTTCCAACGTGGGATTCCAGTTCCCCATCGGAGTTCTTTTTTCCTTGGTATACTTTATAAGCCGACGTAGATCTAGGATCAGTCAATACCCGGCTAGGAGTTTTGACCCTTCAGTGTTTATTAGGGTGCGTTGGGGAGAACATTTGGGAAAAAACTTTTACGTAAGTGCAAAGGACTTTAGATCCAAGGCTTTTTTCGAGATAAGGGTACTAGGATAAGAAAAGATAACATGCGCAGGACTAAATTGAATCGATTTTGGCAAATTAGAGCCGTTTGAAAATGGAGTACCCTCCAAAGGAAATACTTTAAAAGTGCCCCCATTGGTTTAATGAAGTCCAAAAAGTGCCCCTATTTGAGGAAAAAGAACTCGCTTAATGGTTCTATAACCGCAAGCACGATGGAAGATGCTTGGGATTGACAATGCACTCTAATTTTAGAAAGAAAATATGAAGATCTTTACTTTGTGGACCTGAATTTCCCCATTTTGGGTTTGCTTCCTCCACCTCATTGCAGTCTTTTGAAATTCTTCTTCTATATTGCATTCATACAAGAAGTACATTTTTTTTTCATGAACAGAAGAAGAATGAAGATCCATCACTTGTACAGTTAAATACTCGGCTAAGCCTATGCTAGTACTTCTTGAACAGGCTTCGGATGAAGAGGATCAACTGATCAACTCTTTATGAAAATCAATCGATCTTCTATCCAATTCATTGTTGAATGCGGAAGACAACTTTCAATATCACTATTGATGGGACATTTCCTCATATAGATCTGCTAAGTTTGAAGATAGAAAGGATTATTTACATATGTATCTTTTGCTTTGTCCAGCTGGGTCAACTGCACCAAACACAACACAATGGACAGAGACCAAACTAGGGCTATTTGTACTTTAGTTATAGGGAGAACTTTGTATCAACAAAAACCTCATCACTTCCCCGGGTAGGCCGGGCGGCCCACCAGATACTATCCCGCCGAGATGGCATGATGCCCATGGATTATATGACCATTTGAATCACCTGCTGTGAATTTCAGCCGTCAATCATCAATAGCTGAGATTAAGTATTGTCGATCCAACGGTTTTAAATTGTAAGGGCATGCGATGCCCTCGCAGCAAAATAGACTAACCCCTCTTCCACATTTTTTTTCTGGGGGCCTCTAGGTACAAGTGAGGATGGACCATCACCTGACCAAACCTCACCAAGAAAATTAACCGAGTCCCAAGAAAAAAATCAGAAGAAGAGGAAGCTGAGTCAAAGTAAATTTATCTCCAGAAGATATTGCAAACTATTTGCATCATACATATGACAGAGAGACTAATAAATTAGTAAACAAGCAACATGAAAAAAAGCGCGACAATCTATCATCCAAATAAGCGATGACGGATGTCGAGTTCTTCTTGAAACAATCGGTTAGACTTCATCTGTAGAACCCGTCAATGATAGCCCTCGGCCTTGTATGGAGAGAAATTATACGAGGGGGATCCGTCTCATGGCAATTGATGTAATGGGACCTCAACTAACTCCTCTTCCTCCGCTTCAAAGGACCGGAAAATCGGGTGTAAGTAGGCATCGGCTAAGTAAGCCTTCAAGTTTAGGCCCAGTTCTGCCTCCGGTTCTGCTATGTCTTTAGCCATGGCTTCCTGCGGGGAAAAGGAGAAACGTATGGCTAAAACCACATTCATAAAGATGCGAAAGATGTAGGTTGCGACAGCGAGTGGACAATCTGCATAATTATCCATGATAATCATGCTGAAGACCTCAAAGGATGTTGGCCAAGTGAAAAGAGCTCAGCACCAGGTCTTTTCTTTCGATGGATAATTTTTTGGGTCAAGTACACTATGTCGGACTTTTAACCGTGAACCTTCGACTCATCATTCTGTTAGGCAAACCAATGACGTAAATAAGCACAATAACCACAATGAGAAAAATACCACTCCAAATCCCACAATGCCCCTATTTTCCTTGAGGATGAGAGCACAATCCCTCGGGTCATTTGTGAAGTGATCCCGGTACCTTTCTTATTTTCAATTGATATCCTAGTACTTCTGACACCAGTGAAAATAGCCATTCACCACAAATTTTATCAGGGTTCCTAGTTGACTAGACCTCTCCTGTACTACGATAATAGTGCAATACTATGTTGCAAGCTATTCCATTGCAATGAAAAAACCCTTGTACAGTGAAATCTACATTTTAACGATGTAAACAAAATCTATCAGCTCATGGTGAGGAGGATACTGTCAATTTCTAATTATTACAAGATAATGTGTTACTGAAAGACCAAAAAAAAAAAGATGTATAAGCGCTCAAGTTACAAAGGGCCCAATAGGAGGAATGCGAATATTCTATCCTAAGAATACTATAGGGAAAGTTGACAAATGGCTATGACCCTAAAACTCTTAACGGGGGTAATGGTTTACAGTGCACATTGATAGCCACAATCATCAGTGCTTTTAGGTTCTGCCTGTGGAAACAACTGCCAGTAAGTGAAAGGCAAGCCCTTTTGTTAATGACAAGAAACCCACCTTACGTAGGCAATTTTTAGGCCCTGTAAGACTAGCTCACTTCTTAAAATGCAACATATTGATCTTCGGTAATTTTTTTCTTTCTTTAGCTTATTTACCCTGATATGCAACATCAATAACCATGGAGCAATAGTTTATTTCGGTTATTGGAATTGGATCTGGTTCAGGAAGCCCAACCAACACAAGAATTTGCCACACCCACAACATGTTCAAGGGATGCTAATTGAATAGTCAATGAAAGAAGTATCTCAAACAAGCTTGGATAAATGAACATCAAGGATTCATAACGAAAGTTTCAAAATCATAGAAATTTACCTCCAGTGGATACTTTCCGAAAGCTGGCTCAAATCGATGTTTGCAGTACTTGTGAAAGGACAGTGTAAGTATCGGTAAAATAACAAGCAGAGGAGTGGAGTTAGCAGCCTTTTTAGTACTGAGCAACCCCAACAAAAGAAGCTGAGATATTAGTAAGCCAGCAATTATCCGACTATGAACGTGTGGCCAGAATGCTGCAGCACTCTCGTAGCGTTGATTGTAGACATTAATTATCTGCCAAAATTAACCATCAGAGGAAGCCAAAACATATCAAATGTAAGTGAACTTTCCCGACATCACATAAAAATGGTCCGTCAAGACTAAAGGATTGCACATAGAAAAAACAATATTGAGTCAGTTAACTGACCTGATGACGGTATACTAGATATGCAAAAGCAAAAAAGACTAGTATGAATGGCAGAAGAATCGGAGTAACCACAGCATAAACGATCCCCAAAAGAAAGTAAAGTTGAAGACTAGGGAGAGTCTCTGGAAAATCCACGCTTCCAGGTTTCATCGCCTTCTCCCTGTCTCTCTCTGTCTTTACCAAAAACATATTCTTGAGATGGAATATAATCAATGGCTTTAAACGGAGAATTTCGCCGGCAATGCCAGCCCATCCGTCCACCATTATGTATGTGATGAAGAAAGTGGCCTTCATAGGTATTGACACCCCAATGGTTCTAGGAATCCTGCAAAGGTTCACAGCACACATAAATTGGGGGATAAAGGAGAATGCGTGTTGTGAAGTAATTCAACATGTCGATGGTACAGAATGGTGAACTCAACTCATCCAAATACAGAACTTGTACAGCAGATATCAATTATGATGACGTTACAAAAAGTATATTTGGTTAGATGTCACTAAATATATGTGCTTCAGGGGGAAAAACCCATATAGGAAAGCCTCGATAAGCTGAAGAGTATAGACATTAACCATTTCGACCCATTTCAATGTGAAGGCATCGAATTGGAAATTGTGAATCAAAGAAATTCAGGAATAAAAAGAGAAGCCTCCATTCATAAGGATAAGAAGTCGTACTGCGTAGGTGCTTGATGAAGAAAAGCATAGAGCTGCTCAAAAGCTGTTCCAGTCACTATACTTCCCAGAAAGACATTCACCAACATGAAAAAGTAGAACTTTGATGCTGTTTTCCTCTCCAACATTGACAACGATATGTGTCCCTCAATTTTTGACATTAGCATCAAAACTTTAGGAAGAAGGTACAAAAAGATTTTGAGAGCAAGACCGGGGAGGAAACCTTGTAGGAATGACTTGATGAATTTCCTGCATTTGCAAGAACAATGATTTCAAGGTGAGACAAAGAGATAGAACATGAGACCATATTGACTTTGTCTCCTCCTGAAAATGACCAAATCTCCGATCATTTCCATCTTACATGCAATACAAAGTTCATATTGAAGTGAAGAAAATCAAAGCATCGGTTGCAATTGAAAACTGGAGGATCAAGCACCAAGGAATTGATATGAATTAAGTAAAGAAACTACTGCAACTTTTAAATTGTTGATACATTAGTTGCAAAATCTCCAAATATACAACAAGGAATGGCAGGCAAGGACACTTTTAAACTGCAAATACAAATGGCGGAGAACGACAAGAGCAGAAACAGAATTGCCAGAGTCATAAGGATGCAGAGTGCACGAGCAACAAGATCAAAGTCTTCAAAAGTTGAGATTTTTCCAAATGCAATATACGATTCTCACTAATACTTCTCTATTATACAAAGTTCACAAGAAATCAAATCTTAGTTGTTTGCTTGACATATCCCTAGGTTATCAAAGGAATATCGTGCACACTTCAGAATAAGGTAAAGAAAGAAGAATTCTGTATTTTGCAAGAGCGTCCACAAAGAAGAATTTTATTCCTTTCTTATTCATTTAAAATTTGAAGAATATGATTACTTCACTTACAGTTCTATCATTGGCCTGAGGAAAGGAGCAACTTTTTCAAGTCCATCCAAGTTGGCAAGAGATTGGACAAAAGCAATTGGTATCATGTAAAAGAACACCAGAGCAAAGACTGCCAAGGATATCACAAGTCTCCGAATGCTCAGTGAAAAGAATGGTATGGCTAAGTTCTTCCAGTAAACATCACGGGGTTCTGGGGCCCAGTTGGTCAACCATTGGGTTGGATTCTTGCTTTGTTGTGTCTGTGCACAAACTGCCGCGCCCCAACGTGAATTGAAGGACACAAAGGCAACTGGCAGGATAGACTTCGGATCTTTAACAACTTTCTGCCTCTCCATGGCCATCTGATATACAATGTGAAAACAGCCAAGTGTTAAAATGCAAGAGTACAGAAAGCCACTGGTTATGTATGAAGAGCTAAGCATTGATAAAGGAACGAAAACAAACACATTGATTAAAGGGAAAATTTCATTTTGGTACCCAAAGTGGGGCCTTTTTCTCAATTTGGTACCCAAAGTGGACATAGTCCCAAATTGGTACCCAAAATGCCCATTCAGTCTCAATTTGGTACCCAAAGTGCCCATTCAGTCTCAATTTGGTACCTGAGTTCGCCGGCCGGTCAAATGCTCACCGGCCGGCAAGAAATTTACTGTTCCGGCTACCGGAACAGTATTTTTTTTACTTTTTTATTTTTTTTCCCTTTTTCTGTTTTTTTTCTTTTCCTTTTCCTTTTCTTTTTTTTTTCCTTCTTCCCTCCGCCGGCCACAGCCATGGCCGGCGGAGGTCACCGGCGTCGGGCGAGGGCCGCCCTCGCCTGGGCTGGCGAGGGTCGCCCTCGCCTGCGTCGGGCGAGGGCCGACCCTCACCAGATCCGGCGAGGGCGAGGGTTGCCCTCGCCGGATCTGGCGAGGGTCGCCCTCGCCGGCGTCGGGCGAGGGCGGCCCTCGCCTGGGCTGGCGAGGGCACCCTGCATGCGTCGGGAAGTAGAAAAAATACTGTTCCGGCTACCGGAACAGTATTTTTCTACTTTTTCGTTTTTCCTTTTTCTGTTTTTTTATTTTCCTTTTCCTTTTCTTTTTTTTTTTCCTTCTTCCCTCCGCGGCCACAGCCATGGCAAGGGACCTCATACTGTTCCGGTAGCCGGAACAGTAAATTTCTTGCCGGCCGGTGAGCATTTGACCGGCCGGCGAACTCAGGTACCAAATTGAGACTGAATGGGCACTTTGGGTACCAATTTGAGACTATGTCCACTTTGGGTACCAAATTGAGAAAAAGGCCCCACTTTGGGTACCAAAATGAAATTTTCCCTTGATTAAAACATACATATCACTTACTCTTTTCTCGAGGTCTTTTATCTGCTGCTTGTAGTAGTCAATTGAATCTACTTGCCCTCCCCAAAGCCCACAAAAACCTTTCTGAAAATTAAGGAGCAAGACTATCTAGTTTACAAGCTCTAACTATTGAGAAGTTGTCATTCATAGAACTGAAACGGCTAATACATGTGTGTGTGATAAGAACCCAAAATAATTACACTAGGAAGATGATTTTTGAAGAACTATGAAGTACCTTTTTAGTTGGTCTCTTCTCCGGATGCCTTTCAAATTTGAGCTGATTATAGTCTAGCCAATTCTGAAGACTGTCTCTCTTTCTCACAAGTTCAGCAAATTTATTGGCATTGTACACGCCCTGGAGTTTAGCAAAACAGAAATGGTCATCACTCCAGACAGAAGAAAAGACCTTAAGATAAAAAGAGACAACTCTACCCATGGAGGCATGCCCATGACTTATACAAGATAAATGCTTGAAAAAAATGTCAACAAACAACATAGACAGAACTGTCTAAAAAAAATTATTACTTGGTGACAAAGATAGTGCTCTGGGTGGTTAGTTCGAAAGAAATGGTCAACAGTATCTGATATTGACTGGCGAAGAACACGAGGCACATTTCGAACCACTACCTGCAAAAAAGTATGGTTTAAAAGAAGTCTTTCATATAGCAGGACTGTGGCAAAGTTTACTAATTTCTGATCAAGAAATTAAGTTTGTACAAGTAAAGTTCCATTATATCAAGAACTAGACCAGCTCAGACCTCCAACTTATGCATATCCTTACGGAAAACAATTAACAAATTGCCATTAACGTTTTAAGTACTATTTTCTGAGTGTCAGATTGGTCAAAGCCTTCCCAACTTTAACAACTCCATGACATTCTCATTTACATCTGATCTGTCTTTAGTAAGAAGTCCACAGATTGGATGAGATGGAAGGAAATTGACAGATCAAGAGAACATCAAGATATGGTTTGAGCATCCAAACTGTGAAGCAACTTACATGAAGAGAGACAATAAAAAAAAATTACTGTAAGATTCCCCACCTTCCACATTGTAATTACAAGGTGCAAAATCATATCAACATATAGCTGACATATGCTAACTGAACAAATAGTAATCAGTATGTCAAATTCTAACCGCAGAGAGACGTAATGAAGATAAGTAAGCAAGCCGCTAGCTTAAATATTCTTTCAGCAACACAATAGACATAATTACTGGAACAATAAGCAGGAGATGCAGTACGCTAGTTTCTTCACAAACTGTTAAAGATAATTGCAAGTGGCACAAGTTTTAAAATGACTATTGGCACTGTCAGTAGCACGTGACTGCCAACAAAGCGATTTGCCAGGGCTTCCAAGTTATTAAAGGTGCAAAATCTGTATCTGCCGTACTTCTTATTACTGTAGCAAAGCATGAAAAGGATGAGGTCAATACTGAGAAGATACATGAAATTGCATCTTTTACTTGCAGCCCGAAGCAAATTAATAGAGAGTCTCCTCATTTACAGGTCAAAACCTTCCCAAAGAAAACTCCCTAGAGAAGAAAAGACTTTCCAGGTTATACTGCGAAAGGCATGTTGTCCTTCCTGTGGAATCTAACTCATTCAAAAGAGCAGTCAATGTTAGAGACAAGGTCCAACCTTGCTAGATCCAGAATAGACAAGGCCAATCCTAAGTGCAGCATCAACAATTGATTGGTCTAGTTCATAATATGCATTACCAATCCAATGGTGGAATTCCGGGAAGTATAGCTTGTTGACGACTCGTGACAGAAAAAATGCCATCAGAAAATTAGAATTCAGCCATCTTCCACATCATGGTTGCTTACGATAGATACAAAGCCTACACAAATTACATCTCCCAAAATAATAAATCGGCTTAAACCAAGCTTTAACAAATTATATAAATATCAGGTCATCTCTATTTAAGATGAGAACTTTAACTGTTTCAAACATGGTGCTCTATGAGTGCCAATTATCATCATGTAAGGCTAAATCAGTTTGTGCAATGTACATGATAAACTGACTTATTTAGCACACATAGACGATAAGGTCTTCTTGCTTGAAGAGATCGTAATCGCTTAGAGAATAGTGGAGATCACATGAAGTCAAGTAATTTGTAGTTGCATGCAAAATAAGGTGCAAACAGTTACATAATGTGTCCACGTACGCCGTTGTCAAAACCACTCACATTTCTTTGCTTGGAAACTTAAGTAGCTCAATAAATCAAGGTTACAGACTACCAGTTCTGCTCATTCATGAATGAGACGGAAAAGTGTTCGGAACTTTTGGGAGAAGATGACTGAAACTAAAGACTTCAAAGAAGACTTTAGTTATCAATGATGGAATGTGGATTAAGTTTGTGTTATGTAATTGTAGATGAAGTCTTCAGCCCAAATTGCAATAGAAATATCAAATTGTAGAGCATAATGACAAAGGCAGATCATGACATGGTCCAAGAATTAAAACTAAATACAAAGAAAAGGGTGGATGCACTTGGAGACAACTCACGGTGAACTGATCAACATGTCTTCCCTGTGAAGCCAGGAAATGAAGCCTCATTGATGCTACATTGTCATATTCCTTGTAAAGCATGAGACAAGTCCATATGGTGAACAGATACTCCAATGCTATATGAATGAAGAACCTGAAACAGGTACCGGTGAGATGCTTAGAATGTCATACATAAATAAAGAACTCACAATGTTACCCCAATTGCTTACCGTTAAAGCACTATAGGCAAAATTAACAAAAGGAAATCCTTCTAAGTGGAAAGACAGCGAAATAAAATTAGGTGATTAGAACAGCTACAATTGTCTAGCTCCTATGAAAGGAATAACATGGGACAATATTCTGCATGTATGCATAGTGTTGGGTCTTGCACAGACATCTATCTGTATATACAAGAGACATGGGTTTACCTTATTGATCGAGGACGGACATTTGATATAGAGAGTTTGTCAATGTTACTCATAACCAAGTCTCTCTTCAAAAAGGATAATGTTCCATTTGATACATTGACCGGAATAAGAATGAGAAGCGCAATGATTGTGATCGGCACAAAAATCTTTAAGCTGTCAGATATGAGAAAAATGTAAGAATGCGAATATATTTCAAGGCGAAGGTGTCTGAAAGCGTCTGTTCAATGCATGCATGTTATGGCGAAAGAAGATACACCGCTTGCCAAGGACCTGCATTACCATTAGAGAAAATGCAGAGAATTAAAGGAACATTGCTACAGCAGAGGAAATAAAAGCTTTGAAATGTTAACGAACATATACGTCGCTTAATTTATTTCCTTTTTGGATTTACCACCACTCTTACAATTGGGCTTTCGAGCACAAATGGTATAGACAACTTCTCGATTGAATAACCATGCCTCCCCATCAGAACTGGGGATGCACATTGAACAGTGCCATTTTCTCTGTTATAGGAATATAAATCATCTAATCCATCTCTGTATGTGTGGACATAACGCAACTATGTGTGTATGCTCGTCTAAGACACCATGACCACCTTTAGAAAAGCCAAAACGAATGTAAAATCATTTTGCAGAGAGAGGGAAAATTTCTCAGGTCATGAAAAGATGGAGAAAGAAATTATTCTTGAAAGCGGAGAAAACTTTGTAAAAAGATCAGGGAAGTGCACCATCACGAGCTCAGATTCTAGGATGAAGAAATTACGGCCACATGCAAGCCACAAGTCCCAAACAACATGATGACGGGAACATAACAGGGGCATCTCAAAACATGAAATTTCATATGAATGCTTCAGATTGGGTGAAACGAAGTGAGGTCAAAGACCGTGCGATCATAGACATTGTTATTAAGGTCGAATGTGACGAGAAGCCGAAGCAAGGATGACTTTAAAAATGAAGATGAGGAAGTAGCTCAAGCTCACTCATGACTGCACTCAACAAAGCAAGAGGAAACACGAAAATGTCGGAAAAGATCGAAACTTTTCAAGCCGGTCGAGCAAAAATGCTTGCTTTAAGCACGCTAATGACAAGACTCGCCCTACTTCTCCCAGAAACCAAACAAGTTCCCAGAAAGAAAACAGTCGTAGCATAGCATGCAGATTCCATGACTACTGTCCCAAGTACGGACTGTTAGGATTCTCCAGCACACGTGACAGTTTCTTTCAGCGAATCAACGCTGAAAATATCCAAATAATTATAAAAAAAAAAAAAAAAGAAAGGGAAAAGCCAAAAGCAGCGCTCCCCTAGTTTTCTCGTTCCTCTAGAGCTAAAGACAAAGTTGGAAGAACGAAAGAGCGAAAATTTTAGAGCATACCCAAGAGTGTAAATCCTGAGAAAAGCAGCAGAATCGAGCCCCGCATGGCGGACAATCTCGTCCTCGCTCATCCTCATGGCCTGAGGCATCCAGTTCAAGAAAGTGAGGTAGGTCCGGGGGTCGAGATTGACGAACTTGCCGACCGAGTTGGCGGAGCGCCTGGGGCTCGTCCTGGCGCGGTCGAGGTACCATTTGGGGAAGTAGACGCGGTCGTTCACGGGCTGGAGCCTGAGCAGGGCGAAGGCGAGCAGGAAGGCGAAGGCGGTGAGGATGTTTATGAATGCCGACACGCCTATGTCTTGGAGGGTGGCCATGGAAGAGAGCAGAGAATGCGCGTGCGTTTGTGGGTGTGTCTGGGTGTGTATTAGAGAGAGAGAGAGAGAGCAGATAATGTGGTGTGTGTAGGACGAAGAGAATAGGGATTGGGTGCAGAGGAAGGAAGTAGAGCAGAGCAGGAGCAGGAGCAGGAGCAGCAGAGCACGGACAAGGTGAAGTGAAGGTGGTGAAGGGAAAACAGGGAAGGGAAGGAAAGAATATTTGCTTTCTTTTGCGTATATTTATATTGATCCACTTTTTTCAATTAATTTCATTTTATTTACGGAGCCAAAAAAAATTATTTTATTTCGTTTTCTTTTTTCTTTTTTGCTAAAGTATTTCCTTTCTTTCTAATTTCTACTCCTAACGAATGCCGTGGATGGATGGTGCAATTTGTCAGAGTGGCGGTGGAAAAGTGTTTGACAAACGGAACCAAACGAGCGCCGTTTGCGTGATTGAGATGCTTGCCATGATACGCAATTAACTAGATTTGATATTAGCATGATTAATTCCGTATTATAGACGGGTGATCCATTTATGGCACTATTAAAATCACGTTCTTCGTGAGATTGGCCCCCCTTAATCGTTTAGACGCGAATTGACACATTTGGGTTTACGTGCGAGCGTGTCATTTATTTCGACTCGACACGATTAGACACGCTATAACATGTTTAATACTCATATTTAAATATTTTTTTATACTTAAAACCTTACAAAATTAAAATGACACCCATTTCAAAGAATAAATGGTATAATACAAACATGTTTAGGAATACATAAGTCATTAAAAATAAAGAAAAAGTACCTCAATATTACATTTCAGATTAATGTGAAGCGAAATTACTAATATTATTTAGAGATGTGTTAAAAGTGTTAGACACCACTAATTGCGTACAAATGTGTTCATCATTTGCACAAGTTAACGTATACATGTCATGTGATGTGGTGTCAACACCAGGTGGATGATGACATGTTTGATGATTGTGTAAGTCATATAATATGCGTATCATGTTTGAAGTCGAGACAGTTTGACATATTTATTAAACATGTGTGTAGTTTAGACATATTCATGTTATACATTACACTTGTTTCGACATGACGCAATTAACATGATACAACACGAATTATCTACACACAATTCATCTAGTTGCCTTAAATAAAAAAAATTACTTAACGCTATAAATGGAGAAGGGTTACTTAATTAGTTAAGTGATAAAACCAATTATATAGTCAAAACTTTTCAATAATGCGAACTATTCCGCGTTTGGTAAGAAATTAACGAAGGTTTTTTTGGCTGGAAATTGATAAATTTTTTTATTTAATTATCACTTATTATCATATAAATATTTATTTTCATTTTCAGTACTTAAAAATTTCAACGCCCAATATTCAGTATTAATTTTTAAAACTTATTTTGCAATTTTGTCAAACGAGCTCCAAAATAAGAATCCTTTATTTCAATTTTAATTATCCTTTGGGCTTAATGCCCCGTTGAAATTACCTACCTATATAGAATGAAGTTATTGATGTTTATGGAAATAAATATGATCGCAAACGAATATGCAAAGGGCACGAACTACCTTATTAAAGTACGGGAAAAAGGAAAAAGAAATAGTACCGAATGAGATTAAACTAGCTTGATAATCTTACTATTATTGAATTAAAGGTTTTAAAGTCTCGGAAATTCACTTGATATGGTAAGTATTTATTCAATTAGAAAAGGCACTTGATGATAATTAACATCTTTCGAGTTATATTGCTAAAATTTATTAAGGAGTGATTGTGTATCCTTATTTGACAAGAAACTAGAAACACTTGATGAGCAATTTTTTATTATTGTTATCACCAAAGTTAGCGGTATATATGTAAAACGTCATATGTTTTCTACAAGGTCACGAGTTTTGCATTCGTTTGCGCCAATCAACCCTCCTTACCTTTTTTACTTATCAATTTTCAATTACCATTAAACAAATTTTTGTTTCTACTTTTAACATCAAAGACTGTCTAAGCTTAAAATTGAATACTTAAATTTTCAGCACTCGTTTTTTAGTTTCATAGACCTGAAACGGCGATCCGTTATTCGGGCCGGGCCAAAATTTTCTGGCTCCAAATGGCCTGGCCCAGTCGAAAGTATTTAATTTTTTTTTGGTCGAATCGGAAATATTTGATGATTATAGCTATTCTTAGTATTTATAATAATATCGATATGACGAATATTAAAAAAATATTTAATTGTTCAATCTTACTAATTGATTAAACTAAGGAGAAAAATGCCAAAAGAAAGCGGGATGTTTAGGTTCAAAACAGTGGCAAAACGCCGTCGATGATTAATGTCGTAATCTTCGAGTCCTCCGTGGGCTTCTTCATTTAAAACAAAACGAGTCACTCTCAAACGCATCTCCTTTCGGCCAAATCAATTCTGGCGGAAACGAAAAGACGAGGAACATTTTTTTTTTTGTGTTCCTTATTTTCCTCAACACGTGGCTATCTTCAAGCATTGAACTCCCAACTAATTTCTAAAGTTCACGAAAAACAGGAGGTATCTCTGAGTTTTTCCGTTGGAATAAACCAAATGGACGAAGAACTTAAATGCACCTTTCTGTACAAACAGCCTCCGTTCAAGATCCCAAGAAATTGTTAAAAAAAAGAAAATAACTGTCCATATAGTTTCATCAAATTTTGTAATTGGGTTTCCACAAGCGAATTGAGAAAGGCCACTTGCTGCATTTTAGGAAGTATGACCTGAGATTATTATCTTGCTTTGCACTTGTTGCAATGTTGTAATGTTACTATTCAGAACTTACTGCTCAGAGTCGTTCCAATGAATCAAAAATCAATGGTGTTTTCCATTTGGTTAATGTCACAGGATATCTGGCCATTCGTAAGAATTCTATGAGGACCATCAACTGAAAACCCCATTATCCTATGAAACAATTTGTGTTCTTAAACATAAGCAGTTTCGAACCCACCTAATGTTACTCAAAAATAGCTAAACTGTACAAAACCGCAATTGTCTCCTGCATCTGTCCCCTTCTCTATTTTACTCTATATTGTGATCTCACAATAGCCAGAGACCAAGAAGAAATCGCCTTCCATGCCAAATGCAAATCAAAGTGCTAGGTCAATCTACTTCTAGTAGCAATACGAGTCAAACAATGAAGGAACATGATGCACATAGGGGCAGAGACAGCGGGAGAGAAAGAGTGTCGAACAAGCACGAAAATGGGAAGAATGAGAGTTCGACTGTAAGCATTAAGCTGCCGCACATCAAAATACTGAAAAGACATAGCAAAGAGATTCACAAGAAAAACTCGATCCAAATTTTGTCGTTCAAGTACATCCACAGTGAATTATTATGGCGTTTCGCTTCGAAACCAGTTAGAGGAACTTCCTGTATGGCCTTCCATTATCCTCATCCTGCATATGCTGTTAAACACCATCCAAGGTAGATATATCAGTAACCCAACTCATTTGCTTTCAAATCAACCACAAGCAAAATGCAGTTTCATCACCAGTTTGAAAAGAGCATCCAGAAGAATCCATCATTAATCAAAGGAGAGCCAAACACACATAAAACAATATTGCTTGGTGATTGAAAATCAAGATGTCAATCACATCCACTCTATTTGTTTCAGCCAGCCAGTCTCTAGTGAGCACGCATCAAGCGTTGAAGATACAGTAATCTCAGAATAGAGTGGTTAGAGTTCTTCATGCTCCCCACCAGATAAGATATTTGCCAAAGGTCAAGCAACCTGCCCTATATGGACTCGACTCCAATAATCCCAGACCCAATGTGAAAAGATCAAAAGAGTACTATTTCTTTCTCAAGATAAAAAAGCAGTTAGGTTCAGTACATCACTGTAGTTAAGAACCTAAGGAAATGAACTTCCACAACATTAATGTGATAAAGCAAATTCCAGTGAGCCTGTTAATCTTGGCTTTGACTATATTATTTCCCAGAGTAAAGCCTCAATGCAAGTTAAGGATATAAAGGCTCGTGCACTTAGCCGATTGATTCAGTTATAAACAGAAATAGCAAATAATAGGCTGTGGTGTGCAGCATGTATTCTCGGATGTCTAATCTGCTGTAAACCCCCTTCACCATCCTTTCAACATGCTTCACCAAGTGAACTCAATATAATCAACGGACCCATTCATCTCGTTTCTCCAAGGAGACATCCCTCCAGCCCTGCCCTTGAAAAACCGTGCTCAACACCGTGTTTCCCACGACCGAAAGTTCAGATTTTTTAAACTAGAGAAAACCAATAAAACTATTGTCATCAGCAAAAGCAGCAAAAAAGAAAAAAATTGTCTCGGTTGGACAGGCCACTAAAATTCTTATAACCATTAAGCTTTGACTGCCGCCGTATCTGCAACGAGATCCACTAACTCCAAGCTCAATCAATCACTTACTTTTTCATAGGTAACAACCCCTGTCTTAACACATTGCAAAAAATGGCCTTATTAGTCTCCCCTGTCTACCCTCTATTCCATTTGCGAATCGTGCGTATCGCTCTCTTCCTGGTATGTCCATTTCCTGCACTAGAATAAATTTTTCAATGCCATCCACCACCGCAGGATGAACAAACAATTGCTAGCCTTGATTAAAGGGTACAGAGAGTTAAAAACCCATAGAATCCCACTATCAAGTGTTCAGCTCAACTTCTCGTTCCAGGGCGCAATCCAAAGCCAACAACAACTAGGCCACTAAGCTAACTCTCCCAGCAAGCGCAGCGATCGAATCAAATGGCAATCCAAACAAGGGCAAACAAGCGAATCCGAAAGGCCCAGATCAATCAAGAGAGGAGGAGGAGGAGGAGAAGGAGTAACGTACGAATTCGCGGACGATACCCTTGTAGACGAGGAGGGGGAGGGCGACGCCGAAGATGCCGACGAGGGCGAGGTTCCGGCGAGTCCACCGGAAGCTGTGCTCCAGTCCTCTATGAACCTGTTCTTGTGGGCCTCCATTCCTCCCCCCATCTTCTCTCTCTCCGTGGAAACCAGTACACAGACAGTGGAGCGTCAAAATGATTTTTTATTTTTGGCGAAAAAGGCTATTTTAGGATTTATGTTTATGAAAGGTATTTTTATATTTTGCCCTTCATCTCCTTAGTTGAACCTGAATTGGGTGTGGTATTTAAAACTTAACTTCTTTTTCTTTTTCTTTTGCCACGAAAATATATATATATAAATGGACGGGGAAGGGAATGGCGACGTCGACGACGTCTCTAGTCTACTACTGTTGCTTCATCTTCATCCTCTGGGAGCTTGTTTCCTTCAATCTCGTGGGGTCTGTTGGATCGTAACAGAAACTCCACACCTTCGCCCCAATTCGATTTCAAAAGTAGAAAATGTATGGAGCTGCTAAACCACATATATTATTAATAAGACCGAACCAAGATCAAAATAAGGAGTTAAAGCTTGGCATGGTAGCGATATAGAAAAAAAAATTGTTGAATTACAGTGAATGCTTGTGTTTTAGGGGTTTGACAAGTCAAATAATATGGAAACATAACTCATTTGGAAACGGGCGTGTTTGATAAATGATTGGTCGAGATTCGAGTTACTCATTCGGGAAATTACAACTCATCTCGCCAACCCGATATTTGGAACAAATTTCAAGACCTATTAAAGATTTTGGACAGGTCGTGCGACGAAACTCGAATTGCTACCCTGTCATTGCTACCCTGTCATTGATACACGAGCTTATGAGTAAGTCCTGCGCGCATTTAGCAAACGTGAGGTGTTCATTGATACAAAATTAGGCCGTACAAGGCGGCAATTTGAGAGATGCCATTCCCTTGGAATTAACTCCCTTTCTTAGAGCGTGTGAAAGGGAGGACTGGTATCGCCCCGATGAGCTTTTCGATGTGATAAGTTAGTAATTCCCGAATAGAAAGGTCGTGTCGACGAAAAGGGCCACTTTTACTAAGGATGGCTTACAACAACAAGGCTAAAGTTTGGAGTTTGAACAAAATTCAATAAGCCATCATCCTCTTTCTACCATTCGAGTAAAAAGTGACAAAAAAGAGAAACAAGAACCAATGCTCATAACATAGGAAAGATGTACTGTAACATAGATAGACAAGGAAAGAAGAGCATAATGCTCCCAAAAGGTCCCTCTCTTAATGGCATAGTTAGTGACAGTATACAAGAAGAGAATATGATGCTGATATGCCCTCTCTATGTACATACATACCGAGGCCCTGTTTTCTTTTCTTTTGACCCCTCGTTAGCTTCGCACCAGCTGTGGTCTCTCTCTTTCTCCAACCATCTTCTTCCTTATAGTCCACTTCCCAATTCTATAGTGCTCTCCCACTCCTCACTTCCTCTGTTTCTTTTTCTCTCTGCGTGACCATTACCCAATCATAATCAGTTCCATAGGACATTAGCTGATACTCAATGGGAGGGGAAACAGAAACATCAGTGACTGGTCCTGGTGAAGTCAGGACAGACAGTGATATAGCGGCGACGCCTGATGTTCACGACACCGGAATGAAGATCGAGAGGGCAAGAGAAGTTTATGCGGAGCATCTGAGCATCGAAGAGAAGCCATCCAAAGTGGAGGTCTACTCTTGGTACTTGTACGGGCTTTGCTCATACTTCGTCCAGACGGTCTTTGTGCCGATAGTTTTCCCTCTCCTCATCAGCCAAACTTTTAAAAGTGTACCTCAGCCTCCTCAAGGATGGGACAGGAGTTTCAGCGGATTGGCCTGTAACGAACAGGAAATGACACTGTAAGTCTTCGCACACTCTCCTGCAACTTCTTTCTGAAGAGAGAGCTCATGGGAATTCAGACCAATTTTCTTGGTAGAAAACGAAAATTCTAACCAACTTTCGCTCACAAGATGGCAAAGGCAAACTATAGATAATAGTTTTCCGAGTCCATGGCATTTTCAAATCATCTATAACAATTAGGTACTAAAAACCTGTTGCCAAATAATTTCTTAACAAGCGGAACAAATATAATTGGAACGTTTATTGACAGTAACATAGTGTGTGCGCACTTATGGGTCAGTGTCATTTGTTCCCATCATGTCTTATAAGATCAAATGACAGAGACTCCATATTATAGTTGCTCTATGTCACATAGCTCAACCTATTAGGAAAGTGAGTTCGCTGCATGCACCAAACATACTCTTTTACAATCTTATGCTGCATAAGCTACCTTTAGAATTCAAAGCGTGAGGTTAGGCCTATGAAGAAACTAAGACCTCGATGGAACAAGGATGGATATGGAACTAGAAGCACCGGAAAAGTAACTATGACCCAGATAGAATACCAGGTTACATGAAGTTGAAAATAATGCTCTCCTGCTCAATTATCATATGCTCCCACAGGCGAGCAATTAATGAATACTTCACATTATATCAACACACTGTACACACAACTTATAATTATATGATCTCAAGAACAGGTATCAACTCATAGCTTACCAGTCAATTAGCGTCGGCCAATGGAAATTCTCACCTCTAGAGTGGGTATCAGCTTCTTGGGTCACAGGCCTAATCCTGGCAGCTCCACTCCTTGGCTTCGCTTCTTTCTACCTCGACCACAGCCGCAACCAACAACTCGTCGCGGGAGCTGCGACAGTCATCGGCTTCGTCTTCTGCCTCCCCACCGGATCCTCCCACTCAACGTGGACCTTCCCTCCCTATATTGCCGCCATCGTTGCCGCCCACACCATTGCCGCCGCCGCACACACGCGCCACCTCGGCCTCATGATTCGCGGCTTCACCGGCCCTGCCCTCGACAGATACCAGTTCCACCTCCGGACGGCAGCATCTGCCTGGCTCTCGCTCATCGCCACTGCTGTCGGCTCCTTAGGCTCTGCCGCCATCACCACCTTCACCCACCACATGCTCGACATCCATTCGAAGTTGGTCGGTATGTGGGTGGTCTCCATCTTCAGCGGCATCATGTGGCTCGTCGGAATACTCCACGTCGTCGTCGCACAAAGATCCGGACTTCCCTCAACCAGTACACCAATATCCCACTTTTTCTCCACTTTGGCATTTCCACAAGCAGTCGGGGGGCTCGTCAGCGTTTGCTTGGGATCTTTCACGACGATGTGCATTTTCACCGGAGGTGTCCTCTTCGTCATTGGCCAGCTATGCCTAGAGCCAGTTTATATACTCTACCTCATGCTCACCTACTTCTTGTTCCCCATACTCTCTCTCCCCCTGATGCACCCGCTCCAACACGTGCTTCGAACAAGCGCAGTGAAAATGCAAATCCTGGGCTTCGCGCTCTCGATGCTCACATCAGGAATGGGGTTCTACTTCAAGGAAAAGACATGGGCGAAGGAGCACATACTCCTGTTCGCGGCGATACAGGGCACGTCGACGGGGACACTGCACGCGTTCGGGCGGGTCCTGATCCTGGACGCCGCGCCGTGCGGGAAGGAAGGGGCTTTCGCGGCGTGGCACTCGTGGGTCGGAGGGATCGGCGCCTGCGCCGGCTTCGCCGTGGCGTCCGCCGTTCCCGGGGAGATAGGGGCTTCGTTCGGAGCGGCGTTCCTGGGGGCGGGTCTGGGAGCGACCGCGCTGATCTATGGGAACGTGAGCGACTACGAGGGGGCTGTGAGAGCTGGGCATGTGAAGGAGGAGGGCGGGGGCGGCGGCGGGAGGGAGCTGCCGGAGCGCGCGTTCGACGATGAAGTGATCGTGAAGGAGCAGCAGCCCGCGGTGGATCCGTAGAGAGAGAGAGAGAGGGAGAGAGAGATGCAGGGGAGTGAGTGGGGAAAGTGTATAATAATTGGAGAAATGATGGAGAGTGTCGTAGCAACTGTTGCAAATTTGAGTATTTCCAGGTTTGCCTTTGCAATTGGATTTTAAAATGCCTGATTCTTTCTATTCTTTCTTTTTACCTTCTTTTGGTCCCCCACGATTTGATCTTAAATAATGCCATCGATACTCCATAGTTCTTAAAAACTGTCCTTTTACGCTCTTTTTTCAATCTCTGAATTGATTTGAAATAGCATCTTTTTTTTTATTTTTATGAAATCTAACGTCCTCAAATACAATGATATGATCATGGTTGTAGCCCCGGACAACGACAGATCACGATTGCCTCACATGTATCTCCCTCATACGAGATTTGAGCACTGTAACTATTAATAGGCATGCACGATACCTAAATCATCCTAAGCACGGCTCGTGATAATGATGGGTCGTGCCAAGCCCACGTGGAAAGCTTAGGCTTGGTTTTTTAGTTTCTCCTTTTTTATATTCTTTAAAACAATTAAAAATTCAATAAAAACGTCAATATAAATAAGTTCTTCCCTTCTTAATGTTTATTTTTATAGGGAGTCCTCCTAAGCAGGGAATAGTTGCACAGAAATAACAAATGCAAAAGGGATGTACGTAATTAAGGGTATTTGAAAAAGAAAAAACAACATTGAGATTTTAGTAGCCAAAAAATTGTTCGTAAAATTCTGCACGTGTCAACGAACGTGTTGAACAAGTAATATAATGATGAGAAGAGTATCGTCCCACAGAGATTGATGATAATAAACCAATTAAATATTAAAAATGGACTAATTCTAAAATTTATCTAACTGATCAAAATATAATTGAGAACAAATAAAAATTGACAATTTTTAAAAACGAAATTTTTTTAAACTAAAGGCAGATAATCAATAAGGTAAAATATGTTAGAGCATCCAATTTCACCATAACCACTAGATATGAATTTCGGATCATTATGCATACAAGAACAATATCAAACATGTGATAGCGGAATTTCCTAGTCTATTTACTATCCTATCTCTAGGTATAGCAAACCTACTCAGTTTATCAATTCACTATATTTCTATGTGAATTTAAATAAACATAAGCGCATTAAAATCTGTGAATATTCCCGGTTTACAATGAATCTTTTGGACCACCTTATCACCGAAAACTACACAAATAACATGGTATATTTCTATCCACATTTAATGCATGGTTATATATTATAAGGAGCAATTGCATATTATTACTTCTCAGTCTTAAACATGCACATCGGATCATTCAAGTGGTGGCCAATCACCTAAACGCATTAACCACAATAATATATAACTCATATGAATGAAATTACTTGCAAAGCATAAAAAGCATGAAATTCATATCATCATGGTTAGGCTACATCGTAGCTCTAACAAAGAAAATTAGAACATAATAGAAGAAAAAGCGAAAATATAAATTAAACCAAACATCTTGAATCAAAGAACAAGAATTTTGTCACTACTTTTGTCTTCTCTTCAAAATACTTGAAAAACTTTCAGAGCACTGAAAACAAAAACGATCTAAAAAAAACTCCATGTTCCCCCAAGTTATCATATTTATATGATAACATCCAAGACTCCTCTCACAAGGCAATTGCTTCTTTTTCGTATAAAATTAGGGAATAAATCGCAGAATTCCCAATGTGATATCCACCTTCTAACTCTTCTCTGGGTTGCATATTCCTTTCCTTCTTTTTGCCATGTTTTCCTTATTTTCTCCATATCTCAATATTCTGCATAAACAAGGAAAAATTAAGTAAATAAAAGGAAATCCAAATATATTCTAACAAATATTGCATTATTTATTGCCTAGAGTAGATAAAATAACTCTATTTTTATAGAGTTATCAGAGATCCTTTTTAGCATGGCCAAAAAAAATAAAAGGGAAAATTCCAAATAAGAATACACTCATTTTCTAAAAGAAGAATATGAAGTGGACTTTGTTTCGAATAAGGGTTAAAGTGATCATTTAGTCTCGAATAAAGGCCTTACTCATTGAACGGTCAAACTTTCGTTGACCGATGAAGAGATGCATCTCATATGCGTATTCCGGCAACCAAATTAGGGGTATTTTTGTCTAAAGATACTTTAGTTTTTTTTTCTTTCTCTTTTGCCCTGTTCATCATTTTCTTAATCCAAGCCAGAGCCATGGTTATCACTATTCATCATCTTCGTCAAGATCGAAGATAGGCAGGAGATTAATATCTAGATTAATACTTGAAGAGCTGCTTGGGAGCAGTGGCAGTGGTGTCTTGGTAGCGCAGATGCTAGAGAAGTAAGAGTTCGGGTATGAAGGGCCTATTTGGCAACGTGTCAAATAGTGAAAATTTCTGTTCTTTTGTTCCAAGAATTAGTTTGGGAACAGAAATCCGTTTGTTAAAATTTTTGTGCTGGGGCACAATTTTGCAAAAATTTGATCCCAGAATCAGTTTTAGAACAGAATCAAGAAGCAAAAAAAAAGTAGCTTCTTGATTCAGGAACAATTTTTTTGGAACTGATTCTTCTTGGTTTTCTTCTTTCTTTTTTATTTATTCTTCATCTTCTTCCCGCCCACCGCCGCCCCTCGCGGCGACCGGCCGGGGGACGCCGCCGGCGACACACGGGCCGCCGACCAGCGACGACGACGAGTCGGCCTTGCCCGGATCTGGCGAGGCCGACCTCGCCGTCGCGGGGGGTGGCGACGGTGAGGTCGGCCTCGCCAGATCTGGGCGAGGTTGAGCCTCGCCTGGCCATGGCGAGGCCGACCTCGCCGTCGCGACTGGAGAGGCCGGCAGCGAGGGCTGCGAAGCCCTCACTAGCCCTGGCCTGTTGCTGGTCGCCGGCGCCGGCGACCGGCCATGGCCAAGGAAAAAAAAGGAAAAAAAAAGATAAAGAAATATTAAAAAATTCAAAATATTTTTAATAAAAAGAAATTTTGTATAGTTACCAAACGCATTTCTGTTCTTTTTCTATTCTAAGAATAGAAATTTTGGGCAGTTACCAAACGCCTTCAAATGCTTAGAAATTGTTCCCGGGCACAAAATAAAAAAGAATCATTTCTGACCAGAATCTGTTCCCGGACACAGAATGGTTGCCATGTGCACCCTAAGTGATGTTGCATACAGCTTTAAGGGAGGTGGAAGGGTCAGCTCGGAGGCGGGAGCAGCGAAGTCATCGTCGAAGCTATTGCGTCGATGGATGAGAGTCCCGTTGACAACGGTCACGATCACGGCGAGGAAGAGGATAGTGGAGACAATGAAAATGAGGAGGCGGCAACGAGTCCGCTTGCGAAAGGCCTACTCCTCCACCTCATCCGTAGCCCTTAAAGTACTCCCTCAAATCCATTCTTCGCCTTCTTGTCTCCTTCTTTCCCCCAAAAACTCCGATCACATTTGAAATTCAAACTGATTCGAGTTCCTTTGCAGTATGCGCAATGAGAGTGACCATATAAAATGTGAAGTGTTAGAGAGGGAAGTTGCGATTTCTGGAAGGTACTTGATCCCGGCATTAATCTAATGCCTATCTTCAACATTAACGAAGAAGATGATGAATAGGGACAATCATGGCTCGGACCAATGAACATGGCAAAAGAGAGAGAAAAAAAATTTAAAATACCTTACCCTTGATCGGATTGCCGGAATACATACCTGAGATACATCTCCTTGTCGGTCGGCAAAAGTTTTGACCGGTCAGTGAATCTCGAACAAGGACTTGACTCATTGACCATTTCAATCTTTATTTGAGATAAAATTCATTTAAAAAGAGAAAATGAAAGCGCTTTGTATCCCCGTTTAGAATTTTCTCAAAATAAAAATAAAAATAAAAATAAGTTCTCGATATGAGCAATTGAGCATCACTTGTACGTGGATTACCAAAACCCGCTAACCAAACACTCCCCATTCTCCTTCTCGAACCCCAAAATTCACTCTCGTCTCCCACCTTCTTCACCTGTCGAGGTTTCAGAGAGCAAAGCAATACGACAGCAGAGATCGTCTCAGCCGCCGGACGATGCAGCGATGGTGCACGAAGCTTCGGTCGCTGACGATCCAACCGGTTCGCTGCTCCTCGGCCTCGAGCTCTCGCCGTCTCCTCCACGCCTCCGCCCTCTTCCGGCCGCCCCCCGCTACCTCCGCAACCTCCGCACTGTGTCGAGCGCCGAGCTTCTGCAATGCGCCTCTCCTGAACGCTTATCTGCCTGCGCAGTACTCGCCTCTCTGCTTCCGCTCGCTTCCTCATAACTTCTCCGTAAGTTTCGATGCGGTCTCTTTCGGACTCCTCTTCTCTTGCAATTTCCCCGTCGTTTTTTCCTGTTCCCATCTTGGCTGCGGAGGAAATGGTTGTGGGGAGAGAAAAATGGCGAGCTTCTTTGTCGATCGGATGTAGTTCGGGGTTGATCATGGGGTAGGGATTTCAGATGTTTTGAGCGGATTCTTTGAAATGAAAGAGGCTTTTTGTGTTAGTGTGTTTGTTGATGTTGGTGCGTGGTTAGTAGGCTCAAGTGCGGCACGTGTCGTCTCGAGACCGGAGGAAGAAGAGGAAGCGGATGACGCCTATGGTTTCCAAAGTGAAGAAGATAAAGATGAAGTTCTATTCGTATGGTTTTCCCCCCTCTCTCTGCTGATGATTACATGATTTCTTTCATGTATGGGGCAGTTTGCGTTATTTGATGGTGTAAATGGACTGTCTGTGTGTCATCCCTCAGATCGTACAAGTCGAGATTCAGACCGATGAATGATGGAAATATCAGACGGTGGAAGGAAGGCAAACGCCATAACGCGCATCTCAAGGTTGGCCTTTCTTTCCTGTTGGCTTTTAGCTGAATTCTTATTATAAGAAATCATAGTACTGGAAGTTTCGGTTAGTTGTTGATGATGCGGTTGGTTATTTTTTTTTGTGGTAGGATGTGTGTGTGTGTGTGTGTCAAAAGATGCGGTAGCAAACGTCCTCTGTTAGATGTTCATATTTGTGTGAGTGCTGCATTACAGATGCACTTGGTTTTGCCATTAGAACATCTCATTCATCTTTTGGAAAATGTTGACGGATGCTATCTCGTTGCAATCTCGAAAACTAAGATAGTTTGCTTGTGAAGTTCCAGATTGGATTACACATAGACTATAATTCGGATTTTGTAGAAGCATGCAGTGGTACCTATTATCCCAATGGAATGCAATCGTTATCCCCGACAAAATAGGATTTGGGATAGAATACGGTGCTTGTGTGGAGCAAAGTAGTTTTTGGATGTCTGTAAGTTAGCCTTGTGGGTAGGACTTGTGGAGTGGTGGTATTTGTCCTCAAGTTGGAGGAATTGGAATGAAGTGAACCAATGCTGAAGCATGACTGTGAGGATGCACGTGTGAGTTGTGTTAGAAAAATCACAAATCGGAGAATTGGTGTCATGTAGAGAAGTTAATCTATCATAGTTGGCCCACGACTCATTAGTTTAAGTTTTTGAGTGAAGGTGGGTCCAACTGGTTACGTTAGCAGGCTCGGACTTTGGGCTCCCTCTTGGTGATCTCCCCAGGTAAAAGGTGTTGGGCTTCTGTTGCGAGCTCCCAACCATTGGATTAATGGGGAACGGACTTAACGCTTAGCTCACGCGTGAGGGGGAGATTGTTAGAATGTACATGTGAGTTGTGTTAGAGAAATCCTACATCGTAGAATTGATCTGGTGTAGAGTAGTTAATATATCATAGTTGGCCCATAACTCATTAGTTTAAGCTATTGAGTGAAGGTGGGTCCAACTGGATACGTTAATAAGCTTGGACTTTGGGTTTCCTCTTGGTGATATCCCAAAGCGAAAGTTACATTTGAGCGTAACATCACGTATTTTCTAGTTATAGTGAGAGTTAAGTATTCGAAGATATGGAGATGGTAATCGTCCCTCTTTGCGCCGCATTTGGAGCATTATGTCATGGAAATTACTTCTTCCCAACAAACATTGGCCTTTGTCGTGTGGAGTCTTTGAGTCTCTTATGTTGACCTGTTGAGCAGTCAAGCTTTTACCATCTTGGCATTCCTGCGGATGCTAATCTTTTAGAGGTGAAGTTTGCTTGGAGAAATTTGGATGCAGTGGCCCGTTGCAAGGGACATTTGATTGTTGAACTACTTTTCTTCCAGTGAGCTAGTTTCTTATCCTTCTTTACATTCTTTGAAAACTGTACGCAAGGTGGTCATCCTGCATGAAAAATTATAGGTCACCTTATTACGAAGGCTCAGTCAATGAGTATGGTTTCTGGTCAAGCAACACTACTTGCTTTTTGACCTGCTGTTGCCGGATTGCTAGATGAGTCACAGGTTGTAATATTGTAATTTCCAGTATTATTATGCCTCACTGGGCGGCTTTTGATGTGATGTACTTTGATGTCACTGCTACAAGTTTGTAATAAGGAAAACATGAAATAGGCTTTGCTGGATTTTCGTACTGTCAATGAAGTTTCCACTTGCCACCATCAAAGATAGGATGAACTTGGTCATTGTTCCCATAATATTTTTTCCCTGCCCGAGCAGCTACTGGTATTCTGGGTACTTTTAGCTCTATGTAACAAATAGGTTGAGATCTTACTGTTGAGGTGACTGCAGTATGTTCTAAAGGCCATGATGACATTGAGATGCAGTTCTTTTTGTACCAAATGGCAGTAGAGTGCTTCTTCTAGGGGCATTCAATTATGATCTCGTGAAAAAGAAAATGTCATTGTTGACTTTGGAACAGCATTTTGGTTGCATTTATTCGTGGAAATCGATGATTATCAAGTCTGCTGAGTGATACCATTATGTGACTAAGTGCGATCGGACGGATATAATGCTTCTCGAGCTTTCTTTAATTCATAGAGCAGTTTTGTTGCATCTCATGCTTCTCCACTTGTACATGTTCCATTCATATTTGAAATGCTCAATGCTTGGGATTAAAGGTTAATAGGCTAATGAGACCTTATGTCCTGATGCAGTCAAAGAAGTCAAAGAGGAGGCTGCGAAAACCAGCTACTGTGCCCTTGGCGTATGCCAAGGTAATGAAGAAGCTCAGCTTCTGCAGCTGATCACTGCAGTCCATTGGGCTAGCGCTGTCAAGGCTCTTCCAACTGGTGGGAAATCTTTGAACACCAACCTTTTCTTTTTTCTTGGGGAAAAAGCCTGCTCCTTTTTCTGGGTTTAGTCAGCTGAGCTTTTTTGTCGTACGACTTAACCGAATAGCCACATTTGATTATGCTTTTCCCTTCTTTCACTGGATGAGCAACCATTGGATAAGTGATAAGCAAATTATTGATGATGACTCTGCCTTTGTTTAATTCTGGTTTTCTTTTCGATACTTATGCTCTGTTTAGGAGGTACAGGGCGAGGAAAGTAGAGAGAAACTTTCAAAATTCCCTCCTTGTTCTTCTTCGCAAAAATTTTAGATATTCCACGTCAATCCATAATTTTCCTTTGCATCCACTCATTCCCAAGCATCTTTGCATTGCTGCATTTTATAAAGGATAATGAGATTTTAGGCGTAGGTGTCCTTGGGCGACATGATCTCCTTGGTAATAATTTTGCCAGGCAACTTAGGCCTAATGCTCTCAGGCACGGATGATTTCATGTCATTATCAGGAATTGTGAGACGTGCTTTAATTGTAAGCATGATTGCCTCGGAGTAAGGCGAACTTTGGATTATTTTCTTATGTTTTGGCCTCGTATTTGGTGCTATACTAAAACTTGAAGGATTTGTTTCTTGACCCACTCTGTCGGTCATCCCAACTTGAAGGTGATACTGCGGAGTCCGATGGGGCAAACATCGTTAAGCATGGGCATCAGGTCGGACAAAACAAGGACTGCAAATCCTTTTTGTCAACGGTAAGATCTTCGGACATAACAGTGCTGAGGTCTAGAAAACATTCTGTCTATCGGATCCTGTTCAAGCTAAGAATGGCATCATCCATTCAGTTCGATAACATGCGATTCTTATTACCAAATTCAAGCTTTAAACTATCATAACTTTGAAGCGGGGCCAATCTAACCCATTCTAATGTTAAACTGGATCATCAAGGCTGGTTCCAAGTAGAAACTGTTCGAATCAAGATTTTTAATTTAAAATCCGTACTTCTGAAGTTTCGCTCATTATTTTACTCGATTTATGACCTGATTTGCGTTTTTCCTGTGTTATTTAAGCTCGGATTTGGAGGCTTTTTTGTTGAAAATGTGGGACTGGTTTTCAAGTAAAATCGACAATGGGCCAGTTCGAATTTCCATCTCCGTAATCTCTTGACTAAAAGGCAACATCAACAAAGCATCAGGATGGTGATTGCAATAGTCTCATGAGTCTGACTCTCAACGGCAACTACCACATAGTAGCAAAGGGTAAAGCCATACTAAAACTCCTCACTTATCGCTGAATAACAATGACAATGAGATGCATACGTCCTAAGGCACAAGACCGAGCCGACAGCATAGAGAAATAGACACTAATGGAGAATGAACCCTAAGCCAAGACATAAGGAGAACCACCTGATTGGAAATTTAAATTTCTAGTTTGCGAATTGGCCCTCTTCTGGCTACCCTGTGTTTGCCGTGGGCTGTGATTAATAAGCTGTCTTTTAGACAAGACAAAGGTGCAACCTACGGGCCATGCCAACCCGATATCAATACATGGAGTTAGTGTAGATCGAGTGAAAGAACTTCAGCACTCCACTAAACTGGATAGAAAAGGTCCACCCTCTACAAAATCTCTCGAATCTGATCAATTTTGACGACAAGTAGGATATTTCTTCCACGGTAGATTGATAGGAACATAACACAACAAAATCCCAATAAAACCTAGTACTTAAGAATAATCAAAACTGAACAACTTGGTTGAATCAGACTTGGCGTCCAACAGTTGGATACAACATTGTAGGGCCGGTAAAAGAAAAAAGCAACGAAATCTGAGAACAAGATTAATTAGGATGGACCAGAAGATCCAACCATCGCACGAAACATGGTTGAAGGCCATCTTTTTGTTGTTTATCATATGCTACAAAGCTGGTGAGTCTTATAGTCCCACCCAATATGAACGGCCGTTGCTGTTGTGAACAGCTGATGGAGATGGAGATGTCACACACCACTCGTACCAAACCTTCATGAAAGTTCAAATAATGAGAAAATCTGTCATCCTTACCATTGCAGAGAATTCAGAGGTTAGAGAGGGCCCAAAGTACTTAGAATGTATAGGACACATGATAGCTCAACACTACCCAATGTAACAAAAATTGCACCTGAGTGGTGCCAATGGATAGCATGATTTTGATTCATGAGATAGTTTACCTTCGTAGAACCGACACAACGCCAAAAATGTACTTCTAGAGGAGAACCAGGACATACACACACCGGCGTCCTTAGAGGGAAAAATATTGGGAACCTGTATCCAACATTAAAGCATGGCTCTCAGACTAATAAAAGCAACTGGATGCAAGAACAAACACTTACAAGAGGGGAAACCACACATAAAAGCAGTGAAGGAGCTTTTCAAGATGATTACTAGATGCATTATTTTGGTGAGGCACAGCTTACACCAAGTGGACCTACCAGCTAAACATATTCGGAGTGGCAACTGATGGCTCAATGCCAAGATGAACGTCTTTGTAAAGTGTTGCATCAAAGTAGCCAGCAAATCCTACAGATTTTGCAAAGAAAACAAATTAACATGTGTTCTCTGGGCCATGCCTTAATCTCCAAGGCATACCAGTTATGAGTTATTCCAGTGCAAACAACATCCTCTTTTCTATCCAAAAAGGTACTCTCAAATGATGTCAAGAAGCTTGACTTAGGGGAAAAGCTCAGCCTACTCACAAGAAGAGCTGTACTTACAAAAGAGGGATGCCGAGAACTATAAATAATATGTTTTCTTTCAGAAGTCAATTGTGCAGATTACAGAAATAAGATCAACACGACATACCATGGACAAGTGCTGATCCCATATCGCTAGGTATCTCAAATTGCAGCTTTTTGGAACGTTGATTACTTCTCTGAGGTGAGAGGTCTGGGTGGGTAAATGTGAAGACCTAATCACACGTCGAGGACAGTTATTACAATCAGAAAGTGAAAGCTCAAGTTGAAACTTACAAATCATACGACGGTCACAAATAAGAACAGCAAATGATTCCTAATCATACAGTCACACATGCCATTGGTATAGAGAGAGCTCACAGGTTGTGTAGGAGCAAGCCTCGCTACACTGTGCAATTTGACAACATAAGCCGTTTCAAAGTGGACAAGATCTTTATGTGATTTCACCTGCAATGCCACATTAACCTTTGAGATAAAGCATCCACATAATGAGTGGTAACTCTGATACAGGAGAGGGGCATACATCATTATATAGCTTCGATGTTGTCACGGGCTGTATGAAGCTTGTGTACCTAAAATGGGCATATAGATAGATACATGCTACATGTGAGTGTCCCTAGATAACAGGAAACATGAACTTTAATGCCAGTTAGAAAATTTGACAGTCATTAATTGGCTATAGTCCCAAAAGTACAATAGATAGTAATCCTGACTTATTAAGCTGAGGCATCACTCTAATCAATTCAATGTCCACGAGATTTTGGTAGATATCATCTGTCAGGTGTGTGATACAAACTCCAAATATAAACATTTATCAACCAGAGATACTTTGCTAGCTAGTCCCATCATGGACTCAAAGTAGTTGAAATTAAAGTAGAGCTATCTATATCAAGCGCTCAACAGAGTGATATCAACTTTTAAACTTTTAAACCTTTAGCTCTTTTGTCCAAGTAAAAATCGAGCTTATAAGGAAAATTACAAGTTCCTTTTTCCTACGTTTCTTACAAGTGATGGTCTTGGTTGATAAAATGAAAGCAGAAGAGGAAATAAGCTGCAATGTTGTGTGTTTCGAAAAGAAAACTCAATCAATGATGGGAGTTGCGGAGTCAAAAGTTAGCAAAGAATTAAATGTGAATAACTAACACAAAATGAGCCAATCTGGTATCGGATATCCATTTTATCTAAAAGGCAACGTGGATTACGGGAATCTCACTTATAAGATTTGAGTCAATAAAGTAAAGATGCATACATAAAGTTTTATTTTCTGATTGGAGAATCACACAACTCAAGAGATAGGCTAAAGAATTGTAATCAACATGATCACGCACATTTACAAGCGTTAGCAAATTATACATACAAGAGAAGACGGGATTAATTTTTATCATCAAATAAAGAATTTTACTAAAGGGCCCTGATGGGGCCAACTCAACACATAAAGCTACGAAAATGGGTGTTCAACCAACCAAAGTTACAAATATGACAAAGAAACTCATTTGTAATAGTTTGAGAATGTGAATTCTGACCAATAGATTTAGCAATAACAGTCCATTTTTCTAAGTAAATATGACATGCGGCTTTAAAAATTAATAGTTTCGTCGACTGGAGTGGAGGGATGGTGTGGAGAAGAGGGTTGGGAGAGGGAAGGGGGAGGGGGGGGTGGTATTTAAGGAGACGGACAGCAGAATTTTCAATTGATCTACAATGCGCATGGTTTTAGCATATAGTCTATTTATCATATAATGGCGACAAGCTCTTTTGTTGCCTGTTGGTGTCCTCCTAGCATGCACACCATGCTAAATAAAGTATATGCATAGGTTTCGACCAAAAAATATATATCTGAATAAGCATCAGCTAACTGACAACATTTGTCCATTATTTTGAATACTGAAAGAACACGTACGATGATGGAATTGACAATCCATCTTGCTTCAAAAATCTCTGGGCTCCATCTAGACATTCGGGAGAGAGCTCATTGTCGCCAAAAGAACCAAGCAATTCACTAACCTAAGATAAGCAAATACAGTAAACACTAGCTCACTGGGAGATTAAAAAAATCAATTACATTTGACTAGAAAAACCTACCAAAATGTCAGCTTTCTGAGGAGCATCCCAGTGACGCATATCACTGGAAACTATGGTCACAGAATTTTCCCACCCTTCTAATTTGACCAAACTCTGTCAAAAGTATACATTATTATATCAGAGTTCAAGAAAAGCATGAGCAGAATTGTTGTAATAAACGTTTACAGTAGAGACCAAAAAATAGCTGACTCACGTGTAGTGTAACAACTGCATTTGGATTTTTTTCCACAGCATAGACTTTTAACTTACGGCCAGTTTCTTCAGCAGCCTAAATATGAAGAGGAAAGAAATTGCATATCAGATGCCCAGCTATGGAATATGAGCAAACAAAATTGTCAACAGTACAACCTGCAATGATGCCCTTACTAGTGGTCCACGTCCTGCTCCTACAACCATCAGTACCTTTGCAAAAATAAAAGAATAACAATTGTCCTCACTATAGATATTGCAACATGCAGAACAAAAAATCAAAGGTGGAGCAAAAACGCCAAAAGCTGGAGAGAGAGAGAGAGAGAGCATACAGTGGTTATAACCGATGCTTTCTCATCAGGAACTCTGTCAATCAAAGCTTGACTAATCGCCCTTTGATACTGCAAGAAAAAAAATTGAATGCAGACAATCAAGGACAAAGGGGAAAAAAATCATAAACAAGGACAGGAAAATGTATGCATCCAAAAAACTAGTGATAATTTCATAGGGAAAAGATCTGGAATGTGGATGTGAATCCCACACTTGTCCTGTCCGTGTTCATAACACTCGACATCTGATATTAAATGTGCTGATATTAGTTGCACAATCTAAGGACACGGAAATGAACACTGTTAAGATATGTGCTGATATACATCTTGATCCCATTTCCTAATAACTTATGTTTACCTGAAAAACTGTCATTAGGGTAATTGGTATTATAGCATGGGTCAAGAGTTCAAATCCTAAAACTCCCTCTAAATTTCTTAGGTTAATGTGTTCTAGTCCAAGGTTATCTCATCACTGCTGTTTTTCTCGTGTTAGGACTCACTCGCACATGAGACGGCATTTTAAGAAATATGCTAAAATACAGTGTGTGCTTGTTTCCTTATAGCTTAAGTTTTTTTGTAAAAACGGTCAACTCCCAAAAGTCATTAATAATATAACTTCAACATGCAATACCGGCACTCTCTTCTTAACTATTGAAGTGAGAGATTATGAGTAAATGACAGACCAGAAGCATAAGACAGAAGTTCTCAAAGAACCATACCTTAAAACTACAGAAGTATAAGACAAGTTCTCAAAGAACCACATCTTAAAACTACAAACATATGTCACCAACATGATAGAGCTATACCTGGGTGTACTTTACTGTATCTTTCTCAAATGTCTCATAGGTTTGAGCCTCCAGATTATCCATAAGAGGCTGTAACAGAAACATATAGATGAAACGGGATTCTAAACCTACTTCAGCAAAAGGCAATGTCTGCAGATATGGAAGACTTACTTGTAATGGAGACTGTAAGAAGTCCCGGTAACCCAACTGGATCAAAAGAACGAGTTAGACAAAGCAAAAGAATCAGCCAATATTAAAACGTTCAAAGTAACCTTTGCTTTATTATTCTGTTTTTGTTTTCTGAAATTCTCATCCTTTCATTTGGAGGGAAGACAGATGAGGTTACCCCTTCCTTCTCTTCATTTTTTTTGGTTTTTTTTTTGGTGTTGGCGGTATGGGGAGAGGAAGGGGGGGAAGGGGGGGGGGGTGTTTGTTGTTCAGTGAATTGATGGTTACCTCAAACCGTTCTTGCTCAGGAAGTGGATCCAGCCTCTGATAGAGATAACCAACATACTCCAAGTATGGCCTCAAAGTCTGTACACCTAGCTTAAGATCGTTTTTGTCAAACAATGATGAAGGCCAGGTTCAATGAAGTAGTGCAGTCATGAAGATGTATGAGAGTTTCTTAATGAAATCCTTAATTGCTCGTCAAAAAGTTCAGACATGAGACATGCTAGCAACGACAAATGAAAGGAGTGTTAGAAATAATGAATTGCCAACCTTAGTTGCCTCAAGAAACTTCAAAGCCAAAGAAATATTTTTGTTCATTCATGTCAAAGCTTTTGAAAAGAAATCTTCTAAACAAGTCATATTGCTTGATATGACAAAATGATGCATTATAAGAACTCCAATACAAAGCACAGAGCAATATTCTAAGAGGACACTTACAGCCAACATTGTCCCCATTATCCGTAGCAGCTGGATCTGTGCTTCCCCTCAAAACTTTATGTAATGGTTTTCCAGAAATGACTATCTAACAAAACATATTTTGCAAGAAGCACATAAGTTTCATAAGGCATGCATAAAAAGCAATGGAAAAGGCAACTGCCCACATTAGTTCTAATCAATTACTATGGTCACAAATAGCTTGTATTTGATTCACAGAGACTAGGAAGTAAGATTTAAGGGCAAAAATATTTTTTTAATATCTTTACACCAGTAAAAGGGAAACATTAGCATGATTAACAGAACTCATCATTTGCTGAATCTCACTGCTGCTTGCTATGAGAAGTTATTGCACTTAGCCTAAGCTAGAAACCAGCGATTAAAACCTTGCTACTTGTAAGACACAAGTAGCGACTGCAATTTTCTGCCACCAATCATCAACCACCTTAGTATTGGTTCCATGCCACTTTATTTCTTGCAGTTGACTACCTCCCTATACAATCTACAATCATTTCTCGGACATCTATGAGATCACATTGTCACCAACACCTCCACTAACCTTCTCATAATTGGTCAGAATGGTCACAACTCACAAGACATTGCCAAGAATGCGTAAAACCAGAAAAATGGAAAGGGACATAAAGGCTTTAAGCTTATTTCATAGTTATCTTCTCCATTGCATTAATATCTATTTGAAGAGACAAAGCTACAATATATTCCCCCCACCAACACATGAAACACCAACATAAGCATTCCTCCTCCATCAAGAACCACTTTGTCTTGTTGTTCCATTTCTTGACAAAATCTCCCTAGGTTGTCACTAAATACTATTTCTTCAACTCACTTTAGCTAGTCCCAAGATACAGACCTTGAAACCAAAGAAGAGCCCAACCAAACGTTGTGTCATATCCTAGTTAAGCCGATTCAACATTAAAATATATCGAACTTGCCCCAACAAAACTGAGTACTTTTGGCTACAATTACTGCATATCTGATTCCACCGACAAATTAATTGTCTTCCCTATGAGTTCTAATCTCAATAAGAATACTCGCTCTTACTATTTATTCGATATTATGGATATACCGCATCATTGAGTATGTACTATGTATGGATGACAAGATTCCATTAATACAAAGCCAATTCCATTGCATGAGTCCAAACGGAAGGACCGCATTTAGCAATGGATGGACTATAATTTGTACAGGAAAAGAGTATAAGAAAAATTAAAATTTCTGGAGGCAAAGAGCTTTCACAGAGAAAAGGAGCAGGAAATCGCAGAACTTGGAAGTACCTGTACTGAATGATTGAAAAACCCAGTGATAAGCTTCTGATGCCGTTTTGACAGGCAAGGATAACCCCTTGTATTTGTTAAAAAGCACTGCCACATCAATAAACTATTCTTTACTTTTGATTTAGTTGAGAAGCAGCAAGTAAAGCGATGACTATCTTTTTTCAATGAACCAAGGCCCAGATATAGTACCTCTGTGTTTAGGATTGCTGCTCTAACAGGCTCTCCAAACCAACGGACAAGCGAATTTGCTGAAGGCAATGTACTCCTGGAAATAGAAAATTCTCACTCATATGGGGAACATATAGCTCCAAAGCACACTACTGGAAATTACTAATAAATACACTAGCTAACTTATGAATGAATTAGTTTACTTACGAAACATCAAGAGCAATTGAAAGCTGGCTGCGATGCTCACAGAGAAGGCGAAAGGAATTCCACAGTTCCCAAGAATCAGTCTAAAGGCAAAGCAGATGTAGATTTCAACCAAAATTTGACAAGTAATAAAATGCACCTTCTCTTCTTTTCACTCGTTTACTTTATCTCGATTTTTTCTTTTTTTCTTTTTTTGAGGAGAATGTTCTCTACCCGATGTTCACCACAGAATCAGATTTGAACTAGATCTATGTATTACCAAAACAAGGAAGAAAGTACTATGAAGAATGGACTAGATAGACTTAGAGGACAAGAGGCAACATATATTACTGACCATATCATCAGTACTTGTACCCATGGAATCATCCTCGGCCTTGAACAAAGGAATTCTAAGCCACAACTGTTCATAAGAAGCAGAAAATGAGAGACAAGAAAATATAGTAGAGATAGACAGTGATCAAAAAGGGAATGTATGATCAGGCACCTGCATATTGGTCAGACCCTGCAAAATTTGATTAATGCACCTAGCATAATTTGCACAGGATGCTCGCCTAGGTGTAGGAAGCAAGCAGGCCTGCAGAAGATGATGAAAGCCAATTGGATCTTACAAGAAAAGCATTTTTTTTAGCATGTCTCTGACCATGACTATTTTTGCCAACAGAGCATCATAAATTACATTTTCCAGTGGAGCAAACAGCTGGTTACAGTGAGCTGTATAACGAGACTGGTTTCGCTGCCAATTCGAGTGATCACATCCCTAAGCTACATAGATTTCATGATGTGTTAGGGCTCATGGTCACCATGCATGCCAACGTTTCCGCTAAAATCCTCTTCAATCATTAGCAATGGATTTCTCGAAGTTCATGTGTTATGCCATCTGAGAGAGACCTGGAAGGGAGCATGCAAACTTATCATGTAAAGCTATCAACAATCTATACCTGCAGGGAGAGGTGAGAAGCCCATGCTATTTCCTGCTTCAAAGTGGTTTCAGAATCCAATCGCAGGATCTCGTCCTCAGAATCCAGGTCAATCCACGAGCTAATTTTTCCTGAGCAAGAACATTATCGACAAAAGAAGATCATGGGTACAAGTTCACGACACCTAGAAGATTCTCATAATATATGATATTTGTTCTTTAAGGCATAAAACTTAAAATAAGCAGATGACAGTCAAAGCAAAGCACATTGAAATGGAAATGTCTTCTAAACTAGAAAATATGGTTTTGTCAATGCTCAAATTCCTACAAATGATGCTGATTGACAAAATAGCCAGAAGGTGGTGTTTCCTAGTTAAAGAGACCACCTTATCCAAAAAGAAAAACGAAAAAGCAACACACACAGAGGGACTAGCGTATCTGGTCTCAGGTGGCACTTCGTTTTGACACAGTTCCTTTTTTTTGGGGATCTCTTCTATTGTTAGAGGAGATGATTCCACCAGTCTGACTAAGATATTGAAAAAGATTACACTAATGTCTTTTTTCTATTAAGGAATTGAAATGTATTGATGTTTTAGCACCAACTATGTAGCTTCTTTTGGAAGAAACAAAAGTAATCCAACTTTTGAAGAACTTCCACCCCACCAATTTGATGCAGATAGAGTACATAAACGAAAGAAAAGTCAAAGCACATTCAAAGCTTGTTTGGTATCAAAGCTTGGGTGCCAGTAATTCCAAATCACGTTTACCTGCATTTCAGAACAGACATACATAGGTACATGCAAACGAATTTATACATATATGAAATATATGCAGTACGAGCTTCAAACCACTTAGAAGACTCATTTACACAAGTAGAGACAAAAATCCTTTGACAGATTGGTGGGAGGGATATACCTATGGGAGATAAGGATGGTCGAATCACATTATGGCGAGAGGATATGATAACGACCTTCGATGAGTAATGATATGCTATGCATTACGGGTTTGATCGTAAAAACCGTTCAGCCAAGCCCCAACTAACGAGAAATACTCTTTTCTTTTTGTCATTTTGATGTTGTTGTTATTGTTCTTCTCGTATAGAGATGAACCTAACCTTGTGTATGCCAATGTAAAATGAATCCAGCGTGAACGTCAAACAAACTTAAAAAAAAATCAGAACTAAGAACATGACAAAGAGAAGGGTCTCATACCCACAACATGACTGCTCCACTGAGAAGGGTTCAAAATTAAGTCTGACCCAGCAAATGGCAGGACACTGGATCCATTTCCATCTTTTTCTAGTAAGCTTGGCCTATAAGTTGGATTCATCTGCAGCACCAGTAAAACCACCACGCAAAGCTGTTAAAAAATATACATTCTAGCATGAGAAAATCTCTCTCTCTCTCTCTCTCTCTCTCTCTCTCTCTCGTAAATCTTCGTGCTCACGTTTTTACTGTTGTCTATTGTAGTGTAAACAGCTATTCCTAATGAGTTGTCCCCACAAAAGTGATCATGCAGCACTACTAACTGTCGCCGATTAAACCACGTCATATGCACCGGTTGAAAATGCACCTCAAATGCATATGAGCCCGAAACCTGTACCTAGCTCTTAATATTTACCAACCACAGAGTCCCAATAGGTCAAACTCACACACGGACCCAACAAACTTCTCAACACAATAAGAGGCCAGCCACCGACGAACAATTCAGTACACGCCACTAGAGAAGCTATTGGAAGCAGAATCAATTCGCACGGACACGGGGTCGTCGAAGCGACTGCGTCACGGACCGGACGGAATCGAAGCAAGCGTACGAAAAAAGTGCTTAAAGCCGAGAGAGAGAAATGCTCGAAAATGTTAGAAATGGCTTTGCGACGGATCATTTCCAATGATCGATAGACGGCATGGGGGCTTGACGAACCAGAGGACAGACGACGAAATCGAAGCCGCCGCGGGAGATGTTGAAAGAGAGGAGGCGAGGGACGTCGTCGTCGAACTCGGACTCCACTCCGCAGTACCGGGACTCGCCCTTGTCGCCGGGGCTTCTCTCTCCGAGCGGCATGTCTGAGCTCCGGCGGCAGCGATCGTAGGATCAGGAGAAGCTCGAGCTCCCGGCGACGAGAGAAGATGGAGAAGATGCACCGAATGAGTGAGGGAGAGAGGGGAAGAGGGAGGCAAAGTTTCTTCTGTTCAGCTTTTGTTGATAGTGGAGGACTTGGTAGGGTTTTAGGTTCAAACGGCTAAACCCAGAAAAGCAATTTTGACCCCAAAAAAAAAAAGAAAACAAAAAAAGAAAACAAGTTTTGCCAAAAATAAGAAAGAAAAAGAATAATTGGTGCTCAAACTAAACATCACTCCCTTAAGTTAAGACAAAAAAATTTCGACCAAAAAAAAAAGGTTAAGACAAAAAAAAATATTCACTTTAATAGTTAAATACTACTGTATCTTGTGGATGACTATTTTATGCACCATTTTGAACGCCTAGATAGGTGGTAACATTATGCTTGTAATATAAATTCGATTGCCTATTAAATGGAAGGTAAAACTTTATGACTTTATATAGGTGAAGGTCAATAGATGATTGTATCAACACAAACAACTCTTGAGAATTCTTAATTCTTGCCAATCCTCGCGGCCATCTCTCATCCTTTTAGATACATCTCCAATCTCTAAAATGTCCACTAAAAACTATCTTAAAGTCAAGATAAGCCAATGAATCGCTTTTCCTAGCGATCAAACTTGCTTTCTGCGTGATTATAGTATGCAGACAAAGCAGAGGATTTTAAGAAAAAGAGTCTTGTACTTCTGCAGTCTGTCCGACTCTCTGATCAGCCTTCGCAAAAATGACAAAACTTCTATAATCTTCTCTAGGCTGCTTTTTGGCAAATTCCAGAGCTTGTAAGCAGTCGTGAAACCTCAATTCGCATGCAAATCAAATTGATAAAAGAGTATGAGGTCTCCTTTTCTAGTCTAGAGGCACGTGTGGCAATCTTCTTTTGGATCCAACTTGTTAGTCATTCAAGGTAATCCTTAGGGCTAGTATGTAATGTTACGTTCATGTCGATCGTGTAATAAAATAGCCACGAGAGTCCATTAATTTTTTGGATAATTTACTTTCGAAAATTAAATGCGAAGCTCTTTCAATTTCACAGCCATTGAAATTCTTTTCTAAATCAAACCCAAAAAAGAAAATTCTTTCGAATATACTTTTCATTTAAATTTTTATTTACCCCTCTTCAGACATTTTTGTTTGGGAGATTTTGTTAATCAATGGCCAACAAGAAATAGCCAAGACAGTCCATTAATAAAAAAAAAAAAAAATGTGTTCATCTTCCTTGGCGAGACAATTACCCTAACGCGCCGTCGGTAAAGTCGTCTTCGCTCCACTCTGCCGTTTGCGACGGTAAGCACCGCAGACGCACGCACCCACGCGGACACATACAGTCTCTCACTCTCTCTCTCGCTGCCGGCGGCTGTTCCTGCGAGTCTCGGCTGCATTTCGAGTCCGAAGTCGTGATTCTTTCTTAGGGTTTCTTCTTCAAAGTTTTCATCTGAGGTACTGGTCCCCTGAGCTCGAGTCTGTCTTTCGATGCAAAGCGAGAAAAAAGCAGCACTTCACTCGGGTCAATTTCTTTTGGTTGATTGGTCTGATTTTGCTGCTTGCACCACTGACATTGTTTCCAACTTTTTGCTCTTTTTTTTGGGTTGGTGTTTAAATATGTTCATGCTCTGTTTTCATTTCATTCTTTTGGTGATTGACTGATTTTAATTGATACTAAAGCATCATTATTATTATTATCGTCCGCTACAGCAATCTAGGAACTAATTGGATGAAAGGAATGCTGAATCTCATGTTTTTGCCATGGACAGTTTCTTTGTTTTTTTTTTTTTTTGCTGTCCTCTCTTATTTTTTCCGAATGCAAAACCCCTTTCAAACCCTCATTGAAGAAAGTGATCGTAGGTCGCAGAGAAATGGCGGGTCGTTCTGGTTCGCTTCTCCGATCTGTGAGATCGTCGATGGGGTCCTCGCGAAATGCTTGGCGCCGTGATGATGCCCACTTTGGCCAGCCTCACCGCTCATTTTTCACAATCAACAGGTTATTCCTCACATTAAGTGTTTCGCCTCTCAGGCTACTGAGGTTCATGTTTATGTTTTTTTTCCTGGAAACTGAATTTGGTCCTGGGTTTGTGATCGTTTTAGTGGCAGAACCGTGGGACAATTGGGCAGCAACCACTTGCCAATGCCGATTCAGGGTATTAACCGTTTCTCACTAATGACAATAACTCGATTGCTTTCTTTTCTTTAGACCACTTGTAATGAGAGCTGAGTAGATTTTTTGATCACATCCAAGGTTCAAAGGCTCTGATATTCCTTGTCATACCTGGCTAGCTTTTGATTGTCACCAAGGCAGATTCTGTCTTTAGGGTATAAATATCAGGGTCATCTCACAGCAGTTTCACCAAGGGTGCCGACTAGAGCTAGGTCAGGCACATGGTCAGTTGTCTTGATTAGGGGAGTATTATAATTAGGGTAAAAGGGAACCAATGAAAGGATTGGCATATACTCAAACCTGGAAGTCTACAAGGCATGGTAGAAGTAGAACGAATGCAGGCGTGACTGTAGAGAGAATTTGTTGCGATGGTGAGTGAATTCACTGATGGGGGTCCTAATATCTTATCTGGAGTAACAGAAAATACGTCGATAGTTTATGCATAGGCCGTCATTGTTGCATAATCTGGGAACTAGAATGGTGTTTCTACTGATGGATAGAGCATATAGTTTGTTCAGTTATTAATATGTATGTATTTTACCGTGGTTTCTTTTGACAAGATGATCTTTTCTTCCTAATGAGAGAATAAAAAGGAATGGTCAGATAAAAAGAATACTAGAGAAATCGAATTTTTCATTGTATGAACACTATAGGGTACATTTTTTCTTCTTCTCTGTGATCCACATTAATTTGATTTTTGGCCTGTATATCAATTCAACTTTTGGGCTTTTTGAAGGCGTGGCATAAACAATGATGGTTTTTTTCTCGGAAGCATGGACATACAATCTCTATTGCTATAGAACCTTCATCATATTTGAAGGTTTTCTTGTACTTCTTTTGTGTCAATGGTGAAAATGTTTTGAGGCGCTTGATTGAGGCAATTTGCTGCTTGAGTGATCGATTTTTGGCTTCTGTTTTAAGAAATGAAACTCTCAAATCTGCCACTCAATGCAATTTGTAGTTACAAAAATTTGACAATTTGCCTCAACAATGATAAACAATTTTTGCTGGTTCTCATTCAGAAATTGCTGATGTTAGCAGCTCCTGACCTGGTCAATTTGATTCTGTTGTTGACACATTTATGCGATCTTATAACACTTGACATTTTGAGTGATGAGTTGATGTGGTTATATGATGTTTCAGTTGCTTCATTCTCTTGGGCTATGGAATGATTTTAAGCATGAATTCTGATTGAAAAAATAATTGAATCTCTCGTGTGAAATAAGGAAGTTGATGGTTCTGTCTTTTATGCCTTAGTAGTATTTTCCTATCATTAGTTTTCAACTTATCCACAGGTGTTATTTGCGAATGTCTAGGTTGTCCGACACGTCAAATGTACTCTCTTAAGATAATCTGTAACCACAGAGATTACAATGCTATCAAATCCTTTAACAAATGAATTGCACTAGAAGTCTTAAATCTTGTGTGCAAAATTCTATCAGATCCCTTTTTGGCTTTGTGCAGAGTTGTTGCGATTCATCTGAAAAAGTAGCAATTTAGTCTCTTCCTATTGTCAGGATACTGATGGTCGTGTAGGTGTGTTCATTTATTGGACTGATAACTTTAAGGGCTGGCAAATATTTTAAAACAATTCAGGGTTGCATTGCACAAACTAAAAAGTTAGCATTACGTTCAAAGGTTTTGGACTTCTAGTGTAATTTATCTGTATGTGAGCTATCTATCCGTGCTACCTGCTTGTATTGGAGAGCTGCACTCAACTAATTATCTGCACTTTCCTTCTGATCCTCACAGGTTCCTCACTGAATAATCAATGCTTGAAAGTTACTCTAAATTATTTGTCTAATGAAAAATTGTTATAGCCCATTTGGATGATGATGCTTCTCAACCTGTCAAACAGTAGCTCAACACTAGTAATTGCATGAAGTGTTTTACTTGATAAAATTCCTTAACTATGACATTTTATCATAAAAATTAGCAACTGTGCTCTCATATCAAGGCTTGTCTTTTGCACCTTGACCTTCGTCTCTCAGAACCACATGGAACTTGAGCCATTGTCATTGTGGGTAAACACATGGAACTTTAGCCTTCGTAGTTGAAATTGCTGTCCACTTGTTTCAGTGACACTTAGAAGCACGATCCACTTTTTGGAGTTACAGTGTTGCCCTTCTCTTGATACCTGATGTTGGATTAATTGCTTGCGATTGTTCTTGTCTTAGACATGTATTTTTTTGGAGTGCATTGCATATCTCATCTTGACTGCCCTTCTTGACAATGAGGGTATTATCTTGAGACTTGAAATTATTTATTCAGTTTCTAATATTTCTGTATTACAAAACTAGCAGGTTATACGAGACAGGGTGTTTTTGCGAGTAACTCTTGTTCGTGGAACATATTGCACAATTCGGCATTCGGCAATTTCTTGTCTCAGGTCAGTGCCTTTGAAATTCTTTACATCTCATTGTGTAGGCAGTTTTCAAGAATGGGAAAGATAAAAAAGAAAGTTTCATATGTTTCTTAACAGTGGCTTTAAGAGGCAGTGGCCTTGGAAGTATTAAAATTTAGGAACTTTTACCATATTGAATTAATATGTTATTAATTCCACAGCAGCGAAGAACTTTCATTCAGATGGGGACTATCCTCAAAGTCGTGGACAATTCAGGGGCGAAGAAGGCGAAGTGCATCCAAGCTTTGAAGGCGGGAAAGAAAGGCGCAAGACTAGGAGATACCATAAAGGTATCTATCAAGGAGGCCCTTCCCAACGGGAAAGCGAAGAAAGGGGACAAATTCAGTGCCATAGTCGTGCGCGCCGCCATGCCGCGCGGCCGCTGTGACGGCAGCGAGATCAAGTTCGACGACAACGCCTGTGTCCTCATCGTGAATAAAAGCAAGGACAAAGACCCTGTGGGGACAAGGGTGTTTGGGCCGGTTCCACACGAGCTGAGGAAGAAGAGCGTAAAGATCTTGACCTTGGCGGAGCATATCGCATGAAGAAATCGTAGTCGTAATGTGTAATGAGGTTCCTAAACACTGCAGTGATGTCTGGATCCGTTTCACAAGGAAGTGCTTTTGTCCCTCTTGAGCAGCTTTGAACTGTTCTTGCATCTGAAGTGATCTTGTTTGGATTAAAGAGAGAAGAACTCCCTCCCTCTCTCTCTTTGAGAAAAACTCGTATTGAAGTTGGAGTAGGCAACTACTTTGAGAATTTATATTTCCTCTCTCTCTTGTAAAAAGTAAAAGGGCGATAATCTTTTCGTGGCAAAAAGGGGAAAGAAGGTGGTAAGTTTCAAATTCTCTGAAACCAAGTGTCTTTCTTAAATATAGTCCTTTTCCCTTTTTGGCAAAAAGTAAAACAATCTCATCTTCTAAAGTTATGAAAAATTGAGCGGAATAAATACTGGCATTTTATATTTTCCAGTTGATTTGTTAGAATCAAATCAAATAGTTGCATTTTCGGGTAATAATAATGGTAATGTGATAAATTTACCTAAAATTAAATTTTTGATCATGAAAAACTCCAAATTGATACATCTGTGATAAATTTATCCAAAATTATTTTTTTGACCATCAAACTGGTACAATTGTAAAAAATTTACTGTATGTTAAATTGAATTAATATCATGAAAAATCACAAATTGGTAAAAATGTGACAGATTGTTAAATCTCAAACTGGTACACTCGTCAACTACCACGTGTCATCCAACTAAGCAATTTAATGGTAAAATTTAATGAAAACTAACGGAGGGTAAATTTGTCATAGGCGTACTAGTTTGGGGTTTTTGGTTGTCAAAAATTAGTTTGGGGAAAATTCGTCGTAAGTGTACTAATTTGGGGTTTTTTGTGGTATTCACCCTAATAATAAGGGCAAAAGCCACCAAAAGTTCTAAATTATGTCAATTGTGACACATTTACCATAATTTTTATTCCATGATACCAAAAATTTCAAACTTGTATTTGTGTGATGCATTTACTATCCGTCAAAGTTCTGTCAATCAAAACCGTTAAAAATCTGCCTACATGGACGTCAAAAAGTAAAACGGCTTAAGTTTGGGGTTTTTTTTTGTCACAAGAATAAGTTAAGGGTAAATGTGTCATAGTTGAAATTCCATAGACTGGAATTCTGATGAAGCTTTTCATAGTTAGTTACCAAAGTATTATGGAGTAACTTAACTAATTGATTCCGAAGAATTTGTTTAGGTACATGGACATAGGAAGTTTGATCATTATCCACTGAGATGAAGAGAGCATCTTTAGTGTCAGGAAAATTAATATCAATAGCATGATTTTGGACATTTGGAAGTGTAAAGTAGCGCCTATAGAATCAGGAGTCTGAGAAGCTCCTCTGAGTTGTAGCTGAACTTTAAGAGCTCAAAAGAGTCTTGAATTCGTAAGGGCCATGTTAAAATTTGGAAATAGTGTAACAAACACTATTCCGACATTAAGAGTGATTTGGATTGCACCAATACAAACATGTTGGTAATCCAAAAAACGAATATCCAGAAGGGCCATGTGAGCAACAACATGTAATCCTTTAAACAAATGGATAGCACTGAAGTAAAGATGCGCATACCCTTATTGTACCCATTGACGAGGAAAATTAGGGTAACAAAATGTTCTTGCTGAGTAACAGAAATAGAATACTGGTTGAATCGGGATGACTGGACATATTCCTTAACTTCTCAGGGTACATGTGTTGATGAGCTGTTTGACAAAACGTAGAGGAGAGAAAGAGGGGGTTTGACGAAAGCAGAATATGGATTAATGAGGGGAAAATGACTAGATCTTATTTGGGGTTTTCAATGTTATAAAAAAAAATCAAAGTAAAAATTTAAGAGTGAGCTGAGAGTTAAAATAGAAAAAATAAAAAAAAAAATCACGATGAGTATAATTTGGGGTTCTTCACGACTTTTTCCACGACAATAAAGGCGAAGCAAAAGCGGAAATGAAAACCACAATTAGCTAACAACGTCAACCCTTAAAGATTCTCGCAACAAAAAGTTGGTTCGCTGACGCGGCCTCCACGCTCCACTCTCTCTACTCTACCCACCAAGTGGACACAGAGCAACAACAACTCTATTTCCCCCCGAAATTGCCTGCTCCAACAACACGTGAGCTCGGTTTGATCCGAGCCGCCAAATCACGCGGGCCCAAAGAGACACCCGCGCGATCCAACGGCTGGGATCGACGGAGCTCCAGTTTGCCAAGGATCACGCAAGGGGCTGCGCTCATTCCGCCTTCCGTTTCCGTCAAATGCAACAATTAATAAAAGCTCTTTTTTACTCACCTTCTCTCTCTCGCCAAGTCTGACACATTCGAGCTGGCGACTGAGCTCCAGCTCGCTCTCCAATTTTGATCGTCTCCTCCTCCTCCTCCTCCTCCTCCTCCGCGATCCGCCATGCGACCGCCGCGGACCTCCCGGCGCCGCTCCACCTCCGGCCCTCCCTCCCTCCGGTCGCGTCCGCGTTCCCCTCCCCTCGACCAGCCCGTCGTGCCGCCGCCTCCGTCGGCCCCCCGCTCTCCTCTCCGGCGGTCGCCGCGGTTCTGTCCGCGCCCGGGACCCTCGCGATCTGGGCAGCGACCTCACCGTCGGCTCGATTCTCGCTTGGCGAAGCATGTCGCCGCGGCATTGGGGCTGAGGAGGTCCCCGAGGCTGGGTTCGGGCATGCATGGAGCGGGAAAGAGCAGCGCGAGGATGGCGACCCGTTGGCGCTTGGCTGGATGCTTGAGGAGGTCTCCGAGGCTGGGTTTTGGCGTGACTGGTGCGGAGAGCGACAATGTGGGTACCCGTTCGCCTGCATTGGGCGATTTGTCGAGCGAATTTGGTCCCGGGGAGGCGGGGAGTGGTGTGAGGAAGCGCCGTGCGGCGGATTCCGCCGAAATGCCTTCGAGATGTTCGAGTTTGGTGCCGGCGAATTTTGGGAGTCGGAAGAGAAATGCCGCTCTGGTTTCGGTTAAGGTATGCTACATTATAGTAGCTGTATTTGTTTGATGATGAGATATCCTCGTGAAAGCATTGTTTGCTGCTTTTATCCCGAAACTTGGTTGATCACGGCGTTAGATAAGAGCACTCAGAGTGGGCATTATCTAGTCAAAGTTTGTCATGGTAAAATGTTCGGCCTTTTTTTTTTTTAGCAAAAATCTTTGAGTATTACGTACGTCTCGTTCTTAATTACTCGTTCTTGCTTGAGAATGGCCGAACTGGTCTATGAAGTGCATTCTTTTTCGCTGCAATCCTTTAAGTTTGGAATTTGATATTTTAGTAGCTAAAGATTCTTTTTGGCCAAATGGTGTTGGAGTCATTCATTGTAACAATACTCATTTTGGTGTCTCTGTGTCAGCCGTTCCTTTACCTTTGCTTTAGGCAAACTCGGACCATGTTTCTGGGGGGCAGCGTTTATTATATAGCTTTTTAAGGCTATAATTATGTATCTTGATTTTCGTTAGGTTCTGGTGACTAACTCAGTAATATATACCATAAACATGTAATATGAATAAATTTTAGCTAAAATATGGTGGAGGAATTGAATAACTAGAGGTAACAAATGCGTATCCAAAAAAAAAATAAAAGAAAAATCAACAAGAGAAAGTTTATGGTCTTCCTCTATACTTCAATAAAATAAGATGGAACAACCTTTGAATTTAGAAATCTTTTCTGCTCGGCAACCGATGCCTAGACAATATTTGTGGAAACAGGGTTTCCATGTATAGAGTACATGGAGATGTCCGTGAGCAAAAAAAGTGGGACATATGCATCTGATTGAGTGTGCAGATTTGTAAAGGTAGAGGTCAATTTTCAATAAAGTAAACAGGGGTGACAGTAAAACTTTTTTTTTTGTACAGTATAAATCTGCACCCTTCTTTCCTTGATTTGAAATGTTATTGAAACAAAATCTTGAATCTATAAAATCATGTCCTTGATTTTCCGCTTATTGGTTTCATCTAGAAAATTTAGAGGTTGTTTCTTTTTGTCGCCTTCAACTTTGTATATTTTTTTATGTTTTTTGTTGTTCAATAGAAGAAAGAGTGTTTCTTGCTGTATTATCGGTACTGTGTAATTTCGATGTGATGGTAAATCATTAATTGTTGAATGATGCGTGTATTTTAGATATTTTTCCTTGGTGAGTACTCTTCTTAACAATTATTTAGATCCAAATATTAAAATTATACTTGATGTTATGTATTTTCTTGTGTGATGTAGGAGATGCAGATTTCTGCATAACTTTGTATATTTCTCTTTGTTTATTGTTGTTAAATAGAAGAAAGAGTGTTTCTTGCTGTATTATTTGTGCTATGTTATTTTGATGTGGTTTTAAAGCATTAATTGAATGATGCATGTTGTTAGAATAATTAAATATTAAACCACGCCTTCATCTAACAGCTTAAGCTTTTAGAACAGTTGGTAGTGGTCCCACCAAATCTAACATGGCATTAGAGCATGAGGTCCTGAGTTCAAATCTTTCCAAGCCCCATTTACCTCCCCAATTAAATATGTGCACGCTTAGTACTAAGCAAAAAGATCAGACTAAGCGTGAGGGGGAGTGTTAAAATAATTAAATATTAAACCACGCCTTCATCTAACAGCTTAAGCTTTTAGAACAGTTGGCAGTGGTCCCACACCAAATCTAACACGTGTTTTTAGATATTTTTCCTTGTTGAGCACTCTTCTTAACACATATTTAGATCCAAATATCAAATCTATAATTGATTTTTGTATTTTCTTGTGTGATGTAGGAGATGCAGATTCCTACATTGATGTTAAGTTTCTTATAAAAATGTGGGGTTCTATTACAAGTCGATGTACGATAAACCGTTGCTGATTTCATTTGGATTGTAATTTTATCAGTTTAATTTGGATGTGGGTTGAACTTTTCAAACTGAAATTATTTGTTTGGGTTAAGATATACCCCGTATTGTTTGCAAACTCTCTGTCCACCTCTTTGAGATGCTTCACATGCAAGAAAAGTGATCAAGCTCTGCCTGAATTGAGGCTGAGGATCCAACAAACACTAAAATGATAATTTAGGAAATTTTTTTTCAATATTTTGAACTTTGGGAGCTGAAAGCCAGAGCTGGATAATTTTCAGCCACTGGCCAACAGTGTTAGTATCTTTCATAAGAACCTTACCAAGGGACGCTCTATCTGATAATTTACAGGGGTGCTGATTTTTTCTGGATGCAAGGTTAAAAAGTGAGAACTCTTTGGTAGTGGCATTTTATGGCAAAAACTGCACCCTGAGTTCTGTTCTTTTTTGGCTGGATTGTCTATGTAACCTTTTTTGTCTGGTTGTCTCCTAATACTATTTTGGTTAGGCAGGGAATCTGAATTAATATTCTAAACAGCGTCTTGGATGAGTTGAGAAATTTGCCCTTATAAACTATTAGAAAATCAAGAACTCTATATTTTCTTTACATGGTATCTCAGGAAATATGTGCTATACTTTCATGTAGGAATGAGGCAGCCTTCCTTGGGCAGGTAAGCCCTAAGCCCGCCTCACTAAACTGAATCAAGTATGATGCGAGTAAAATCTAAGCTGGTGTCCAAAAATGAGATTGTTTGTAGTTAGTGCTTTGTATAATCAAAACCCGCACCCAAATCTCTGTTCCTTAACCAATACTCGAAACAACCAATGGCATATTAAACAGAAGAAAGCAACTTGCAACCATCATCTGACCTTTTACTGATTCTAATAATTATTCAGCAGTTCTGCAAGAGCCTGAAGTTGCATGAAAATGTCTAATTCTCCTCCTGCAAGTGTTCTTATGAGAGAGCGAGAGAGCTTTATTGATATGTCATTATATCCATCTTCTGTAGATACTTTTTCTTTTTGCTTATAATCCGGCTGTCTCACTGATTTTCTAATTTATTTCCTATGTGTTTGGGTGTGTGTCGTGGGACTTCACAGTGTCAAGGATCTGCTGGTCAGAGCTCGTTGTAAGCAATATTCAGAGACATCTTCTGACTGATCTTTTCTGCTTTGTTAATAGTTCTCTACTCATCTATCTTACGGTCTACTCCTTCTTGCAGTGATGACAAGGGAAAACTGTTTGTAAATGTGGACTCTTCAGATGCTAGAATTTTTCGAAGATCTCCAAGATTGTCTTTGAATCCATCAATGCCTCTACTGCATTATCCAGAATTAGGGGGGCGAAGTATTCATATTAAAAACTTGCTGTCCTCTCCAAAGAACGGTCTTAAATCCCTGTCATCAAAGTCTTGTAATTTAAAATCGAAGGTTTTAATTAGTGAAGTCAAGCGATTATCCCTCCCCAGGCATAAGGGTGATGAAAAATCACACATGCATACAATGCCTCAGGATCCCAAAAATATGGACAACCTGCTGTTAAGAAGATCTCCAAGATTTGTTTTGGCAACTCCAGATGATAACAGTAAGAAATCCTCGAGAAACTTTGACATGTCCATTGTGAATGGCAGGCAATCAAGGAGCCCTGGAAAACTCACATCACTCCCCATTGGCGACAATGTTGAAGTCAAGGATGTCTCTAGGGGTAAATCAGAGAAAGGGCTTTTCAAGAATTATATGTCCTCTTTAATGAACTCAGATATGAGAGGATTGGACGAGAGTTACTTGAAGCAATCTCCAGCAGATTGTGCCTTGCCTAGGAAACCTGAACATGATGGATTTTGTTGTGCTCCAACTACATTACTTGAGACAGCAAGCGAGCAAACTCTTTCAGAAGCTGAATTTTCTGCTTCTAAAATGATTAAATCAAACAATGATAAAACTACTTTCTTTGTTGGAGATGCAATTCCCAAGGATGAAGCTAAAAAATGGTGGCACTGGCGTTATGATATAAAGGTGATCGCTTAATCTGTTTCATTAATTTTTTGCTTTATACCCTCCTATGCAAGGTTGATGTTCTTTTCTAGCTTTAGGTGGAGTAAGAAAACGCTTTTGTGCGAATACTATTGTTGGTGTAAATGTTAGAAATGTTTTTTTCATAAGACTTGTTAACTGATTACTTATTTTATCTCCTAAGAAAAATTTGTGTTGCTTTATCAACCTGACAGCTATTCATGACAAATTCTGTGTTAGTTTTATAACTGTGTATCACACCAGGTTGAAGTTGGGGTATTGTCCCCTATTTTCTCAAGGATCTTTATGTAAATGATACCTATCTTCATGTGACATGTTGGATCATCTGTAAATTAAATTAATACAGCGTAGTGAATGACATACTAAAGGAAAACCAAGAAATCAAAGAATCAATTGCTAGAATAGTTCTTTTTTGTTAACATATACTAAGCTTGTATCCACGTCTTTCCCAGCAAGTGCGTTGACTAAATTGTCATGTATGCTATCCCTGTTGGAGATACGGTGATTGTAAACTAACATACTTGGACTGAATACGGATGAATGCAAATCGCTATAAATGGCTATCACCCAGCTCAATTTTACTTGACACCATCTTTCAATTTTCTAGATGCTTCCTATCTCTTTGTAGCAATCTCATGGTTTAAATCAATCAATGTGCTTTTCCAGACACCCTATTGGTTTCTTTCTAAGGGTTGGGTGGATAACAATTCAAATCATCTGGAAGATAATGTTCAAGCAAATTAAGCCGTAAAGCATGATGACTAACAGATAGGTCCATAAATTGGAATGAACGCTTCAACCCCTAGGGGATAAAGCATCTGTTACTGCGTATTTAAATACTATTGTGTATTGTCTTAGCACAAGATGGTGAATTGAAGGAGGCACCTATTATGCAGTTTGACTAAAGCATAATGGAAGTGTGGAAACATCTTTGTAAAAGCATTTGAATTGAAGAATGTAGAAATTTTAATAAGATCGGTCATTTTTCTGTGCTCTCGATATTGTCTGATCTTAAGTCGGTCAGCAAGGACTACAACAACACTGTGGAAGTTTATTTGCAATTCTCCTTTTCAGGAAAAGAGATTACTGAAACTTGTATGATTTCCTCCAGTTTTTCGGCCTCCTTCTCTCTTTTGCCATGTAACCATGCATGTACTATCATATGCTTTAACTGGATGCAGATGACTGGATGATGCATATTTTCTTGGTTTGGACTTGCCCAAGCATTGGATTATTTGCAATCTGTTAGCTTTCCTTACTGAAAACTACTGTTAGCTTTTCTAACAGAATGCACCTTTTCTTGATCGTTCCATAGTAACATGCTAAGTGAAATGATTTTTCTTGTGCCATTTAATTGCTAGAATATTGGTACTTCTCTTTATGGTTATTTGCAATCTGTCTTCCATAACACTGAAGATGTTTTTACTGATCTTGATGTCCATTGAGTTTTTTAGAGTCAAACATTGAAGAGTGGAAAGAAATCGCAGGAGTAAGTTATGCCATGCAGTCTCTTATATTGTTGTTTTAGGTATCTCTTCTTGATTTGTTTGTGCTCATTATTGTATCCTCCTTGTTTACGTTGTTTATGGTTTGACATATAGGTCTGATGACGAAGATGAGATTATTATAAACGTGAAATGCCATTACAGACAAGCTGAAGTTAAGGGGTGCATTTTTGAAATTGGAGACTGTGCATATATAAGGGTAAAGCTTTTTACATCAGTTAAATCTGCAAATCAATGTCAGTCTCTCATATATGTTTCACATAAGCTGTCTTTTGTCAAATTACAAAAATCTAAAAGTCAACCTTTTGCAAGATTAAGCAAGTGGCTACCAGCTTTGACTTTGAAAAACTGAAAACTCATCCTTGTTTTGTATGGTGTTGTCCTATCAAGAATATTGAGACAATCCTTTTGATTTCTACTTTTGCTTATTACTGCAGCTTGATTTTCCTTAAGCATCATTTCGTACTTTAATAGGGACGATGCAATTTTGCACTGCCAATTGACTCAGGCATATTTTCTTGGCCAAAGTTACTCATCTTCTCTCGTGCAAGCACTGAACCAGTTGATTGTCTTGGAGATCAAAATTCTAAAGCTCGGTCATACTCATACTAGGCATGTCACAGATGTTAATGATGCCTTCTCTTTCAATTTTAAATATGTCAGCCCCAAAGCTCCTGTAATTGTAGAATTTCAATTAAGAAAAATGCTATCGCCATTGAGAAAAACTATAATGCTCTCCTTTTTCTTCCTCCTCATGCTCTATTTCCCTTGGTGGCGCATAAATCTTGTAAGTATCAAGATTTAAGGGCATTGTATGTCACTAAAATGACTTCTAGAGTTGTTGTCGTTTTCCAATGTTTGGGTTTCAAATGTTCATTTTATCATGTGTCCAATGCATATTGGCCAAATTCCTTTTGTGCTGTTTGATTTTGGAATTTATGGATATGTTAACTTTGAAGGATTGGTTATAATATTTGCTTCACAGGAAGAATTTATTTTGTCTTAATAAATGTTTTCCTTTCTTCAATGAGGTACAAAGATCTCGAACCTTTTTCAGCTGGAAGATGCACTTAAACCTGATATTTCCAGCTTGGGAGCTTCAATAAGTCATTTGTGAAAATTGTTATAGGGTGACGGAGGGAACAAACATGTGGGGAGGATCTTAGAGTTCTTCAAAACGACTGATGAAGAAGATTATTTCAGGGTTCAGTGGTTCTATAGAGCTGAAGATACGGTTAGTATCTTTTCCTTTAGATAAATTGGTATAGAATTTCATCTATGTTAATATTTGCGGTACTTTCTTGCTGATTGTTTCTCAGGTCATGCAAAATCAATCCTCTTTTCATGACAAGGAGCGGCTGTTTTATTCTGCTGTGGAGAATGACAATCCTTTAGATTGTATTCTTTCAAAAGTCAACATTGCAAGGTTAAATCCTAAGGTATACTGCAATTGTGCTTTTAAATTTACCAAACAGTTTATGATTCTTTTCTCCGCCCCAGATAACGAGCACCCATACTGAATCAATAAATCATAAACGAGAGAAATTTCTTGAAAGACGATGGAGGAGAAGTGGAAGAAAACAAAGCGGAGGAGAGAAAAGAAAGGAAAAACATAACCACTACAAAAATTTACCTGATTTTTCTGCATCAGGGAAAGATGTATGCAAGAACCATTGATTCAACAATTCGAGGCCTTTTGTTCCTAACTACTCAATGCTCAACATATTGTCATATGCTGCACTAGAAGTCCTTCCATCTTTTCCCTGTTTTTGCCTTAGTAAAGTAAGAGGCAGCTACCTGTCTTGTCGTGTATGGTCAGTGGCATCATATGAAGGTGACGTTGCCTTGTGGAAGGAAGGCTGAAGTTTAGAAAGTAAGCAATAAATCCTTGAAGTGTGTAAAGAGCAGATCGATTGACTTACCCTGCATGCTTGCGGCAATTTATCTGTTCCGGCCCAAAGGAAACCAAAGTTTTCATCATTTTGCTTTATTTCTAGCTTGTAATGAATGAGACAATGGGAGATGCATGCTAAATTAACATAGTGGTGTAATCCCGTGCCATTGATTTATCATGTGGAAGTTCTGTAGTGCTAGTTTGGCACCTCTTTATCTGTCTACATAATCAATTCTTCTTCAATGCTCCCCTTCTGAAATTATTGATCTGTCTAAATCATGGCAGGTTGGTGTAAAATCAACTCACATACAGTCTGACTTCTATTATGACATGGAGTATTCCTTGGAGTATTCGACATTTCACACATTGATTTCTGGTGAGTGCGTAAATACTGACGCCAGGGGTAATTTAAGGTCTTTTCATCATTGGTTCTGAGCTTCTCTGGGTTTCACACTTTCTTTTTTTAGAGGGAGAGACTTGTAGAACTCAATTTTCTGAATGCAACTCTATGAGTTCAGGTGAGATACAGATGATATTTCTATATCTAATTTTGTGTCTCACTATCAGATGGTCTGACTAAGGGCAATGATTCTCCATCATGTAATTCCCTCAACGGTTCAGCTTCAACAGACGTTGAAACAACATTAGAGAATATGCTGAGAAGCGGAACTCAGAAAGCAGAATTAACCCTCTTAGATCTTTATTCTGGGTGTGGAGGGATGTCAACTGGACTACATCTCGGTGCCAAACTTTCCTGCACTGATCTTGTGACGGTACTTTCATTAAATAAGCAAGTTCGTAAAGCCTTTAATTTGTATTGACTCAGCTGTTTGCTTTAGAGGTGGGCCCTTGATTGTGACGAGTCTGCATGCGAGAGCTTCAAGTTAAATCATCCTGAGACCCAGGTAAGCACACTTCATATCACAAATTTGGTGGCATGGGCACCATTAATCCACATAGCTCTGCAGCTGTTATACTAACACATGGTCCTTATTCAGATTAGGAATGAAGGTGCTGAGGAATTCCTAAAACTATTAAAGGAATGGGAAAAACTATGTAAACAATTTGCAATGAATAGTGTTGAAGGTATGCACGGATTGAGAGAAAACAACTGTAGAGTCACCCGTAGTCATGGAAGTCCTGCAGATGTTGCTGATACTCCAAAAGATGAATATGAAGTTTCTAGCCTAGTCGATATCTGTTATGGTGATCCCAATCAGATAGGCAAGCCCGGACTACATTTTAAGGTTCCCAGCTACATTCATCGTCATTGCTCATTGCTTTTGTTTTATATTGCAGAATCATCTCTTTTCTCTTATGTCTACACATATTAAATTTAATTGGCTGTCCCATCTGTATTCGTGTTGGAAATAATCATCTCTTTTCTCTTATGTCTATACATATTAAATTTAATTGGCTGTCCCATCTGTATTCGTGTTGGAAATTTTTTTCGTTGCCATGTTTATAAATTTTATCTACATTTATTGTTTCTCATGCTGTTGCAATACCGCAATATTTAAAGCTATTAATCAAAATGAAGTATTAGCCTGTAGAGATGTTCAAGAGCAAAGGCTACAAACATTACATTCATCTCAAAGGAAGCCGTCAACAAATTTTCTAGGAGTTCAGTGATTTTACATGTCCATAAAGTTTCCAGTGTCAAATTATTTGCAACTTCCATTTTGAATCTTTCCGCATGTAAACATCCAGAGGCCATTGATTTCACCTCTTTCCTTGGTCATTTGTGCTGCATCATGTGATTTAACCAGGTTCCTTATACTTTAAGGATGCATTTCTGTGCATTCAGTACCAAACGTTTCTAGATTTGAGTTTACTGACATCTTGTAAAGATTTTTTCTGTTTCCACTTCTAAACTTACTTTAGAACTTTTTGGTGTGTTTCAACCATTTGTTTAGGTATATTTTCTACCAGTTCTAATTTTCATCTCTCTTCGTAATTTTGTTCTCACTTACGTAAAAGGTCAACACTATAATTAATTTTTTTTAATGTTATTTCAGTCAAAGGACTTGAAAAGTGCCTTTTGTAGTTCCCCTGAAAACAGGAGTGGCTATTTCTCAAATCTCAATGTTAATGAGAACAATGTATATAGAAAACGGATACTTGGGAAGCTATATGGAACCAAAGAGGCCCCAGGATCTTAGAAGAGATGAATAACATACAATTAATGCTTGACCAGCTTTATATGGTTATCAGTGAGCAAAAAACAGCTTTATATGATTATCCAGGTGACCACATGGTGTACTTCTCCTTCTAATTTATCTAATTCCTATAGTTCATTCATGTGTCCTCCTATTTCTTTTCATATTTAATTATTCCTTGCCTGCAGCTTATGCAAAATATTTCACTAATCTATCCTCAGGTGCATTGGAAAGGTTACAGTTCAAAGGAAGATACATGGGAACCAATTCAAGGACTAAGGTACTCCATATTCAACAACCTCAATCTTCATATTCAAGAAGTGCTTCTGATATCTTAGATCTACTTCTTAGACACTGCGGAGAGGCGATGCAGAATTTTGTCAGAAAGGGATTCAAGTCCAAAATCTTGCCACTCCCTGTAAGTATCAGATAAATGTTTGTCCTACTCCTATCTTTATGTCTAGGATTGAAAGCCCTGTGTGGTAGCAACATTTGCAGTATCGATCATCTGTGTCTATATCTTCATGGCGGATTCAGGGTGATGCTGATGTCATATGTGGGGGCCCCCCATGCCAAGGAATCAGTGGCTACAATCGATTTAGGAATGTTGAGGCTCCATTGGATGATGCAAGGAATCGTCAGATTGTCGTCTTCATGGACATAGTGCAGTTCCTAAAACCTAAGTTTGTATTGATGGAAAATGTAACCGACATCTTGAGATTAGATAAAGCGTCACTTGCAAGGTATGCGTTAAGTCGATTGGTACATATGAGATACCAAGCAAGGTTAGGAACTATGGCAGCTGGCTGTTATGGTCTCCCTCAGTTCCGCTTGCGTGTTTTCCTTTGGGGAGCTCATCCAAGAGAGGTGATTTAATTTCGTATATGGCTCCAGTATGTAAGCTGTCTTATTTACAATTGTATAAAAGGTTTTACTATAAAAGTCAACTTCGGTGATTCAAGAATGAAAGCAACCCCTTGTTGAAAATATTGGGTTAATGCTTCATCTTGGGAGTAGCAATTCTGCTGTGCTCGCTAATATTTGGTCGTCCTTTCTTTGCCAACAGAAGCTACCTCAGTTTCCTCTCCCTACGCATGATGTCATTGTTAGATACTGGCCTCCTCCAGAGTTTGAGGTACTGAACTTTTGCTCAGAGAAAGCAACTTTACTTCCTTTCGTCTATTTCATTATTTTAATTTCCTAAACAATTTCATACTGTTTAAAGGAACTCGATTTCATTTACAGCGCAATTTGGTGGCTTTTGATGAAGATCATACTGCTGACCTTGAAAAAGCGGTTGTTCTTGGCGATGCTATCTCTGATCTTCCAGATGTAAACTTACTGCATTGTAGTCATAGTGGTTATCTGCTTTCACAATGTCCCACATTATGAAATTAAGTGGCTCTTCCAGGTTCCAAGCCTTGAAACCCGAGAGGAAATGCCATACAAGAACTTACCAGAGACGGATTTCCAGAAGTATATTAGATCAACGAAATACGGTACTCTGATGTCCTTTAGATGAGGAGTTAAAACTATCTGATGATACTATTAATCCTGATGCAAAAGTCGCTAGGTTATGCAGATTTGAAGTGAGAAAAATTGGTGCTTTTTGTCTGCTAAACTTAGGGTAGTTATCAGTAACTTGTGTCATTCCTACTTGCACTCAGTTTCTGACCTCTTGTGAGCTCATGGAGATAGATTATGAGGACGACGATACTAAATGTTGACTGTTATATTTCTGTATACTGTTTTCAGAGATGATGGGATCTCCGTCAGATGAATGCACAAGAAAGAAAAGGTTACTATATGACCATCGGCCACTCCCAATATCAGGAGTCAATTACTTACGAATTTGCCAAATTCCAAAAAGGAAGGTAGATGGATTTGAATTAAGTAGGTCACAAGTGAAACTTTTGATTTTCTCCTTATGTTTCTCACATGCAGGGAGCGAACTTCAGAGACCTTCCAGGTGTAATTGTAGGAGCCGATAATGCAGCACGGCGTGATGAAACAAAGGAGCACCTGCTGCCATCTGGGGAGCCCCTGGTAAGTAATTTATTCCCTAGAAATTTTAGCATCGAAACTATTCTAGCACTCACTCTTTCCCCCTTCCTTGCAGCTGCTTGTCAGTTTAGTTCTCTTTCAAAACGCACTCAAGTTTGTCATGTACCACGAAGAGGTCATACAGGGCCTTTTGGTCTTTTCTTTTTGAGGCTTCGTTGTGGAGAGAAAAATGCTACGCGTGCAGGCAACTGAATATGTGATTTTGTTCCCTTTTGCATCTCATAATTGATGGTCTTTTGAAATTATGCCGCCAAAATAAACTCGTTGTTATGTGGCTTCCGAGTTGAATGTGTCATTCAATGAAGGGCTAATATGCAATCTACTAATCCTGCATTGTAAAAACCTTGCTTGCTGTGCTCAAATAACATAGAAAAAGTCTCTCAAGTGGTATATGCGGTTAACAAAGAAAGCAACTTTGATGGATGTCGAGTTTATTCTTTAACTCTACAGTATAAACACAGTGGAGGCAATTATTTATGGTGTTTGTGATTGTTCATACACTTCATCAAGTCCTCAACTTGGAATCTTTTGCCTCTGTTCTTACTTTGTTTTTGTATCTTAAGTAATGGATTCTTGTCTTTAATTTCATTTCATGTGTTTGGAGCTTGCAGAATTGATCCCATAATGTCAAACAATATTCTAATAGATGCAGACATGGGCCATCATAGGATCCTCAAATAATTTACGTTCTTTTCCTCATGGTTATGTGGCAGAGACCAAACCCAGATAGACTCCGTTCATTGTGTGATGAGGAAAATTATTGTGTAGAGATTGCGATGACACATGGGGAAATGCACATTAGCCAAAGACAACTCGCCCAAATAGTATCAAGGGTTCTGAAGTTGAATAAGAAGTCTTGGTTAAATAGGACCATGCTAAAACATTTATCATATGGAACTCCAGTAATGTTTAATATGGACAATGATGATTTGTTCTATCTATATACTTGCAGGTTCCAGATTACGTCTTCACCTTTGAACAAGGAAAGTCGAAAAGGTGAAACCTTTCCTGCTTACTATTTCCGTTATGCACTGTCGTATCAAATCATGTCATTTCTAACCAGAGGCAAAGCTGCAGACCGTTTGCGAGGCTATGGTGGGATGAAACGGTGCCTACTGTGCTAACCTTCCCCTATTATCGGAGCCAGGTTTGGTTTGACACATCCTATATGTCATGGTACAACGTTTGCGAGTAATATACTGACTTCAGACCTGTACAGGCAGCATTGCATCCTGGGCAGGATCGAGTCCTCACAATAAGAGAATGTGCAAGGCTGCAAGGATTTCCTGACTACTATAGGTTCAGCGGGACAGTAAAAGAGAGGTTTGGTTCTTGAAACGTGTTCATCTTGAGATTGGAAATGCTTCATAAAACATCGGCCACGTAATGAAGAAATTTGAGAAACTCAGCATTGTAAGATTGTATATGTGATGTACCAACAAACTGCGAAATAGAAACCTCAGTGCCCATACGTAGAATTTGAGGAAACAGCATACTCATGTTTGAGAATTGAACATCTCTCTCTCTCTCTGCTGCTGCGTTGTTGCTCCCTTTAGCTTCATCATCTGATTTCATGATTTCTATTGGTCTAATCACATGTATCTTTGTTCTGGATAAATTGATCTAGCCGCTGCTTAATGCACTTATGTGTTAAATTATGATATGTGCAGTGTACGTACAGTCTGGCATGTGCCAGTGTAATTTTTTTAAGTTCATCTATTTAATTATTTATTTTTTACAATGTGAAGGTACCGCCAGATAGGAAATGCAGTTCCCATTCCTGTGGCGCGGGCCTTGGGCTACGCCCTAGGGGTGGCATATCACAAACTAAGTGGGGATGAACCGAATATGATCCTTCCCCCAAGGTTCTCTACTTCTACTTATCTTGAACTGATGAAAGCATTAAATCCTCCTGTTGATCTCAAAGCTTTGCAACATTAGCCAGGAAGTCCTTGTTGAGCCAGTTTGTCATTCGTGTAAAGATTCTTTGACATTGGCTTCCATTCTTTAATATTTTAGGATGCAACTGGCTGACTTCAATTCTTTAAGATTTATCTTAAACCGGGGTGGCGCTTTTCTTTTCATGATGGATGGGAAGATGACCTTCTATGTGTCTCACACCATGCACACTCTAAGAAAATTGATGAATAGAAGAGATTTGGGTTGAACTAGAATCTTCTTATTTACTTATGTCTGAGTTCTTTCTGACTATTCGTAATTCTTGGTTATTGTGGAACAAGGTAGTGATATGGTGGTGCTGTATGAGATTTGAAAGGATGTCCTGATTTTTATTTTTTTAAAATTTTTTGGCACATTATGTCTGGAACTTGGTTGCCCATCGAAGTGCGATGCTGCATTATGAATGGAGAGGGAAGTGAAGGGTTCAGTGTTCAGAGACCAAGTGTGAACTTTCTTTGATTTTACATAGAATTTTACGGGATCGTTATCAATACATTTGAAAGCTGTAATTACATCTGCTGGAAGCTGGTCCTATACCTGGGTTAATTGAAAGGTATGTTTTCACGGCAAGATGTGAACTTGTAACATCATGAGGAAATGTTTTGATTTTCAATGCTGGCATTTGGAAATTACAGTATTTTTATGGGTGTTTAGTAAGTGGCTTGCTCTTTGACAAAATCTGTTGAAATACAAAATCTATCGAGGTAATTGATGAACAGTATTTTACCAAGTGTCAAGCTAATGTGGCGTTTTTGTGAAATTGTAAGACGATGAAAAGGTTATCGGAAAGATGAAAAGTTCAAAGGTTCCATTATGTGTATTTGATTGGGATTTGAAGAGGCATGTTGTATGTTCAAACAAGATGTGCTTCTCTTCTAAGTGCAGCATTTGTTTTGAGAAATACCATTGCTCAATTACGATAACGGTCTTCATCGCCAGCGTGTTTTTTTGGTCATGCACATATCACAATCCGACTTTTATATAGATGAAATTTCTGATCAAAACGAAATCAAAGGCATCGATTATCAAGGAACGCGACAAATTTACATTGCATGCGACGTGGGAACACTTAGCCCGACACCCGACATTCTGCATATACAAGAGCTAAACGGGAACAGCATGGCTACTTGAAGAGACTTGAAAGAATGATACATCCGGTGTGAAAACGTACAGATAAAAAGTACGAAACACTGGGAAAGAGAATCCATGCCATTAGAGGGACAAGCATCAGAAGAATTTTACAGCAAAAATGTAGTATCAGAATGGGTTAATTCAAAAAAAAAACCACCAACTTTAGGTCGAGAGACAATTCTGGCCTGAACTTTTTTTTTGTCCAGTAAAAAAACACCAACTTTAGATCGAGAAACAATTCTGGCCCGAACTTTTTTTATCCCGTAAAAAAGCACAAATTTTAGGTCAAGTGACAATTCTGGCCCCAACTTTTTTTTGTCTCGTAAAAAAGTACAAACTTTTACTTAAATCCCAAATCTAGCTCCCTTTGGCTTAAAACCATTGATTATCCAACTTGACTATTTCACCTTAACAACTTGCTGACTAGATTTAAAGCATTATTCATTGTCTTATTCTCTAAGATACAGCTTGAAGAATAACGGTGAAATTGTTCATCTTTTTCACTTCACTGGCAAGTCAAAAATATCTCCAGATTGAATCTCTCTAGCCAGACTTCATCGTTTTGTCGTAATCTGAAACTATAGACTACTGCCCGTCGACAGACGCCATGGATGAGATTCGTTAGGCTCACCACCATAATCTTTTTTCTCAAACAAGGGTAACTTCAGATAAAAAGTCAATGGGGGCCAGATTTGGGATTTAAGTGAACATTGATGTTTTTTTACAAGACAAAAAAAAGTTGGGGCCAAAATTGTCCCTCGACCTAAAGTTGATACTTTTTTTTAGAATTAACCTGTATCAGAATTATGCAGGGGCGTTAGAATAAAAGACTCGTGATAAAAAGAAAAAAAGGTAAAAGATACCAAAAATCTCAAATTATATTTATCTTGACATATTTACCTTAAATTTTTTTTTATGATACCAAAATTCTCAAACTTATATCCGTGACACATTACCCCTTCGACCGTTAAATATCTGTCTATATTGATGTCATAAATGTGTCACAATGGATATAATTTGGAGACATATTTAAATGTTTTTTTTATAGCAAAAGCATAAAGAAGGGAAGCAAATCAGCCAAAAAAATGGCTATATAAAAGCGTCAAAATGGTTGGATGGCAATGGCATGATGAGACCTCCTCCTTGGAAAAGATTGATCGCGGCTCACCTTTCACATTGAACGCTCTCGGTCAGTCTCTCCCTCGCGGGCGCTCGCTCGCCTCAGATTCGTTCTCACTCGGCCAGCTTCGTCTCAGCTCCTGCTTTTCCCTCGTCCCAAAAGGGAAAGTTTGCCGATAGGAGAACTTTCAAGGAAAGCTCGTGAGCGCAATTCTTTCATGCCTTCCTTTGTTTTTCTCGCCCTTTGATCTGTAGATTCTGAAATTTTAATGGGTTCAGTTTTGTTTGAAACTTAATCGAGGGCTCTTGAATGTTGTTATCCGTCGACAAAATGCAAAAGATGGCGTCTCTTTCAGTGTAGTAGAGTGTCGCAGGTAGCAACTTTTACTCTTTGTTCCATTTGTGTAATGTGAAGCGAAGCAGCAACGCGGCTGTTCGTGATTGTTGTGGATACGTGTCAGACGCATCGTCGGCAATTGACAAGGTGACGCTGTTCGGTGGCCGTGTTGGTCTCGTCGGTCATGCGACCCGCTTCAGTGGGCATGTCGTGCTCGTCTCGCCGCAGTTTGATGTGCTTACTACAATGTGTCGTGTTCGGGGTTTGCCATGATCGTTTTGTGCCCGTGTCTTCGACACGACACGAATTGCCGGTCCTTTTCCGATGCACGAACAATGGCAGCCCCTTGCAAATGTTGCTTGATAGTTTAATTTCGCCTATGAGAATGCTGCAAGTGTGCAGCAAAGTTTCTATCTCCGAGTCATTCAATTTTTTGTATGTTTTTCGTTCTTCTACTTGAGAACGGTGGCATCCTAGTTAGGGTAAATAGACCCTCAAGAAGCACCGGCTGAAAAATTACATCAACTTATGATTTTTTCTTTTTCTCCTGATTGATCGCATCAGGTTGAGTGATGGGTCTGCTCAGCATCATCCGAAAGATCAAGAGGAAAGAGAAAGAAATGCGCATCCTCATGGTGTATGTGTCGTCCTCATCGAGAAGTTTGTTTCGTTAGTTTGTGCTCATTTCGTGTACGCAATTAAGAATCAAGATGTTGTTGCGCTTTGTAATTGGCTTTATAGGGGGTTGGATAATTCCGGGAAGACGACCATTGTGTTGAAGATCAACGGAGAGGACACTAGCGTCATTAGCCCCACTCTCGGCTTCAATATCAAGACTATTACATACCAGAAGTATGTCCAGGTCTCTCCTCAAATTTGGATTACTTAGTGCCATGTTTGTTTGGCCGATTACTTGTTTACCTAGCAACTGTCGGTTTCTCTTCTTTTCTCCTTGACTTTAATTAACCACAGTTATAGCCTGCTGTGTCAAATATCGTCTCATTAGCAATTTCTCATGTATCTGCCTAGAGATCTGTGGATTAAAAAGAAGCTTGTGTTTATAATAGCTTGAGATCACCTTAGATAGAGGAACGGCCATGTTTTCATCTATCTCTGGTTGGAAGAGTCTAACCACTCCTTTGATTGGTGGATTACAGAATGTGGACCTCACCCCCATTTATTCTTAGTTAAGTTTGCATGTTTGTGATGTCGTTAACCTGTGATATTCCAATGAGAAGCATGTTTGGGGGAATTTGCCCCCACTTTGGAGGAGGAAAAATGTAACTCATAAAGGAGTACTCGTTTAGTTTCTGGGGTTCTCTGTGCTCACTGATGAAGGGCAGTAAGTTATGGTCAGATTAAGTGAATCCATAGCAACAGTCGTACTTCAAAGATTGGGCCATATTAAGTGAATCCATAGTAATAATCATACTTCAAGGATTATTTGTGTTTTTGTGCAGATTATGACTATTCTTGACAAGGTTAGCAGAACTTAAACAACTGATTTTGTCAATTGCTGCTCTCCAGCTGGATGTTTCTCTTTCTAAATCTTAAAAGAGAAAATTTTTTAAAAAGGGGTACAACCTACATTTACAACTAGGTGCAATATAGAGAGTCTATGAAATCTAACGAATGAATGGTGTGACTCAGTACTTTGTGCATCAACTAAGAAGTAAACTGTACCCGTCTATTTTTTTCCAATCAACAGTAGACTCTATTGTCAAAATCTCACAAGCCCTAAAATTTATCTTGAATAGGATATTTCTCTCCTGGTATTGTTTACTAAGCTCTGCTTTAGTCAGAAATGGGAACTTGGAGGCCATGTTGTGTTGTACTAAACATGTATATCTTAAAACTCCAGTTGATGTTTTGTGGCAGGTATATGTTAAATATCTGGGATGTAGGGGGTCAGAAGACAATAAGATCATATTGGAGGAACTATTTTGAGCAAACAGATGGTCTGATTTGGGTAGTCGATAGTTCAGACCTTAGAAGGCTTGATGATTGCAAAATGGAATTGGATAATCTCTTGAAGGAGGAGGTATCATGCCACTACAGAATATTCTTACTTCTTAAAAGAAAATTGTCTTACCTATTTATGGGCCTATGGCTTCTATGCTGCAACTTTTGCTGATTTGTTGCCCATTGTTTCTGTTTTTATCTGGCGTGGTTTAATTTTCTCTCAATTGTTTGAGCATCAACGTTTTGCAAGATCTCATTAGTCATTTGTCTTCCATTCCAGAAGGGACTGCATATTCTGATAGTTACTACATGTTTGCGGTAAAATTCTTTTAATGCTTGTCCATCTAATTGGATGGAGAATCTTTACGATTTTTTTATACTTTTGTCTGTACGTTTTCCCACCAAATGTATCATTCTTTCAAGTCTTTTGAATCTGTAGACTGAACAATATCCTTGTGCACACCTTACATATGTGGGCATATCTTTTGAAAATGAATGGTACAATCGGTCTTGTTCACAAGTACTCCTGGGGCACTTCTTAAACATAGCAAAGGAAATATTCGATTTTCAAAGTATTGATTGTGCATATCACGAGGACAGTCGGTGCATTGGAAATTGCAATATTTCCTTATTCGGTTGCACAACAAGTTCCTGGGGGCACTTCTTAACAAGGTCCTAATACTAATATCCACTATGTATGTCGTATCAATGTCCATAAAACTGGTTCATGTGTACTCAAATGAGGAACTGCTGAATTAGTACTTCTGGCTAGAACTAGATGTATTTTTTCGAGTACGAAAGTCTTTTCTTTAGACTTGTTGATAAAGGGACTAAAGTGGTTGCTCATTTGGCAGAGATTATCCGGAGCATCCTTACTTATATTTGCAAATAAGCAGGATATTAAAGGTGCTCTTGCACCAGCTGAAATTGCCAAGGTGAAGTTGTGTGCTTGCAACGTTTATTGGTGTCTGTATCACCTGAGTTTGTGTGAATGCACATACATCCTGGTTTCTGAGATATTTTGCTGTTTGTGACCTTGAAATCTAAATATATTGCCATTCTTAGGATGTTTGCAGCAGAGAGAATCCTAACTTTCCGAAAGTTCCCTTTAGGCTTACTATTGCTGAATCTGACGCACCTTTGTTCATATTTACTGGTCATATTTACTGACAGTAAAGCATGTATGGGAACTGGACCAGAGAATGAAGTTAGGTTGAAATTGTAAGGTTGCAACTGAACCTAAGGTCCTCAATTTTTCCTATACAATCCCAGAAGAAGATATCACAGCACATGCCTGTTTGCACCAAAATCCATGTCTTGTTCTTCATTGTCTTCTTGTTTCTTTCCAATCAAGTCCATGGAATGGCATCTTCATATGTAAGCTTGCCTACCCGTTTAACTTACTACATTTAACATGTAACAAATAAATTTGTAGCATTTACACCCAAACACCCCAATTCAGGGTGGACAATTATACTAATCTTCTGGAGATGATCCTTTTTTAGGTGAAAACTCCTTGAGCTGTTAATGATATCATGTTCTTTTAGCTTTTGATAAAATTTTTCATATGCTATGCTGGCTCCCTTTTTTTTATTGGTTAAGCTAGCATAGTTTTCTTTTTGTTTTCCGTTTTTAGCTTTTGGATTGTCATGAAATTTTAAGAGAATGGAGTATTAGCTCAGGTGGGCAGTAGTTGTTTATCCTTGAGAAAGCAGTGATTGCTGCAAAGAGATCTTTCTATTCCTTAGCAGTCAAACTATCAATTTTCTTGCTTGCTACAATACCGAAGATGTTTTTCCAAAGTGATCAACTTGAACAAATAATCTCCGATTATTCCTGGTGTATGATTTTTTTTTTCTCATTTTTGTTTTGGAGCAGGTTCTGAACTTGGAAGCAATGGATAAAACCCGGCACTGGAAAATAGTGGGCTGTAGTGCATACACAGGAGAGGGACTTCTTGAGGGATTTGATTGGTTGGTTCAGGACATAGCTTCTCGAATTTATATGCTTGAGTGACATCTGTTTTATAGGAGTATTAAAAGTAAATTGCTGGCTTTGATCCAGAAAATTCATGCAAATACATTGGTTATGCAGTTCCTTTCTTTTTGCCTGATTTTTTAATCGATGTCCCTTACGGAAGAAACCACTAGTGACTTGCTCAGGAAACCAAATTCAGTGGGATGTATTTGTAGCGGCAGAGTTGATTGTGCGAAGCTTTTGGAACGAGTCGGTTCTGTTTTGATGGGGGTCTGGTTCTGCTAGGTCAGAAGCAAGATAAAAAAATTAGCAAGGCCAGTCTCAATGTATTGCTGTAAACTGTTTGGTTTAAGTTTAATGGACTGCTGGTGCAAATGATTGCTGTAAATATTCTCGTTCCACTCATGTTACTGTTTGTTTTAAGCCTGCATGAACCAGAAGACTCTTCGACATAGGTGAAGAATGTAATTGGTAGTTCTCTGAGATCGGGTCGTAGGCTACAATAGACCGTGTCCTGAGGTTTTGCAGATATCTTCAATTGCAAGAAACTGTGCGAGTCCAGCAGATTGTGTTGAGCGAGACCATAGGAGATTCTTTGTTTCGAACTTAACTACCGGTGAGCGGTTTGTGAGATCTGCTCATTCCTTTCTTCGTTTAATTACTCTCTCTTTCTCTCTCTCGTTTTCTCCTTTGAGATACTAGTCGGTGGTATCATATTACCTCATCAGCCTTTGATGTGGCTAGCATTTGTACATTCAGATTTGATTACAAATTTGGTAAGTGACTTAAAATTAAATAAAATAAAAAAATAAAAAGATCCGTCGGTCAATGATGGACTGCAGAAGTCCCTTAAATTAATAGCACAAGCAACTTTAATAAATGCTTGCGAAAATTGAAATGGCGTGCCAACCCACTTGTCAACTTTGTCGTTTCATTTTCATTCTATCTTTTCCTAATATTTTTTTTTTCTGTTTCAGAAAGAGAAATCTTCATTGGAGAAAAAACCATGAAAATTTATATGCCATAGACTTCATAAGGATCACCATGAAAACTTCATCCCTAGCGGCCTTCATTCTTTGTCGTTATGCAAAACTTCCAGTAGGCTCGGGGGAGGTTTCAAGTGTTAGATTCCGGTTCATTGCGAAGGTTGAGTGAAGCAAAGAAGGGCTGTTTGGTTCAATTTTGAAAATGCTATTTGGGGGAATGCAAATACCTTTGAGTGAAAGTCCATTGGGGAAATACAAATGGTGTTTGGTAAAAATATTTTGTAAAGCTACTTTGGCCAAAATATAGTGTTTGGTGAATTTTTTTTGCAAATGGACTTTGAGAATTATCTTATTTATTAAAAAAAAAAACTAACCTACCCATCGCGGCCGTCCGCCATGGCCTCAGCCCGCGAGATAAATCGCGGCGCCGCCCGAGGGGCGACCCCGGCGATCGCGGCGCATGAGGTGAAAATGATTTGAAAGATTTGGCAAAAATAGGCACTTTTTGCAAACGGACTTTGAGCAATACTTTTTGTCAAAAAAAAACCCTAATTTTGAATCGGCTAAATTCTTAAAGAGCCAGGTTAGGCACTCCACCTTAACAAATAGACTTGAATGGCTACATTTTATAATTAAAAAAAAGAAGTTCAAGTGGAACTATAATAGCTTAAAACCTTTTTTTTTGTTTTTAAAAAGACCCATAAGATACATATAAACAAAAATCACTATTTGCTACATTCATTTTCCTTGCTAAATTCATTTTCCTCCCAACTATTTCCTTCGGCATACATCCGAAACATATCAATGAAATCACTATTTTCTTCCTTTCCTTGCTCTCCATCTATTTTCCCTTTCTATCCTATCTTTTTTTTGGCTAATCATTCATTATTACCAAAATCGTCTAATATAGTATTAAAGAAAAAGAAGACAATTACAGCAAGTTTGTCGTGATAATAATTCGAGATCTAAAACTTTCAATTCGTACATTCTAATCCATTCATCAATTTTGTCGAGTTTTATTGGACCAAAATATTTACGCGATAACTTTCTCTTTTAACGGTCACGTAAGATTAAGAAAAAAAATAGCGAGAAATAAAATCATTTACCATTTTCTATATAGAATTTAAAATTAGGAAATGAAAATTTTAATATTGAAAAGCTATCTTGAAAAGCAGACACGAATCTATGACAGGTCCCACCTTGGTCAACTTTCTTCTCCACTCTCTCTCTCTGTCTCTCTCGTGAATCCGACTCCCACTCGCACTTCACAACACGTACCCGCACTCTCCATCCCACTCACCGGTGGCCGGAGGGCGAGCGAACGAGCGCCAAGAATGTGGCGGAGGACCTTCACCACCGTCGGCGGCGGCGCCTCCTCCCTCGCCGCCCTCAAGGACAGGCGCTGGGACGCGCTCGTCATCGGCGGCGGCCACAACGGCCTCACCGCCGCCGCCTACCTCGCCCGCGGCGGCCTCTCCGTCGCCGTCCTCGAGCGCCGCCACGTCATCGGAGGCGCCGCCGTGACGGAGGAGCTCGTCCCGGGCTTCAAGTTCTCCCGCTGCAGCTACCTCCAGAGCCTTCTCCGGCCTTCCGTCATCAAGTAGGTCCCCCGCATTCGCTCCGATTAAATTTAGCCCGGCATTTTCAGAATCGATTGAGTTTTAGAGTACGTGATCCAAGGCGCTACTTCGATCGCAACTTGCGCGCTTATTTTGGACTGTTTGAAGGGAACTGGAGTTGGGAAGGCACGGGCTGAAGCTGCTGAAGAGGAGTCCGTCGTCGTTCACGCCGTGTCTCGACGGGCGGTACTTGTTTCTAGGGCCTGACAAGGAGCTTAATCACGCGGAGATTTCAAAGTTCTCGAAACGCGACGCAGATGCTTATCCAAGGTTTGTACTCCGCTTCTCAGCAAAGTATGGTTTTCATGTCTTCAGCAGAAAGAACAAGAGCAGTTTCCTCTTCTTCTTTTCTTTTAAATTTTGCTGTTATTTGGAAATTAGATGCAATGATAATGATTAGTCCCTTAACTTTGACCTAATGTGCAATTTGGTCCCTGAACTTTTAATTTGTTCAATGTAGTCCCTGAACTTTAGCTTAATGTTCAATTTGGTCCCTGAACTTTTAATCTGTTCAATGTGGTCCCTGAACTTTTAGCACATGTTCAATTTAGTTCCTGAACTATATGAAAATGTCCAATGTAGTCCTTGCACTTGAATTAATAGAAGGACTACATTGAACATTTTCAAATAGTTCAGGGACTAAATTGAACATATACTAAAAGTTCAGGGACCACATTGAACAAATTAAAAGTTCAGGGACCAAATTGAACATTAGGCTAAAGTTCAGGGACTACATTGAATAAATTAAAAGTTCAGGGACCAAATTGCACATTGGGTCAAAGTTCAGGGACTGTTTGTGTCATTTTTCCAGTTTTTTTCTCCATAGTTTTTAGAATGACAGCCATTCAGTAATGGAAGGGAAAGCCTATGGTCCCAAAGGTGGTTTGATGGGATCATTCCTGCATTCGATGTGAAATCGTTGGATAAAAAAGGGAAAAAACGCAGTCCATCGTATCTGCTTTGCAAAATCGGTTGTCTGTCTTCAACTTGTTGACGTTAAAGTAGAGTTAGGGATGCAAAGGTGATCAAACTTATATTTGATTACGAAAAGTTAGGACGGGTAAGGAAAATCACTGACGCATAGGTTGCAAAAATTTACAAAGTGTAAAGGAAAATTACGATCAAATAGATCATATACATATGATAACACAAAAGTTTGTTATTAATGTTAGGTAGATTACTATTTTGTGGAATATTACAAATCATAGGACCCGGAAAACTTACGAATCAAAGGGAAATTACGCCCTCTAAAGAAAAGTTAGGAAAGGATATTTCATTGTTATATTAATGTCAGTGAAGGCAATTACGTATGTCAAAGGAAGTTGCGTTCCATTTGTTAATTTACTGACAATCAGAAAAGATTTTACAATTAACTCAGGCAGATTGCTATTTTTTTTGTGGAATATTATGAATCATAAGATCCAGAGAACTTACAACAACAAAAGGGAAATTACGTTCTGTAAAGCAAAGTTACGCAATGATATGTAATAACTAATTTACTTTAAGTGAGGAAATTACAAATGACAAAGGAAAATTACAATCAATTAGGCAGGATCCCATCCTGTTTTTCTTATACCGGACTGTAGAAGGACCCAATCATGCAAATCATCGGATCAAAAAAATGCTTTTTGAGAAACAAAATTTCAAGAACATTCTCAAAGGGTAATCTGATCTACCAGGTTTGCATGTTGCTTGGTAGTTTGCATAAAATGGACAATGACCTATCAAGCTCTTCTTTTTCTTTTCCATTTCATTTGTTCTTCTTCTTTTTTCTTGGGCGATCTGGTGATTGTTTGGAGTGTAATCTACTGTACGTTCCCCGCCATTCAGCTTTTTTTAGTGTGTAAGGTTCTGTTTAGTGTAAGTGATTCCAATTGTTCCGAATGCTGTAGACCTAACATTAAATTGAAATCTTAGGGTTTGCATGTTATCTGTGTTTCTGGATATTCTGTATGTTGTCTAATTTAAATGAAATAATTTTGGTAGTCTTATGAAACATTTCTTTAAATCATGTCAAACAATTGCCTTCAGTAAGATATCTTCATTTTGGCAGTCTTACTTGAAGAAAAATGAAACATTTCTTTAAATCGTGTCAAACAAGTGCCTTTAATAAGATGTCAAGTTAGTGAAAAAAAGGAGGGAGAATGGAGCTAAAAAATGAATGCTCTGCTACCTGTTTAGTTACCCTTCAAAAGCCAATACGAACTACATGTATTCTAGAGGTATTAACATTAATATATATATATATATAATTGAATTGACTGCTATTTTCAATGAACATGTATGTCTAAGTACTTTTCTCTTACTATTGTTCTCACAACACGAGTGCTTTGTCTTTGCTTAGGTAAATTGTTATCATGATAACTTAAGTATTTTGCACAGATATGAAAATCAACTAGAGAACTTCTGCAAATTTATGGATCCCCTTTTCGATTCACCTCCTCCAGAAACTTCCCAAGAGAAATCCTCTTTCAGTGACCGGATGAGAGATAAGTCTCACAGATCAGTCTTTTGGGCTCATTGCCTTCGGCGAGCTCTTGACCTTGGGCAAAATGAGATGGTGTAAGGCTTCTTTAACTCAGTTAGAGGTTGGTTTCAGATTTACCAGGTTCTTATATTGGCAATGGCACCTAATATTGGCACATGTGTTGCTTAACTAATATGGGACTTGATAGATCTTTTATGAGTTTTTATTGACTTTGGCAGGAATTTTATGGAACTTTTGCTGTCACCAGCTTCGAAGGTTTTGAATAAATGGTTTGAGGTTGTAAATTACCATTGAT